TTTTTCTTTCATCATCACCAAAAAAGATGAAGATGATGCTAATGAAATCTTAACATGAATGGTTCAGAATCTTCCTGAAAAGAGTTGATTGTATCTGAGAGAAGATCATGTAAATTTGTTCCCTTCATCAATCAATGTAAAAACAAATGGAAACATCAGAAATTATTTAAAGCTAATATTGATTATTATTAATAGGAATCAACAATACAAAAAAGTTAATATTGATGAGATTAAATCGTTAGCTTTTCATTTAATTTACTTTGATTGCATGGAAACATTATGATATCATTTAATCAAATTTGGTCATCATAAATGGTAATGTTCAATTGTGAGGAGAAAAAATTGTTCAAATCATAATTGAAAGTCATCAAATCAATTTAATAACAATCATGATGATTCGGTTATCATGTATACGAAAAGGAAAAGTAAATTGTATTGATTCAATATAAGGGTATCGTCTAATTTTACAGTTATTATCATTTAATTGGATACAAATACTAATGAAAAGATGATGATGATGATTAATATCTATTGATAATATTTATAGATTAGATCAGGAAATGGTTTTGATAGTAAATAATCAAGTTAATCAAAACAAGCGAACCAAAAATATGAAAATCGTAACCAAACTGAATTAGCAATCAACAATGATGATAATTACAAGATCAATTGATAGGTGACTTAAAATACAATCGATGATTAACTAGGCATACTGCAGCGACAGTAACGTCTGAGCGCGTGTATGCTGAAAAAGGAGAGAAAGAAGAGAAAGAAAGAAAGAGACTGAGAGAAAGAGACTGAGAGAAAGAGACTGAGAGAAAGAGAAAGAGAAAGAAAGAAACTGAGAGAAGAGACTGAGAGAAAGGACTGAGAGAGAGACTGAGAAAGAGAAAGAGACTGAGAGAAAGAGACTGAGAGAAAGAGACTGAGAGAAAGAGACTGAGAGAAAGAGAAAGAGAAAGAAAGAAACTGAGAGAAAGAGACTGAGAGAAAGAGACTGAGAGAAAGAGACTGAGAGAAAGAGAAAGAGAAAGAAAGAAACTGAGAGAAGAAGAAAGAGAAAGAAAGAAAGAGAAAGAGACTGAGAGAAAGAGACTGAGAAAGAGAAAGAGAAAGAAAGAAACTGAGAGAAAGAGACTGAGAGAAAGAGAAAGAGAAACTGAGAGAAAGAGACTGAGAGAAAGAGACTGAGAGAGAGACTGAGAGAAAGAGACTGAGAGAAGAAGAAAAGAGACTGAGAGAGGACTGAGAGAGAGAAAGAGAAAGAAAGAAACTGAGAGAAAGAGAGAGAGAAAGAGAAAGAGAAAGAGACTGAGGAGACTGAGAGAAAGAAACTGAGAGAGACTGAGAAAGAGACTGAGAGAAGAGAAGAGAGAAAGAAACTGAGAGAGAGACTGAGAGAGGACTGAGAGAAAGAAAGAGAAAGAAAGAAACTGAGAGAAAGAGACTGAGAGAAAGAGACTGAGAGAAAGAGACTGAGAGAAAGAGAAAGAGAAAGAAAGAAACTGAGAGAAGAAGAAAGAGAAAGAAAGAAAGAAAAAGAGACTGAGAGAAAGAGACTGAGAGAAAGAGAAAGAGAAAGAAAGAAACTGAGAGAAGAGACTGAGAGAAAGAGACTGAGAGAAAGAGAAAGAGAAAGAAAGAAACTGAGAGAAAGAGACTGAGAGAAAGAGACTGAGAGAAAGAGACTGAGAGAAAGAGAAAGAGAAAGAAAGAAACTGAGAGAAAGAGACTGAGAGAAAGAGACTGAGAGAAAGAGAAAGAGAAAGAAAGAAACTGAGAGAAAGAGAAAGAGAAAGAGAAAGAAAGAAAGAGAAAGAGACTGAGAGAAAGAGACTGAGAGAAAGAAACTGAGAGAAAGAGACTGAGAGAAAGAGACTGAGAGAAAGAGACTGAGAGAAAGAGAAAGAGAAAGAGAAAGAAGAAAGAAAGAGACTGAGAGAAAGACTGAGAGAAAGAGACTGAGAGAAAGAGAAAGAGAAAGAGACTGAGAGAAAGAAAAAGAAAGAGAGTGAATTAAAAAAGAAAGAAGAGAAAGTAAAAAGAAAGAGAATCAAAAAAATTTGTAATTAGCGGTAGCGCGTTACTATGGTGATAGATGCTATCGCTATCTAGCGTGAAGAAAAATTACTAATTTCGGGAGGCCAATCTGCACCAAAACTATACAGGTGATGAGAACCATCATCTGAACCTATTCTGAAAATTCGGTAAAGATTGGACCAAAATTACGATCGCTATCGTTCCACGAAATTTTGATTTTTCGACGTAAGGTCTTCGCTTACGCTCAGACAACTAAATTGTTATCTAATATTTGTCATCTTTTGGTTAATTTAATTGATCAACTTGAAAAGATCAGTTTAAGGTGGAAATGATTAGTTAATTAACGAGTTAGGGTATTTATCTATTCTTATATAAACTAATCATGATTATCGAGCTGATATATTCATGAGATGGTGATGATTATTTAAATTGTGATTAAAGGGAAAGTGTCCATTATGATTAAAGTGATTATTTTATTAATCATGATCAGAGTAAATGTTTAATTCTGATGATAATAAATATGATGAAAGAAAAAGTTAGAAGCGTGTAAATGATGATGATGATAATTAGCAAATATCGATTAGCTGATTTGATGAGAAAGTTAATTACTAGAATTGTGATTAGCATGGTAAACTATTTACCATCATCAGTATCAGAACAATTAATTGTTAAAGAAAAAGAAAGACAAGAATTGAGATAGAAAAAAAATTGGCAATACAATAATAAGGATTGATTGGTGTTAATTGATTATTCATTAATTAATTTGATCAATCATTTCAACTATACAAAGATGTGATAATAGTGTGAGCCCAAGTTGATTAACTTGAGAGTAATCAACTAATCAGAGGAATAGTTTTAAATTGTAGTTTATCTGCTAGTTTTACATGAGAAAAGAAGATGAAACTGATTCATTTCCATGTAATTTTTCATCTACATGAGGCTTGAGAATAGAAGAAGAAAAAAATCAAAGAATTAATCATTTTCGCTACGATTTTTTAGAGTTTGATTCTATGGGATATAATTCATTCATAGAAGTTATTTTTCTACTTGATTACTGAACTTTCATGATGATGAATAAGTGATGATTATTATGCTACGATGATCAGAATAACAATTAAAGACACACAATCAGAGACAGTTATCTTTATGGCTCAGGAGCTTTAATTGTGACTATGTTTAGAATTTGATGATTTTTCTTCTCTATCATTAGTGAATGAATTTGATGGTTTTAATCTTCGCAGGTATGACTAAAATTAATAGATTAAACAATCAAGATAAGAAAAATCAATGAGTAAATCATCTAAGTCTTATCACTGATGATAAAGATTATCAATTAATTTTAGAAGCTAAGTTGCGCGAATGATTAAAAACCATTCGAAACTCATTTTTCACGACTGTATCTTTTGTTTTCTCTCAGTTTTTTCATTCAGATTTCTTATTCTCTCTCTGTTATTACAGAATTGTTCCCAATCCGAGAGAAAAGGTTTCTCTAAATGACCGTCGGAAGGATTAACCTAATCTGGATTAAGTTGGGTTTCTATCATGGAAAAGGTTGTTAGGAATAGAAAAAGTTCCTAACAACAGAAAAAACTGTTTTTCCCTTAAGCTAACATTCAGTTTGTTTACTTGATCATTTCTCTCCCTTTGATTTATCTGAGTGATCAATAATTTGCTTGGTGATCATGTCAACATACAATTTAAATGTGTATGACAATCAGTTGATTGAAAATACCGGTCAAAGAGAGGAAAGAGAGTGGGAATATGATAATCACGTTGTTGAAATTAATGATGGTGGTAGAAAAAGACAATAATGACAAGGTAATCTCTCATTCGTCAACACTGGATAAACACACAGAGTAAACAAAATTGTAACCTTGCAGGTAGATCAAGAGTTTGGTTTGATGGACATTAGCCAAATTCATTTGATTACAATTAAATTATATGGTTCTCACTATTAAGGATTAGAATAGAGATTAGAACAGTTTAGAAAATAATCAACTCTTACCCTTAACAAGGTGGATGTTAATATGGTTGTTGATGGAGGTGGACGTAGTTTCTCCAACAATTTACCGATTGCTTTGGTGATCCAGCTTTGATTAATCATGTATCTATCCTCTTCATAGTATAAATGAAAGGTTGCCCAACAGAATGAGATAATTATTATCACCAGAACGAGTGTCATCCAAAGGTAATAGGTCCAATAGTAATTGTAATAAAGGCAACAAATATTTTCACCACAACAATATTCATGTGAAGATGAACACAAATTATGGTCACAGTAATAATTGTAAACAAAATTGAAACGAGTCAACAGGATAATAAGGGATAGTAGATTAACTGAAGGATTAACCATTTTTAACTTCATCTTGTTTGTGTTTTGCTAAATTGTTAAAGTTGTTGTTCCCGTTTGATGAGATGATGATAATGATGATGTTGATTGAATAACATTGAATTTGGAATTTTTTTTTTCTTCTTCTCTTTTTGTTGTTGTTTAAACAAAGATGAACAAAAATCAACTCACAATATTAGAAACGAAATTTCAAGATTAACTATTGGACAATATGGTTAGAATTAAATGTAACGATAAATAGAATAAAATTCTCATGAAAAGATTCAAGAATCACCAGGAACTTAGACCATCAGAATTGAATCAGAACTTGAGAACAAATCAAAACAAAACCTTTTCTCTTTCTCAGTCTCTTTAATTTGCTCTTCTAAAAAGCGACATCTGCCGGTAGAAAAATCGAATATATTTTTTTTCTAAATTAAATTAACTAATTAATTGTTCCTTTTTCTAACAAATGATGTTTATCGACGATCAAATGATTAGAATGGAGAATTTCCGATAAAAGAAAACAATTAAGCTTAATTATTTCTGTAGGGTGTTTTTCTTGTTTGTGGATTATTAATATTCTTGTGATTAGTTGTTGATGAATTATTGTGATTTTAATCATCAAAGATTCAAATCGATTTCACTTTTGTTTTAATTGTCTGATTTTTGGTGGTTTTTTTTCCTTGTATATATGACTAGAACTCTCAACGATAAATTGAATTGAAGGTTGAGCGTTCAAAAAGATACATCTTGTATTATTATTGGTTACAATTAAATTATCATGATACTGATGCAAAATATGAGATCCATGTTGATTAAAGGATAAATGTGATTAAGATTAGATTAAAATGTTAGATTAAGTTATTTAGATCAATTTGTCGTTAATTTGTTGGTTATTCTTTCTTTTTGGTTTCGTCTCGTCTTGGAATCTCTACCTTGGGACTAGATTCATCATTTTTCTTGGCTAAAAAAGAAATGAACAATAGAAAATAAGGTTAATCAATTGGTCGAGGTTTTGTATTCCAACGATTGATTTACCTTTGGAAAGTGCGTGAGCAATTGCATCCCAAATTCCACCCATGAATAGGGCACAGAATAAATTTTCGAAAGGTACAAATGGATCGTGAATTCCAAGAAGTATTGATGAAAGTTTAAAATAGACGAAAAATATTACAATTCCAAAGTAAACAAGTGCATGAGGAACTGAAATCCAATCAGATTTTTTGTCGATAATGAAGATAATTGAAGCAACAATCGATGCTTTTGTCGGACTATTGATAACAAAAAAGAGAGGGAAGATAAATAAATTATAGAGAATTAGATTTGATTATGTCTCGACCATTAGTCGTAACTTACAAAGTCGGGTGAGAAGTTCAAAAGCGTTCGGAGTCCATGTTCCCCTCATGAGTCTCTCCATAAGTTTCATGAATCCTGATCCATTTCCTGAAACAAGCAAAAGTATTAATAAGAATGAATGAAACATTGGAACGATTTTAATTTCTATCATCATCATGATATTACCTTTGACTGTTCCAATAGCGATCATGATAACATAACCATTCGGATAGATTTTGGATGCATGGAGGACTCCATCATGAACCTTTTTACACCTAATGACTTCTTTCATGGTGGCCAGAACAATCTTACAGGGCATGAATTTACACATCTTGTAAATTACATCAGCTGGTGAATAAAAGATTAGGTACCAAATGACTGTGGCCAGAAAAACTTGATTCGGATTCTTGAAAGCAGCAACAATCGGTTCTCCAAGCAGAAAATTGGCCAAAATCGAACCTGCGAAAATGTTCAACATGCACGATAGCCAACAAGAAAATGGATGTTTACGAGAAAATGGATGACCAGTTGATCCAAGATCTTCTCGAATATAAAGACAACTAATGATTGCATGAGCCATTTCGAAATAGGGAAACATTTTCATCTTGGTCACTGTATTGGCGATTTCTAAAAACTGTTCAGGATCCATTGTTGTCTAAAGGAGGTTTAATTTGGCACAGTTAAAGAGAGAAAAAGAGAGAAAGATTAATAGTTAGCTGGAAATTGTCACCAACTAATTAAAATTGTCACAAGGTGTAAGTTAAATGAATGAGAGCTCGAGAGATGAATCGTGTTGATTGGTCCAAACCAGAAGATGAACAAGGCATAGAAATGGAACGTTAGAAAAAACAAAGAAGAATATAAGTAGACAGTGATTAAGAATATGAGACTGTCAAGATTGTTAAGTAAATAAGATAATTAAGTAGAAATCAACGTTTGAGAATGAAAATTGTTTCTCTCCAACTTTTAATTGTAAAGGTTGTTCAACAAGGATAATTGTCTAAATGGTGATGAAGATGAAAATCACTGAAGAGATGAAATAACTTTCCTTTGTTACAACAAACATTAAATTAACATTGATGAGATTACATTTGAACAATTATTTTTAGCTATTAGATTAAAAGGAGAACCTTGAATAATTGCTGTTAAATGTAGGAATTGATGCCAAGTTAATTGGTGACAACAATCAACGGATTAAAATCTCAATGGAAATGACAAAAACCGAATCAGCAAAACAATGACCGGTTCATTGGTGAGAAAAAGTGACAACAAACTTTGGCGCTTTTTTCGAATTTTCTTTTATTTGTTTATTCGCAACTTATTGTGATTAGTACATTTAATCAAAATCCATTGGTTCGACAATCGTGTGTTAATTAAGTGATTTAGCAAATTCTAAAAAGTTAACAGGCTCATGTTCATCTTTGTCCTGCGATTATCGGAATAATGAAGTAGCGTTTGTGATCATCATCGAGTTATTGTCCAATTGTCCGACTTGAGGTTGTTTGGTCTCGAAACTATTAATTGAATATCGTCATGATTGTCAAAATTGATTCTATTGATTGGTGACCATTCCTTTGATTGTCCGAACCTGGATGGTGATTAACAAGTCCAACGATAAATAGATTAAAAGAAAATGTTTAACTATGAAAAGAGCTTCTTTCTTTAATCTGTTTCGTATGATTGTCCATCAATGGATTAAGTGGATTAACCATTAAATAGATTAACAAAAAAAGTATAAACATTTTACTTTAAACTGATTATTAAGACAATCGAAACCAATTTAATCGACTAATTGATTTGATGGAAATTTCCATGAGTATAAAAATCGCCCACTGGTCAGTCTTTAGTCTCATTAGTATTTCGTCCTTCATCTTGATCGCATTGATTTTAATTGATTCTCTTATCAGCCTAAATTCACCAACAATTTACTCATTCATCAACAATCAACAATCAACAATCATGGTAACTGTCAGCAATCAAATAACAACCACAACAACCAACATGTTGATTATCCCAACAACTAAAAAAACTTACGATTTGGTTTTGAAAAGTGACACCAACTTGATTATCGAGCATTGTAAGTAATTAATTAACTTTTTCTCCTCTAAATTTCCATTATCAAAACTCAATCATCGATTGAAAAAGAAATCACAATTAGTTGAATTAATTTTTTTCGCCAAAAAAATTCTCAGTTAAACTCACATCATTTTCTCTGAAAATAGTCACTCACTTGTCTATTTTCACTATTTTTCTGTATCACTTTTTGTTGTTTTCTATTAATTTTGTTTCTGTCAACACTTGATTTCTAATTTAATTTGAATGAAGGTAAGAGATTAATTAATTGTGATTTAAGATTAACTCGCCTGTTGGATTAATCGGTAGTGTCCCATTTTCTATTCTAAATGATGACATGTGTTCATTTCATCAATTCTCTTCTGATTTCTCTTCTCTTCTCTCTTTCCTGTCTTTTCCCTTTCTTTTTTCCATCTCCCTCTCTTTGGTTTTTCTTTCTTATCTTTTTCTTTCCTTTTCTTTTTCTCTTTTTCTCCGCACTTATTTTCCATTTTTTTTCCTCATCTAATTTTTATCTTTTCTTTTTCCATTTCTCTTTTTGTTCTTCCTCTCAATTTCCCTCTCCACCCTCAACTCTACAGCTCCATCATCAATGTCCAAAACGAATCACCGGAATGACAGGGACAAAGATAAATATGAATCCCCAAACCCAAGGCGAGTTCATACCATCATGTCCCAGGAAGATGTGGCTGCCGGTAAAAAATCGTTTTGGCCTGAATTGGAAATCACAGGTAACTGACGAGCCAATGTTATGCGACATTTTCTTCTCGATTTATCTTCTCTAACTCTCTTCTGAAAAATTTGTCAGCTGATACATGGAATCATTCACTTTGTTTATCAATCTTTCAAAAACTTCAACAATTTCTCTCCCTAATGAGACTCATGTGCATATAGAATCAAACAATTTGGTTTCTAACTGATTTTTTGTTTTTCTCTTCTATTAGGCACCGTGCGAAATTTAAGTCCAAATCTTTGGAGCCTTACCCATCTAACATCACTCTATCTCGACAATAACAATCTAAGCCGAATTCCATCTGACATTTGTAAACTTACCAACTTAATTCATTTGGATCTATCAAACAACAAACTTCGTACGTTACCATCTGAACTTGGTGATCTTATTAAACTTCGGGAACTACTTTTAAATAATAACAGTTTACGAGTGTTACCATACGAACTTGGTAAATTATTCAAAATAGCTAATCTAGGTAGGTGTTAATACTAATATTCACTTATTATCTGTGAACCAAATCAACGTTTAACGTTTATATGTATTTTTAATTTCTGCTGTCCTTGAGTTTTGTATTTTCCCTATTCACTTTAAACGTGTTTTAATCAATCAATGTTTTTCTATCCAATGCTCTATTCATAGGACTTGACGGTAATCCTCTCACCCAGGAAATATTGGTCATCTACAAAGAACCGAATGGCGTTCAAAAGCTGTTGGAATATCTTCTTGACAACCTCGTTGGTGAGTTGCGAATTTAATTTTGGTTATTAATTTACTACTCGATTATTTTGCAATAATGAATGAATGTGCAATAAAGAAACATGAAAAAATTCATCTCTTCAAACCCGATTCATGCTATTTCGCTCTGATTATTTCTTAGTTAACTTCGACCCCGTTCTTTTAAATCATCCCTACAAATTGTTCTATCCCATTCTTATTCATTATCATCATCATCATTATCATCCTTCTCTTCATCTCTCTCTCTCTCTCTCTCTCTCTCTCTCTCTCTCTCTCTCTATTATGATAAATTGCTATTAGTTGAGTTTAACAGTAACATAACCAGTTCTAGTAGTAGGCCTCAGTACTTGTACCTTGAATGAAAGGTAGAAAGAGGGAGAGGGAAGAAAAACGGGAGTATGGTGAGAATGGTGATAAAGATGATGTAAACGAGTGAGTGAGAGAGATAATAGTGAGCAAGAAAACTCCTTCACCAATCTGTGTCATTCAGGATCCTTTCTCATCAGCATTTCACTCTACATTTAGCTCGAGTGAGCTTCACATTGTGACAATTTAGTTTTATGAATAAATGCCTATCAATGAATTTCGAGCGCTTCTTTCTGACGGTATCAGTAGTTTGGGGTCTGAAGATTCTTCAGGCAACTCAGAAAAAAGTTTACCTCGAGTAATTAAACCCCGAAAACGACGTAAAAAAGATCGTAAAAATGCTCAACAACAACATCAACTTTTTTTGTTACAAAACCAACAACAATCATCATCATCATCATTACATCAGAAACATCAACAGTGTCCTCAAATTCAGTCTCAACAACAATACCAATCTCCTAATGGATTAACTAGTTCCATTGAATCATTAAGTGTTAATTATCTCGGATCAGCTGTATATTCATCAAATTATCAACATAACCAAAATCATTATCATTTGGTGCCTTCTGGTCAATTCTGTTCAGGACGTGACACAATGCATTATTTTCCGTTCATGTTGACCTACGGTCAGACAGGTTATCATCACCATCCATTTGCAGGCTCAACTCATCCTCATCATCCTGCTTCTGCTTCTTCTGCCCCATCAACACCACTAACCGCTAATTCAACAACAAAACCCTCTTTATCTTCATCCTCTTTACCATCATCATCTTCATCTGTAACATCATCACCAGGTTACAATCTTCATCATGCAAACCATTCAAGCTCAATTAACGGAAGTCAAAAGTTAAGCAATTACGGATTAAACTATTCTACTGATCTCATTTTGGCTCCCGGTTGTGGGTATGGTCTAGAAGGGTCAACTGGCCACTGCAAAGGGGGTGGTGGTGGTATTGCGACTACAAAGAAAAACTGTGATAACATTTTCTACATCAATAATAGTCCATCTTCATCTCCTTGTTCACCTTTGCCGAGTAAAGGAGCTCATTACCACCAACAAGCCCACCTTCATCTTCACCAACAACATCCTACGAATATCATATCAACTCCAACGGGAACACCATCGACTCGTCATAATCTACAATCAGAATGTCCGTGTCTCGATTGTCTTTCACCTACTTTAAACTCATCACGTTCATCCTCTTCCGCCTTTCTTACACCTCCAATGTCTCCATTAGTTGAAGTTAATAGTTTCTTTCATCTTCTCCATCACCACCAACAACAACAACAACAACAGCAACAACAACAAAAGCAACAACATCCACCCCAGGCTATCTCCTACCAGAACAATGAAACACCCGAACTGCAACATCGCTGTTCATCTGATGGTTCACTCAAATTATCTGAACCACATAATCCTGAACTTGAATTCAGCACAAGAATAGTAACTAATCCAAGCGGTGGCCGAGACTTGGAGATTAAATTTCTTAATCTTTCCGGTAGTCGACAATTATCTTGGCCTGACAATTCACCTCCAGTTCAACATCCACTCTCTCCAGTCACAAATTATCCTTCATATTTAAATCACCAACAAGAATCAAACTCAGGGTTTTCTATAAACAGTTACGAACGTGAGTTTCAAATCGCGAATTAAGATTTTGAAACATTAGTTGATCCGAACCTCGATCCTTGATTACACTCATTTCTTCATAAACTATTGTCCATTTCAATGCTATTACTATTTTCTTATATTCAAGTATTTCTTTTCGTGCGTGTTTCTTGCTCTGTGATACTTTTCGATTGGTACCTATTTGCGTTCACACTCGTTCATTGTTATTATCCCAAATTGATTGCTTCTTTAGGTAACTTGATTGTAATTGCTTTACTTCACTGAATCAACAATTGTAAAAAAATTAGTTGATTCAAAATGAACGAAAGCCAATTGAAATCAAGGCTAAATCACTGCAATCGTATCGTTAATTTGATACTATTGGCACTTATTTTGATCTAATGGTTTACTTTTTTTCTGGTCACTTTTCTGGCTTCAATTTGCTAAATATACTTGATTGTTGTTACAATAACCAATCAGTAGATTCATTCACAAATCAAAGTTAATTTGAATTGAATTCTCTTTACCTTTTTAAACTTATATAATTTGAAAAATTTCTCAACAATTTCTGATTGTTAACTCGTTCTCATACATTCATCAGCCTTTTAGTTGATCAGGTTAATGGTTGTTGTTGATAATGATGATGAAAAGAACGACTTTTTCATGAAAGTTTGTTGGCATGATGAGAAAAGAGAACGATGGAAAATAGTTCAGTATTTACTAACCATCTCTCATTTTATCATCATCATCATCATCTTTTTCATCATGTCTTTACTGGCTCATTAACCTTCAATCCAATACCGTTGGTTAGATGCTAATTGAATTTTTGATTCATCGCTCATGTATAGCAAACATTACACACTAATTGTAACCATGATCATCTTTTATTCAATTAATCAGAAAAGATGTTGACTTGTCAGCTGATTATTAGTAATCAACTTATTGTTTAGTCTTTGCCAATCTTGAGATTATCTTTAGATTTCGACACTTATCATATTTTCATCTCGTCAAAGTTTCGCCTAATTGTTAGTTTAAACTTTTCGTGTAGTGTAAATATCATAAGCAAAATAATTATGACTCTAGGATTTTGAAATAAATATCAATAGTTAATTGTTTGATTATGATTAAAATGCACATTATGATTTTATCTCTATTATTATCATCATTATGTTGCTTTTAATGTTAACTTTGTTTCGCCACATTGACCAACACAATTAAGGTCACTCTCATTATATTGACCTGACTCTTTTATCTTCATTATTATCATCCTCATCTCTCTCTCTCTCTCTTTCTCATCTTTCTTTCTTTTATCATCCTCGTTCTCACTCTTCTTCTTCTTCTTATTCATCATCATATTCTCCTATTTATTTACCCTTAACTCTCCCGGAAAACCCGGAACTTTTTACCCCAATCTCAATCTCCTTTGAAATTTTTTCTTGTGCAAAAAAACAGGTAACCTTTTCTCATTCATTACTATTATTGAAAAAAGGCCCACCCTGGTCATCTTGAATTCTTGTTCAAGTGGTCATTACGATTATTATAATCATGAGAAGAGGATAATCTTGTTTATCTTATTGCTCTTATTTTATCTTCTTTTGTTTTTCTTTTGTTTTTCTTCTGTTTCTTTATCATTATTCATGCATCAATTGTCAAATAATCAACTAACAAAATCAAGAAATCAAATGATTACCATTTTGATTGTTCATCGTCAATTAATCTTTCTCATTATTCTCGCTTTTTCACAGTCAATCACACTCGTCCACCACAAAGACCATGGATAAGTTTAGGAACTCCAGATAGAAGTCGAACCACCTCGATCTTTACTGTTATGTGTTATAATGTTCTATGTGACAAATATGCCACTAGACAAATGTACGGATATTGTCCCAAATGGGCGATGAAATGGGAGTACCGTCGTGGTAGTATTCTCAACGAAATAAGAACCTACACCGCTGATATAATATCTCTCCAAGAATTGGAGACAGAACAATTCTACAACTACTTCTTACCTGAATTGAAACGTGATGGATATGATGGTATTTTCTCACCCAAATCTCGAGCGAAAACAATGTCCGAAAATGAAAGGAAACACGTCGATGGATGCGCCATTTTCTACCGTACCAATAAGTAAGTTTCACACTCAATTATAATTCCATCATTTAATTTTGTTTGCAAGTTCATTGTTTCAGCAATTTTCGTGCCTGTAAAGATGAATAAACTTTTTCTTCTTAATATAAATATTTACTAACTTGTTCTTTTTGTTGATCATTTCAGATTTACTTTAATTAAGGAGCATCTTGTTGAATTCAATCAACTGGCCATGGCCAATGCTGAGGGTTCCGATGACATGTTAAATCGTGTGATGACAAAAGACAATATTGGCTTAGCTGCGCTCCTTCAAACCAAGGAGGGCGCATTTGAACCAGGCCTATTTCCAGATCCAACTCAAGCACAACATCCAATCCTTGTCTGCACAGCTCATATCCATTGGGATCCCGAATATTGTGATGTTAAATTGATTCAGACAATGATGCTTATGGCCGAGCTTCGACAAATCGTCGAGGATTCAGCGATCGCTTTTAGACCTGGTGCATCTAAACCGGATGCTAACAATGTTCCCTTAATTTTATGTGGTGATTTAAATTCTCTACCCAATTCCGGTGTTATTGAGTATCTATCAAATGGTCGTATCTCAGCGGATCATGCTGATTTTAAAGAATTGGGCTACAAGGATAGTCTCAAAAAGTTAGGAAGTAGTAACTCGACCGTCGATAATAAAACCGAGTATCTCCACCCGTTCAAAATAAGCCGGGCCTATCAAGACGACGTAATGCCCTACACCAATTACACGTAAGTACAATAGTTTTTTTTTTACTATTTTCAGCCTCAATTAAACTCACAATTTAACGAGCAAATCAAACAATCAAGTGACAACCATTAACATGAAAAAGTATAAATGAATAATAGATCATCAAGTTTACCGTTTAAATGAATGAATCAGTGTCAATGGTAAACTACAACAAGAGAGAGAAAAAACTAAATGAATACAGGAAATTATCTTTATATTTTTCTATCAATTTCTTTTAATTAAATCACTTGAACACAATGCTGTTAATGATGATTATTAACACAATGTATCAAATAAGGAAGGGGAAGGATTTATCAAGAATATTTAAAGAAACTAAATGAATGATTATTGTTACAGCACAAAGAATTGAGAATGTTTTTTATTTCTACCTGTTTATTGTTACCTTATTTATATAAAGTTCTTGTCTCATTTTAACGCTATTCGATTGCTGATCGTTAGAAGAAAAAAGCTTTATCATTGTAGCGACAATTTAACCTTTAAGAACAATTAACGTAACGTTTTCCTTTCGTTCTATTAACAGGTTCGATTTCAAAGGTGTTATCGACTATATTTTTTATAGTAAACAACATATGTCAGTTCTTGGACTTCTTGGACCTTTGGATGTCGAATGGTTCAAAGAGAATAAAGTTGTCGGTTGTCCCCATCCTCATGTACCTTCGGACCATTTCCCGTTGATCGTTGAATTCGAACTGACACCACCTTCTTCAAATCACATCCAACATTCGAATGGAATTCTACTGAGAAGATAATCTTTCTTGAGAGGAGTGAATATTTTTAATCAAGAGTATCTTCTACACACAAACAACACAACATCACCATTTTCTCAACACACACACACACAAAAAAAGCTTCTACAAATTCAACGAAAACACAAAAACAAAACATCCTATTTCCCTCTCTCATCATTATCATCCTCATTGTTTTTGTTTCTCTTTTTCTGCTCTTTTCCTCATTTTTCGCCTCCTCTTTCCTCCTCTTCCACCCACTCTTTCCTCTTCTATAATTGCCTATCTTTAATCCTAATATAATCCTTTATCTCTCTCTCTCTCTCTCTCTCTCTCTCTCTCTCTCTCTCTCTCTCAATGGGCTCTTTTTAAGTCCAAGTTATTAAAAAAATCAAACAAACAAAAATACAATTGAGTTTATCCCTAGAAAACTAATCGACTCAATATTTTTTCATCTCGTGTTTCTTTCCAATAATATACTAATTATAGTTTCTAACGGGTTAATTACAGATTGATCATCAATATGATTGAAATAATTAGTTTGTTTTCCAATAAAAGTTATCCATTTGTTATCGAGTCAAAAGTAAAAAGTTTTACCTTCAACGTTGAACTTTAAATCGTGAGATTAGATTAAATCCAAGTGTTCATCTTGATTGTGATTCTTAAATTGAGATAATTTAAATGAGTGTTAATTATCTAATATCAGATAATAATGAAATTATCTTCATCATCTGATTACCTCCTGGTTCATTCTTGTCCAGGACGTGTCACTATCTATTGATGGTGGCCTACGGTCAAACAGGTTATCATCATGATCATCACCCAGACTCATCCTCATCCTCATCCTCTTATCATCCTGATTATGATTCACCTTATTATCAAATCGGTAACAACAAAATCATCTTCATCTTTATCATCACCAGGTTACGATCATCATGCAAACCATTCAGGCTCATAAACTTCAGAAGCTCCAGTTGATAATGATGGTGGAGTAGGATGATAATGATGAGAAAAAGAGAACAGTGGAAAATAGTTCAGTACTTCGTTTCTATCATCCTATTCTTCATCATCATCTTCATCTTCTTTGCCTCATTAACTATCAATCAATTCCCGTTGGTAAGATGTTAATTGAATCTCTTTCTCTCTCTCTCTTATTTGTCAGTTGTTATGCTTACCTGTTCATTCAACAATCCAACAATCAAATTGGAATCACAATCAGATCTGATATTTTTATTCACTCATTGAAACTAATTTGGTATCAACCGTAAATTTTAAATTGTTATTGTCATTTTCTAACAATACAAAAAAAGTTCAACCCAAATATTAATAACAATTTGTTTAATCTATGGAAAATTATCAATTCTAATTGTTGATCAGCAAATTTACTACTTAAAGTTAAGATGAAACCTCTAGATAATCAGTAATACGATTAACCGTAATTCAAGAAGACAATTGATTATCAGTCTGATCTCAAGTAAAATGATTCTAGGATTTTGAAGTGAATAGTGAATATTAAATATTAATTGCTATTTGTTAATTGTTTGATTATGATTAAAATGCACATTATGATTTTATCTCTATTATTATCATCATTATGTTGCTTTTAATGTTAACTTTGTTTCGCCACATTGACCAACACAATTAAGGTCACTCTCATTATATTGACCTGACTCTTTTATCTTCATTATTATCATCCTCATCTCTCTCTCTCTCTCTCTCATCTTTCTTTCTTTTATCATCCTCGTTCTCACTCTTCTTCTTCTTCTTCTTCTTCTTATTCATCATCATCTTCTCCTATTTATTTACCCTTAACTCTCCCGGAAAACCCGGAACTTTTTACCCCAATCTCAATCTCCTTTGAAATTTTTTCTTGTGCAAAAAAACAGGTAACCTTTTCTCATTCATTACTATTATTGAAAAAAGGCCCACCCTGGTCATCATCAATCCGAGTGATCAAGATGATGGATCTTGTTTTTGTTTATCTTACTAAATGTACCTTGTTTACTTTTATCTTCCTTCATCTTAATACTCATGCATCAATTGTCAAAGAATCAACTTAACAAGGATCAAATTAACACTTTAATTTACTTAATTTAATAGTAACCTTGTTTTTTAAATACAATCATTAAGCTACTACAATCAATGCGGAAGGGATCAGTGTAAGTCCGATCATTAGAATAACAGTTTCCATCATGGTTGAGATGAACTAATATCAGCAAATGTTAACAATCAACAAGATGATTACTTAATCACTGCGAACGCAAATAAAACAAAAAATGAACAATTAAGAAGATTTTAAGTAACAAAATTGAAATATTATCTTGATGTTGTATCAACATGAACGTTTCATGTAGTTGATCATTATCCGGATTTAACCTTAAGCTTGATCTTTTTTGATTCCGGTTTCAATCATATCCTCATCTTCATCAATTTCTCACCATAATCACAGGTAATAATGTAAATATTTCTTCATCTTCCTAATACAATATTTATCCTCCTTCTACCTGGATGATGCATATGAATGTTTCAGGAAGAGAAACAGATTCTATTTATAACTGTATTTATTTCACCAAAGATATTTAAACTTTATTTACCTTTGATTATTATTATTTCGTAATGATAATGATGATAATAAAGATTATATTGATTATTAACATTCAATATGAGCCAAGTTCATAAATAACAATATGATTTCATGATAATAATAATTCATGGTGCATTTTCATCTCAAACTAAGCATCGGTTTTCAATCATCGATGAACAAAATATTTTGTTAACCAGTAAACACACATACGGATGGAAAAGGTAATAATATACATTTACTTGGATCTATTACATTTCTCTTCCTCCTTCTCATCATCATCATCATCATCATCATCTCTTACTTACCTTTTTTTCCTCTTGATCATCATTATCATCAATCCAATGCTATTCTGTTATTACATGGATCTTGAACCATGCATATTGAACAAGTTTCTCATTTCTGCATCACGGTTTTCAATTTAACCCCTCACTTACCTTTTTCACACTTATCATCATCCTCATCATCATCATCATCATCAGCGTTTCCATCATCATATTCACATTCTTGAAGTTACGGAAAAAAACAGCATCATTTTCAGGGAAATTTATGAAAACTCAGTTTTTTATGTTCCTATTAAAACGTAAACTTTTTTTCTTGGGTTGTTCAATTTACCTTCATTGTCCTTTTTGTATTGTTATTGTTGTGGCCAAATTAAGGTACAATTTAGTTCATCATTATCATCAAGGGATGAAGATGAAGATGATGATGATGATTCTTTGTTTGTGGGTAGCATCAGCATCGGATGATGATTTAGTTTGAAAGGCATCAAAGTTTTAATGGTAGAAAACTTCATAAGGCGAAACGAATGATAAAATATGATGAAGATCGCCTTAGGTCAAGCTTATTCATTTCTCAGAGAATACAATTGAAATATCATCAATTCCTTACCTCTCTCAACTCTTCCCTCTCACCTGATAGTTTACCTTTGAAAATCATCAACCAATCAACATAAAGTGATGACAAAATTTTTCTCAATCAATATAAACTAATCATTCGCATTTAAATTGTTATTAATACAATAGATTCTATTCATTTACATGGTCATCTTTTTTTCTGATCACTTGAGTTCTTGATTTACTCCTTCACTTGTCAAAATGATGATGATCTTCATGATGATTGAATAAAATTATACGTTCCTCTGATTGTTGATTGAATTGAACACAACAATCAATTTGATGATCATTATTTTTACGATAACCGTAACAAATTTAATGTTGGTTAAACTTTTGTTTCGTTGATTGTTATTTACTGATTGTGAAAGCTGCTATTAACTATTAGCTAGTTATTATTATCCCTGATTATGATTAAATTGATATTAGTTTTCAATAACTTCCTTGTTACAATGTTATTGTTTTTGATTGTTGATTGTTGATTGTTTAGTTTTGTTTTTCTCAATCTAATTTTAATCATCCATTCAATCATTTTAAAATTTGTTCAACAATTAGTATTCATCCATTTGGACATTTCTTATTTACGTGCTAATTGTTTCATATTGTTTATTAATACAGTATCAAATGATTAACCTGATTGCTAAGGTGCCATTACTCAAGTTAATTTAATCGAGAACCTTTTTAATTGTAATCAACCAAACTACTTTTTTTGGTAATGTAAATAGTTAATTAGTTGACCTTTAAGGGATATACTCTATCATTATTATCATAATTGTTATTTAACTATCCATGTTTTCATCCTGTTTTAATCAGTTAATTGTCTGATTGTGCTTGATTTGTTTTCTTTCATATTATTATCATTAGATAACCTTAAATGATAATAATCAAATTATTAATACAATTCAAGGTTAATCATTTTCGCGTAATGACTCTGATATTTTGGTTTATTTGCTCAATAAGATCAACAATTATTGTTAATTGTTTCCATGTAATTAATGTTTACATTGATCATTTCAAGGTAAATATTTAATTTTCTTATGTACTGATTTAACTTTGCTAAATTGTTGTTGATAGTTGGATATTGATTGTAAGTTCAATCAACTGGTTATTTTATTTTTTTTCAATTGATCAGCAATTTAAACTGATAATTGATTGAATAATCTTAACCATGATCAGTATTTGATAAACGTAATTTGTTAATTATCATGGGTCATGATGAATAGTGATTAGATTGGTTTAGGTAATTACAATTCAAATCACAATTGTTGTGGCAATATTTAATCAAGATACTCGGAGATAATTACAATTTACATTGTATACATATAATCATCACTCTGATTGTCACGATTTCAAATCAATTGATTAAAGTTAACACCTCTAATTGTATCAAATCAATTTTCATGAGAAAATTGTTTAGCTCATTGATAAAATTGTTATTTTTTAAAACTTTTTGATACATTGAATGTAACAAGTTAACAAAATAATTTACAATAAAAAAGAAATTAACTATTTACAATTTAATTAGAAAAAGAGAAACGATCTAAGTAAATCTCAGTCGAAACTTTGTTTTAGGCCGTTTTGTTATCGGTCGTTTCAAACTAGAACATGGTTCGATAGAGACATCGTCGATTGCTATGTCACCGAGTTCGGAGCCAATTGTCCCCTCGAATTCAATTTTGAATGATGAATCCGGTGAGAAGATCAAACTTTTCTCGATCCATTTCGGTCCTTGTGAACCTGAAGCGGTGAAAATTTCGGTCGATGTACCGGAATCGGTGTATAATGTCACTCTCAGGCTTCCGACGACAAGTCCCCACATATAATAGCCAAAGTTGAGACAAAAACTGGTACCTTTTGAAGGAAGCGGAAGTTTAGGTGTTGAAATCAACGCTCGAGACCCTGGATCTAAATTTTGAGAGTCTAATTTAAGGTAATGTCCATCAAGAGTTCCTGAAGTTAGATCAATAATTGGACCAGTTCCAGTTCGATATGATGACCGTCCAGTAGCTTTTTCCCATTCGGTATCGGCTTCAACCTGCGTCCAACCACAAAGTCCATTTGACTCGAAATTGCAATAATGTGAAACAACAGGAAGGCAACGTGGCCGCAGACCAGACCAAAGGCCAGTCGAAAGGCAGGTTTGTGATATACTACCAATCATAGTGTACCCACTAGAATCACAGCTGTATGAAACTTTGGAACCAATTTTATATTCATTTTCAATGGCCGGAGGGGTGATGAAGGTGACATGATCGTTCAGGGTGGGAATCGGACACGATTTAAGTTCACATCGGTAAATATAGTTTATCTTGTCGATATCTTGTTTAGTAAGTATCATTGAACTACCAAGACTTTCGGCTCTGATGTTTGGATCAACAGGTAGTAATGTTGGTGATTTACCGTCTCGGGAATAATCAGTAGACTTGAAATGCAGAACAGAATAATAATCGTATTCCCATGGGCCTAATTCTGCAGTATATTCAGGAGAGATTTCAAAATTTCCAATTTTAACCGGATCAATATTTTCACGAATCACTTTTACATATTTATCTCTATCTGGTCGATTGTGTTCATGCCAAAATCCAAGAGTGTGTAAAAGCTCGTGTCGAATTGTTTTTTCATTGAAACACTCCAAGTCTAAGCTTATTTGCTGTTCTCCTCCGATTCTTCCGACATCTGAATAACAACCTTTTCCTTTCATAAATATTACATAATCGCTGAACTTCTGGCCTGTTATCGGGACGAATCGCACACAAGTTGAACTTTCAATCTCACTAATCGCACGTTGTATCATCGCCGATTGCTCTCCCGTGTAATCGTAACTAAACTTATATGGAATTAACCTCGTAGGCCATAAGGTGCTCGAATCTCTTGGTCCATTTGAATACGATCTTTTCGATGTGAACGTAATCCCAGACCTCTGTTTCCTATTCCCCAAACTTTGTCCCTTTTTCGGACACCTTATATCTCCTTCGATCAAGCAAACATTTGACCTCAGTTTACCTGCGACAATGAGACCAAAAGTTATAACTCAAATTCTGTCATTTTTCACTATCTAAATGCAATTAATTCAATACTTACCTCGAACTGCTGAGGAAAAGATACTTGTATCAAAGCAAAGAATTAAACAAACAATTTGTACTAATTTAATCGTCACCATAATTGCTTCAATTGTGTCTTCCAAATCTGTTATTTTGAACGGAAAAAGTTATTGGATTATTATCATTTTCACCTATGCTTTCAATGTTCAATGTATAATTTATAACATTTGGAAATAGCAGTTATCACTAAATCATAAATTCTGACGATCATCATGTTTGCGTAGGAGTAAATAAGAATTTCGTCCGAGCTGAACTTTATTTAAATGCTCAACGATAATTTCCCGCATCTGATGGGCGACAAATGATCAAATCGTGAATTCAAAAAATTGAACTTTCGGCTAACTACCATGCGATCTTTATGCAATCGTTTTACAATCAATTATTGAAGGCAATACGATGGATAATCATGAAGTAGAATGACAAATTGTTGTTTAAAATCAACAACAATTAACAGATTTCAGAGAGAAAAAAACATTTGCTGTTGAAAGAAAAAGAGAAATTTATTTATATTTACTCACCGATATTACGAAGAAAAATATCAATAAACACTTGGGAACATTGAGAAGATTAAACAATAATAACTCAGTTAATTTTCCCATTAATTAATAACTTTTGTTTAGATAATCAACACTGACTAATTGTAACAATCATAATGATTGTAATAATTAACAAAGGTAGTTAATTCACACCCATTCATCTCGACGCATGAATTATCAGCTAATCACGAGCAATAGAATCAGTGAAAATTTTTGTCTTAATTTTGCTTCCAATTCTGTGATTATCAATGTAGATTTTGATTTATATCCGATACATTGAAGCAATTAATTATAATCCAATTCTTTTCACTTTATGTCATCGATATTTTTGATTTCTATCAGTTCAAATCAAATCAGAATCTAATGTTTAATTAGCCTAATTGTTTTCAAATTTTCTATTAATGAGAATAAGGATAATCTATACAATTTAGAGTAATGTAACTTCAGCTGCAGTTTAATTATAACAATTAACTTTTGATTAAAACATGGAAATGAGGAAGTTTAATAATATCATTTAATTGCTCTTCTTTCTTGTCATTTAAATGGATGAAAATCTTAATCAAACAATCAGAGAGTCTCATAAGTAAAGTTTTACCATGAAATTGAATAGTTTTTGTTGGTGAGTTTTAATCAACATGAATGAAACTAATATGATTAACAACAATCAAATTGTTCAACCTGATCATCAGTCTCATCGTAGTGTTGGTGATTTCAGAGGAGGTGAAAGATTCACAATCAATTATCAACCAAGTGATCCAATTAAATCAAGATACAATCGGATGGTTTGTTTGTTAATCATCTCTGTGATTATCGCCATGATTTCAATTCTTTGGGTTACCTATTTGTGGATTAAAAGTAATGAGATTAAAGCTCAATTAAAAGCTAATTCATTGATTGATGTTGGTCGTCAAATTATTGATGATTTAACGATCGCATCTCCAACTAATCATGACAATCAAAATTCATCTAATGAGAATCGTTTCGATCTGAAAAGTTTAATCAACATCGCCAAAGACGCGGTGAAAAAGTTCAATGAAACAATTTATTCAGCAACTAAAGATGACCATTAATTTAATCATACAAATTGTTAATTGTTTTATATTCATATAATGTAAGTCTAATTGTCTTTCTTTTGTCTTAATAAACTCCAAGTAAATTGTAATTTTGCGACTTTGATTAACAATTAGTATTCATTTCAAACCATTTAAAACTTATTTCTGATCATTCAAAGGGGCAGAGATAATTTGATTAAGACTGTTGTTCAATTAAGATCATTTGATTGGGTTATAATCAATTGCTATCATACTCTATTAAATTGATTCCTTAGTTTAATTGTTTGATTGGTTTCTACCATTTACCATCGACTGAGAATCAAGGGAAACAATCAAATCAAATTCTGCATCCCGAACAATTTACCTGCCTTTCCATTAATGGTAATCAAAATGATTCATTTTGGTATAAACTGATTAAACAACAATTCAGTTTTAAATTTCCTTTAAGGGGTATGCAATACTTCATTAATCAATATTTCCAATAGCTTTGAGATCTACTCTCGATCTCGACAAAAACTGATCTTTAATTCACTTCGAGTTTGGACCAAAATGTTCATTAGTGATGTCGACCAGATGGTTATGAGTGATCTTAAATTTAACCTGAAGTAGAACATCAATTGTAAACAATTGAAAGACTTACTTTCTCTTAATTGTCCTATCAAAGGATAATAAAGGCTAATTATGTATTGATTTTAATTGTAACTAATTTTCTGGTTTAATCAAAATTATTGATTATCCATAACCATAGTAACCCTTGTGTATTGGTTACCTACATGTATTTGTTTCTGCTACATGAGTTTATTAAAAAGCCAGACATTGGTGATTAACTGATTGTAAGATTTACATCGTGATTTAGTGATTTGATTGTTGTGAAATTAAATTAAAATGAAGATTAAATTTGAAAGAAGCCTTTTGGCCCCTGATTTGGTTAATCTTTTAGCTCGAATTGAGATAATCTCTTGGTCACCTAATGGATCCAAAATTGCTGTTTGTTTATCCGCAAGTAATCAAGTAAGTGTATTAATCTATTGATTATCTAATAAACATTCAAGTAATAATATCAACAATTAGTGACCATCAATAGTTAATCGTTGATTTTGCAACTTCAATTTGAGTTTTTTCATTTTCCTGATTTAAAACAAAAATGATTCAACCTTTGGTATTATCAGTGATAAAAATGCAATTTGATTCACATTAAGACTCAACAATTAACCAATATGTATTAATAGATTAAATCGTTGATTGTTCACTTTAATCACTTGAATTTCAACTTACGATTTCAAGGTTAACCTTTTCGATGGATCAACATTTGAACGGAAGGACAGATTCACCCTTCGATCGGTAGACAAAAGTTTCTCGAGGAAGTCATTTGTTGTAAAGGGAATTTGCTTCTCACCCGATTCGACTAAATTGGCCATCGGTCAAACCGATTGTGTGATTTATGTTTACAAACTGGGCGATTCATGGTAAGCTTATGATTAGTTGATTTGATTGAGAAACTTTAACTTGGATTGTGGTCAATTTAGGGAAGACAAGAAATCAATTGTTGGCCGTTATTTACTTCAAAGTCCAGTTACTTGTCTTCAATGGCATCAATCGGGCATCATATTTGGATCGGCTGATGGAAAGGTCAGTTTATAAATTAATCTTAATCTTAATCTTATTGTTGTAACTTTTTTCATTCAGGTTAAACTGATTCCGAACAATTCAAATCGTATGACAGCTTTAATCTCATCTAATTCAATGGTCATTTCGTTATCGATTTCGGGTGAGACAATTATCGCTGGTCTGCTCAATGGGTCAATATTCATGTCCACCATTGGATCAAGAGAATCAGGTGGTTATCAGATCGCAACTCACTCGTGTCCACCTTTTGCTTTAACTTTGACCCATTCAGGTTATATTGTTGTCGCTGGTTGTGATGGGAAGATTGGTTTCCATTTGACTTCAGGTTATCCGTCAAAAAATGTCACCAATAAACAGCTGATTGAATTTGGATCTGAAATAACTTGTGCTTCAGCATTTCCGACCGGAAATTCAGTGATTCTCACCTCATTTGATAAGATGATTTTGTTCAATCTCGAGACTCACCTTTGGCGAATCAATCAAACTATTCAATTGTTAGGTTGTAATTTGATTACGGGAGTTTTAATCACCAAAGATGGAACCAGGTTATTAATTGGGTCGATAACTGGATCAGTTGATTTGTTTACATGTCAATGGAAAAAGAAATTGATTGGTGATAAATTCGAGATTAATTATGTTGGTTTGAGTCAAATTGTCTTCAAAAATTTGGACAATGGATTGACCAATATCTTCCGATCGGATCACGAGATTCGCGATGTTAGGATCATCCGAGATTCTTATGCTGTTGTTTGGACCTCGAAAAGCTTAATCATGGCCACTTTGGGATCTTCATCTAAATCATCTGAAATTGAGTGGCCTGGATTAACTAGTCGAGGTCTTAAATTTTGCTTCGATTACGATAACGTGGCTTTAGTTTACGCTGCTGGTGAACTTTTTATCGTTGAGCTCGGAGTGAATCAGCTCTTAGCTTCAGTTAGAACTGATCATGTTAATCCTCACCTAATGAGGTAAAGCACAAGAAACTCAACGATAGCGATGATTTAATCTTAATTTTAATCTTTCAATTTCTAGTGTTCGGATCAATGAACGTAAATCGGGTGCCAAAGTCTTGGCATATCTACTCGATCTGAAGACAATCGCAATTGTCGATTTGATTTCTGGCCTTCAAATTTGTACCTGGTCGCATGAGGAAAAAATTGATTGGTTGGAACTAAATGAAACAACTAAGCGACTTCTTTTCCGTGATAAGCAACTTCGTCTTCATCTGCTCGATATTTTGGCCCAAGAGTCGATTGTCCTTCTCAATTTTTGCGGATTCGTCCAATGGGTACCTGGAAGTGATGTTGTTGTCGCTCAGTCGAGGGACAAATTGTACATTTGGTATGACTTCAGTCGACCTGTTATTCACGATATTCCTGGTGATCCTAAAGCCGAGGCCGTTTCTATTGAGCGCGAAGGTGGACTTTCTAGAGTCACTTTCACTGGAAATACTCCTGATATTTTACTCGATGATGTTTTGCTCGAGTTCGATACAGCTCTCGAGGATGGTGACCTTCGTCGAGCGATGAGTTTCTTAGAGACCTGTGATCTCTCACCAGAATCTGAGGCCATGTGGAAACAATTGGCTTCTGCTGCTCTCCAATCTTTCGATATTTCGGTCGCTGAACGCTCGTTTGCTGCGATAGGCGATGTCACCAAGGCGAATTTTGTCCGTCAGTGTCTCGAAGATCATAATAAATTGGCTCTACTTGAAGGTGATTGGACTACATTTGAATCGCATAACTTTGATTCTGTTATTGACACTTATGTGTCATTACATAAATGGGACAAAGCGATTGAACTGTCCGCTCGAATGGGCAGAACTGATATTAAAGATTCACTTGAGTCTCGATATCTTGAATACCTCAATGAGACGGAACAACAGTCTGAAGCCGGTCGATTGATGGAAAAGAAAGGTCACTTCGAGGAAGCAATTAAGTTATATTTAAGGTCAGGGTGGCCTTTTCAAGCTGCCGCTCTGCTATTTGATCTGGCAGCTAAAAGCCAGTCAACATTAAGCGCAATTTAATCGAGGAATTGATTAGTGAACTGAAAGCGGCTCAATTTTATGAGGAGGCCGGAAGGTTATCGGAAATGGCTCCGGTTTCTGATCCTAATGCTGCTTATGAACTTTATTTAGCTGGACATTGTTATGGTCGAGCTATTGATTTGGCTCGTCGTGAATTTCCGGAAGAAGTGGTCACTCTTGAGGAAAAATTTGGTGACTGGCTACTGACCTCCAATCGCGATCCAGCCGGAGCAATCAACCATTTCATTGAATCAGGTCGAAATGATAAAGCGCTTGAGGCCGCTGTTGAAGCTGGACAGTTTGAAAAAGCGGCAGAAATCGCTCCTAGTTTAGATACGATTCCTCCTAATTTGGGAAGGTCAATCGCTGAGTATTATTCAACCAATGGTCAAATCGATGCAGCGCAAGAAATTTACTTAACATGTGGCCTGATCGAAGATGCAGTTTCTCTTCTGAACAAGGCTGGACAGTTCAGTCGAGCCTATCGATTGGCTAAGAATTATATGACCGGTGAAGCGGCACGTGAAATGTATGTCAATATCGCTCGCTCAATGGAGGGTGAAGGTAAATATCGTGAAGCCGAAAGAATCTACATAACCTGTGACGACGTGGACTCTGCGATTTCGATGTACAAATCAGCTCGACAATACGATTCTATGATACGATTGGTTAAACAGTATCATCCTGACCTTTTGAATGATACTCATCTGCATCTCGCAAAAGAGCTGGAAACGGATGGACTTCATGCTCAAGCTGAAGGTCACTTTGTGGCCGCTAGTGAATGGAAAAATGCTGTTCGAATGTACAAAAATGCCAATAAATGGGAAGATGCCTACAGAGTAGCTCGTTCATACGGTGGTGCTGTTCCAGCAAAACAAGTGGCCTTTCTTTGGGCTAAAAGTTTACCTGACTCAGAATCGGCTGTTAAACTTTTAAGTCGCTTTGGTTTACTCAATCAGGTCATTGATTATGCCGTTGAATGTAATGCGTTTGAATTTGCAATCTCATTAGTGACCAATGGTGGACCCGAAATGAAACATAAGGTCACTGATGTAAGATTAAAATATGCGCTTTGGTTGGAAGATGAAAGTCGATACGATGAAGCTGAGGCTCTTTTCTTGGCAGCAAATAAGCCGAAAGAAGCGGTTCTTATGTACTTACATGCTCGATCATTTTCTGACGCTCTGAGAGTCGCTGAACAATATGTCAAGGATGAAAATGTTGTTTCTGACGTCCTTGTAGCCGAATCGAAAAATCTTATTGAAAAGTCCGGCGGCTCTTCAATCGAGACAATGATGAAAGCGGAATCGTTATTACTTCGAGCCGGGCGAATTGAATTGGCTGTTAAAATGTACAAAGACATGGGAATGTGGGATGAGGCCTTGAGAGTTTGTGAACAATATTCACCGGCACTTATTGATTCCGTTAAAAGAGATATGATCTTATCAGGTAATCGATCCGTGGCTTCAGTGTCATCTGATTATCGCTCAATAGAAACGGGATCGGGCAATGGCTCACGACAGCGAGGTCTGGTTATCGCTTCGAGAGGGTCACTTAAATCTCGAGATTCGGCAGGAACTTCACGATCAGGAAGTATTTCTGGGCCGATGACACCCTCGGAATCGTTTAGACGAGATCTTAAGTCTGAACTCGAAGCTGCTGAATCGGCAAATGATAAAGAAAATATCGTCCGTTGTTGTTTACTGTTAGTCTCACAATTAATTGGTAAAAAGTCTTATGGTGAATCAATAAGATTGCTGAACAAATACCCGATCGCTTTAGCATCGTTGGAAAGTAAGACTTTGTTGACTCGAATAGCAAATGAACTTATGGCCTACGAGTCACCTGACGAACCAGATTATTCAACATGGAAAAGTCTTCGAAATGCTTTTTTCAATCACATCTCAACATCTCAAGGGTCAATCGATGATTCGACCTTCGAACAATATTTATTAATAACTCACTTTCTCGTCTTGAAACGAGCACTGACCAACCTTGTGGACTTTAACGGAGTCACAGAGCTACTTTGTAAGTTGACGATTTCTTTACTTCGATATACGGACATCCTTCGAGTGGACAAGTTCTTTTACGAAGCTGGACTGGTAGCGAAAGAAAATGGCCGATTAGACATGGCCTTTATTTTCTGGAATCATTTCCTAGACCTTGTTGATGCCATCGAAGAGGGAGACGTTAATGTTGACCATTCTGATTTCGAGGCGACTGACATTCCCTCTGAAGTACCGTTACCATCAACACCTTTTGCAATCGATGGTCAACCAAATCTAATCGAAGATGTTAAAAGTTGGATTCTCCAAATCTCAATGGACTCGAAAATTTCTCATAACCTTCCCGTTGATCCATATTGGGGAAATGTTTATGAAGCATCGCTGGTCAACGCCGACGGGTCAAAATCGTTACCTTGTCTTGTCACCGGTTATCCCGTTCACAAGAACAAAATCCTCGAGCTGAAGCCTAATCGTTATGCTGCTAATAAAGATGATTGGAATAAATTGTTAATGATCACAAAGGTAAAAGTTGATTGAAATCAGCTGATTGTTCTGGTTAATTGTTCACTAATCGTCTCTTTATATTTTCAGGTGTCCGGAAGTGATGACCTCAAGGAGATCCTTCTTTTCATCGGAAAACTTTGCGGCAACGCAACGGTCGCTCGATTTACTTTCCAATAGTTCAAATTAATTTAACTTGACAATAAACACTATTTCCTAATCATTAATATGATATTTAAATTGTTACCTAATCAATGTTATTACACGTTGATCTAAATTGTAATCATTGATTGGATTGCTGGTGGTAAATTGAGCCTTTAATCATATCAATGTGTCCTTTTATCATTGATAATTGTTATACTTTGAATCTATTGATGATTCTACTAACTAAATTAATTCGTTATTGTCTTAAGGAAACCAAGATGATTAAGGCGAATGTGATTAGCTTCAATCGATTGTAAGTGATTAACTTAATCAATTAACATTGAATCCTAAAATCCTAATCAATTCATTATAAAAGCATCTGAATCACTGAATGAACATTGAAACTAGAAGTTAATGAGTTGTAACGATGAATTAAATTTACATAGTAAAGCAGTTTAATTACCAACCTCTAAAGATCAGCAATTTATAAATTGTTTTCAATATCAACAAGATGGATTCAAATGTGATCAATTTATTAATTTTTTCATTAACTTTTCTTTTGGTGTCAATACCTTTACAAACAGGGACCATTATTCAGGTAATTAATATACGAATGTGATTAATTCGAGTTGCAATCAATAACTGAATCTTACCATTCCAACAATTTAAGGCCATCGTTGTTAATTCAATTAACAGCGAGTACGCAATTAAATGGGATGGATACGAATGGAGTGGATATACTGGATTAGCTGTTTGTTCAATAACCACCGCGATTCTGTCCTGGTTCACACCCTCGTTGATCGCGATCATCGGCTGTAAAAAGTCAATGATTATCGGTGGAATAGGATTTTGGTGAGTAATTAGAGTTAATTGTTCACTTTGATTGTTGGTTAATTGCTTCTCTCTCTCTCCGGTTTAGTCTTTCTTACTCTGTTTTCCTTTATCCTCTTAAATATGGACTCATCATCGCTTCATTTATATTGGGATTCTCTGCTTCAAGTAATTAAACTTCGATTGTTTAATTGTAATTGCTGATCTAATCCTAGTTCTTGTTAATTGTTACAGTTCTTTGGCCAGCACAAGGTAATTACCTTGCTTTGATTAGTGACAATGAAACGATCACTCGTAATACTGGAGTTTTATGGTCGTTCACTAATTTTAGTTTGGTCATTGGGAATTTAATTGTTTCTCAATTGTTTGAAGGAAAAGATGTAATTAGTCCTGAATTGCGACAGTTAATCTATGCAATTCTAATTGTTTTCGGACTATTGGGCAGTATTCTATGCGCTTTCATTAAAAGTCCCGATCTACTTAAAGTTAAATCAATTGATGAAACAACTAAATCTGATGAGATTGAAGTAATTGAATCACCTTTTACAGCTTTTAGTGAGTATTACAATTAACTGATTGTGATTGTTGACAAAAACTTATAAGCAAAGTTGTTGAATCTTATTTTTATTTTTCAAACAGGCAGAGCAATTAAAATGTTGGTTCACAAAAAAGTAATGCTCATTGCAATATTTGCAATTTACACAGGTAAACTATTAAATCAACCTGAATCACAACAATTAAAGCCAATCAAATGGCTTAATATTGATCTGATAGGTTGACAAGATTACTAATAAACTAGACTAATCATATTCATTGAGTAAATACCCTGATTATTTCCCCCATTAGGGATTAACAGAAAATGATTAATCTAATATAAACTATGGACTAATTAATTTGGTTGAATCTGATTTAATCATTTTCTCAGGTCTTGAATTAACTTTTTTCACTGGGCTGTACAGTACATCAGTTGCATCCACTTTAGCATTTGGAGTGAATAGGAAAAAGTATTCAGGTGAATGTGGACTTTTAATCGGTAAGAATTGGACATTGAGTCGAGGTTAATTTTCACAATTGAGAAGAAACAATCAACACTTTTTCATTAATTTAGGTATTGGTGAAGTTGCTGCCGGTATTGTATTCATAATAACCTCGAAAAGTAAACGATCAAAGATAATTGTTGTCGCCGCTTATATACTTTACCTGTTGACCTTCGCCTGTGTATTTGTCAATCTACCAACTCATTCATCAATTCATGAAACAAGTGAAAAAGCAATTTTTGAATCAAGGTAAATGAATTAATCTTTGATTGTTTAACGAAAATATCGACTAATCATTCAATTCTTACAGTCTTAACTTGGCTCTACTTTGTGCTCTGTTATTGGGCTTTTGTGATGGTCTTTATGAGACTCAGATCAATGAATTCATCGCAATCACTTATAAGGAAAATTCATCGGCACCTTTTGCGATATTCGTCAGCCTTCAAGCTCTTGGCGCAGGGACACTTTTCTACCTCGGTAATTACATCGGTCTTCATGTTCATCTGATCATCTTGACCGCTGGTGCGACGATCGGTACATTGGCGTTTTATCTGGCCAACAAATTGGCCGGCAAAAGGTCAAAAGTTGTAGAAACGGAGTCAAAGCCAGTTTATCAAATAACAGAAAATATCAACTAAATTGTAATTTAAATTGTTTTTTATTTCTATTTTTGTTACAAAAAAAGAGAACCTACTTGTTGATATTTTAATTGTACCAAATGATATTGAACGGATTAATAGTTAATCTTTTCAATGTCGTCTAGTCAATCTCGTTTTAATCATGATTAAGTGGAAATAAATTGTTTGATTTGGAGTGAAACTCATGTTTAGTTGCTTGTATCATGATAAAAGTTATTCTATCATCAATTAATCTACAAATCAATGAATTAGTAAAATGATAATCAATCCAAGTTATGATAGTTTCATAGGGATTTTTTCATGGATTATCATTACCATAGATTAACAGTTCCAAGTCAGAGTCGATTCTCAAGAAATTGTGATAAAGTGGTTTCGAGATTACATTCAATTACAATAAATCAAATTCAAACGTAATAGAATCTTTGATGATTAGCTGATTGCCATTCGAAACAATCAATTGTAGAAACGTGAACGGAAATCACTCAGTCGGAATAAAATATCTTCGAGTATTCCAATCAATTAATAAAATAATGCTGAACATTTCCATCGTTGGATATGAGCTCAGAATTCTGAACATCATGTACGTTGTGCATGGAAACTGATTTAACAATCGACAAATGAGCGCAGTCTCGTTGATCATTTTGATCGAATTGACATTCGAACCAAGAAGTTCGACCTGAAAGGACAGTCTCGATTTCTGGACTAACACCAATAATCTTGATTCTGGTCTATTAACTTTTCGTAATTAGAGTTAAATTAGACAATAATCAAACGAGTATCTGGTACTCATCATCATGATTGAAATTTAAGATTATTGATTAGAGTTGCATCAAGTGTTGATCAACAATTAAGATAAAATTGAACAATCAAATTAAATCAACAAGTGGCAATTCAATTTTTCAATGCAAATGATTTAAATTAAAGATCTGATAGTCGTCGAGATGGAAATTTACTTGAATGGTTAACACATGTAAATATTTAATTGTGCACTTTAATTGAAATTTTTTAGTTTTTTTTTTGATTATTAATTTAGTTATATTGAGTTGGTTGTTTTGTTGATTTTTTTATACTTTTAAATCATGGATGAATCCTAGAATCAATTGTTTCTTTGTTAATTATGTACATTTTTTTGTAAGTTGCAGAGATAAATCTTAACCAGGGAAACTTGTTTGATTTGTTTTTAAATACTAATTCATAATTAACAAGCTTTGTTTTTAATTGTCCAACAATAACATTATTCATTTTTAATTATTTTTGTCTTATTTTGAGGTAGTTGTTGATAGAGCATTTCCACTAACATCACCGCCGGTGGTTTGAGGTCCTTGTGATCCACTTCCTCCATTTGCACCGCTACCAACGCCTGGGATCTTCTCTTCAGATGATTCTCGCATTTTGTCGACATATTCTGTGAATACGTCTCGAAATTTAACCCAAGATTTCTCTGGAATGGTGATTGACGAACGGAAATTGTTTTTTACCTGCGAAAATACGAGAATAATTATCATGAGTTTGCCAGAGAAAGAGAGACATTAAAGACGTAAAGAGTGAACAAGAGATCTTACCTCTGATATTCGCAAATAAATTCCTAGATTGTTTTGTCCAATATCAAAGTAGAACTTTTTGCTGTCAGTTCGAATTAGTTTACCTTCAGGTAATTCACCTTTGAAACCTGTGTTGCGAAAAGAGAAAAAGATTCATAATTAACACCACAGATCTAAATAAAGGAAAATATAAAGAGATAGGAGGCAATAATGACCCGAACTTGAAACTTTATCTTCTTCACGACAGCCATCAGCATTTCCAAACTCATCAAGCAGATCAGTCAATGCATCACGAAACTCTATCATTCCTTGGGCAGGAATAGCTATTTGAGCTCGCTGGACTCCTCTAGGCATTGTTTGAGAAACCTATTAACGAAAGAGAGGAAAAGATTGGTAAAGAAAAAAAAATCAATAACAGGTAGTTGAAATGAAAACAGGGTAATCTAAAAATCTACAATCCAAATGTAGCTTGAGAAATCACATAACGAGTAGCATGTAATATTTCAAGACCCAGAGCCATGTAGAAAAGAAAGAGCCAAAGCCAAAGCCATAGGCAGTTCGGGCTCAAAGCCAATTGTTGATTAATTATCTGCTGACCTCATAGTAAGAGTATTCAATTGGGTCTGTAGCCCAACTAACCCTTAAAAATCTTCCTCTATTATTTTCTTTCAAATCAAGATAATAACGTCGATTATCTTTGACCATAACTTCCGATTTTAATTTTCCATCTTCTGGTAAACTATCAGGATTTGGTGGACCTAAGATTGAGGTGGTTGAGAGAGAAACAGAGAGAAAGTAGAACAAGTTGTTGAAATCAGTAAAAGATTTTTCTTGGGCGTGAATAGTGAAGATGAAGAAAGAGAACTAATTTTGGATCATCTCGATTATTTATAGATGAACAAGTCGAGAAAAATACTCACCCAAAGATGCATAAAGTTCACTGAAAGCTGTTAGATGATCCCTGAACTCTGCCGCCGTTGACATTGCCAAAGAGAGTCGACTTTTTCTACCAGCGGTTCCAACCTGTTTCAAAAATGGAAGAGATTAAAGAGAAAGCATGGAATGAGAATGTGATGACAGATGAAATTAATCACTTGATTACATAATGAGGATTAGAAACTAACCTCAGCAACTTTGAAGAATCGACCTCTGCGATTTTGCTTGACATCCAAATAAAATCTTTTATGTTGGATTTGAAGCATCTTGGTTGCTAATTCCACTTCGCCCGATGATGACATTTGACCAGCTAAAATCGAAATTGTAAAAAAAAAATCAATGACAAGGTCGACAGAGAAGATTGAAATTCTTACGATTGCTGTTGGTCTCTTGCTCAGAGCCTCTATCAGACATTGCAAGGTGGTTGGTTGTGGTTGTTTGGTGGTGGAAGATTGAAGAGGTGAACGGGTTAAACCAGGGAAAGATACAAAGAGATGAAGAGATGAAGACAGAAACAGAGAATGAGGGAGAGAGTCAAAGAGAAAGAGAGAGATTGAGAAAGAGAGAGAGAGTGAGAGAGGGACAGATAAAGAGATGGAAATGAGAGAGATAAGTTAAAATAAGATCCCTTTTTTAACTGTTAATACAACGAGAGCAAAGATTTTTGAAAGAGTAATTACAATTTATGGAAAGAAAAAACAATAAATTGCAAGAGAGAGAAAGAAAGAGTGAGAGAGTGAGAGAGAGTGAAGATGTGAAATTATGAGAGAGAAAATCTTAGCCTTAAACCAGGGTGGGTGAAGAAGACAGAGCAAAGAGAAAGGCAGACAGAGGAAGTGGAAACACAACAAAAGAAAAGAAAGAGGAAAAAACCAAAGGAAGATGAAGAAGATGAAAGTGGGCAAGGTGGTTGATTGGATTATTTCCGTTAAACACTAAATTTAAAAAATAATTAAATCAAATTGATTTGATTGATTGAAAAAAAATCACATTCACAAATAAAAAGCTTCACTCAAAACGATCTCACCCTTTACTTTTTTCGCTCTCAAAATAGACAATCAACTTTCTATTCTCACCGCAGAATTTAAAGTAAACACTTTTCATGACAATTCTTGTTTCAAGAATCTTAAATTGTTTAATTAATATTCTAAATTGGATTACATTTGTAATCTCATTCGGTTTCACCTGCAAGGTGGTTTCATCATTCGTTGCAATAAACTAAATCCATTTGATTATATTTTCCTATTCCAATTGTGTTTTGAACAAAATGTCAAAAACAAATGAAATCATCAACACCAATTTTCCTTTAATTGATCAAAATGTTTATAATTATATCGTCGGTGTCCTGAAAGAGGGTAAAAGTGAATTCCAGGATCGGGAAGACATATTTGAATGTCTTGGTGAAGTTTTTCTCGATGTTACAAATGGAACCAGAAATGAGGATGAGATTAAGGATGTTTGTCATCAATTACTTGAGTCTCTTAAAATGTAAGATTGATTTTCCAATTCTTCATTCATCAAGATCATTTTTTAATCTTTTCTCATTGTTTATCCCTTTAGAGGTGAAGATAAATCAAAACGGTCGACTAATGGCTCGGATTCTGATGGTCATCGGATTCTCTCAAAACCAATTCTTTTAGGTAAATAATGTTGTTATTAATGTTCTTGTTTCTATCCAGCTCCTTGTTGTTTTCTCATTGATTAACAGGTGAGATGGTCTCTAACATGACGGGCTCTCTTGATGAATATAAGAGTATTTGGTGTCCACAAAGAGAGTTGTCATCTCAGGTCAATCAGAAGAAATTGGATAAGGCCGAGGCCAAATTGAAAAGTAAACAAGAGAAACGAGATGCTTCCGAAGGAACCACCACAACCACCGGCGGATTTCAAGTCAACAAAGAGGCTTCGGCTAATCAAATGATTAACCGAAGAGATATTAAAATGGATGAGACTGGTCGATGTAAAGATATTAGAATAGAAAATTTTGACATTTCCTTTGGTAATAAGCAACTTCTTGCCGGAGCTGATTTGATTCTCAGTTATGGTCGTCGTTATGGTTTAGTTGGTCGCAATGGAATTGGTAAATCTACTTTACTCAAGATGATTTCCAATGGTTCATTGATTATTCCAAAGCACATTAGCTTTTTACACGTTGAACAAGAGGTTATTGGCAATGATACAATCGCTCTTGATGCTGTTCTTGAATGTGATTTAGCTCGAAACAAACTACTGGCTGAAGAGAAACGTTTACTCGCCCTTAAAGATGGAAGCGGTGAAGATGTCAACGCTAAATTGGAAAAGGTTTATGCCGATTTGAATGCAAGTGAAGCCGAAAAGGCACCAGCTCGAGCTGCGTCCATTTTAGCGGGTCTTGGATTCACCGATGAGATGCAAAAAAAGGCAACTAAGGAGTTTTCTGGAGGTTGGAGAATGAGAATCGCTTTGGCTCGAGCTTTGTTCAGTAAACCTGATCTACTTTTACTCGATGAACCTACTAACATGTTGGACATGAAGGCGATCATTTGGCTCGAAAATTATCTCATCAAAAGTTGGACTTCGACGCTTTTGGTTGTCTCTCACGATCGACAATTTCTTAACAGTGTTCCAACCAATATACTTTATTTTCATAATCAACGAATTGATCCTTATGCTGGAAATTATGACAACTTTGTTAAAGTGAAAAGTGAGAAGCAGAAAAACCAAGAGAGAGAATATGAATCTCAAATGGATTTCCGAAAACATACTCAAGAATTTATCGACAAATTTCGTTACAACGCTAAAAGAGCGAGTTTGGTTCAGAGTAAGATCAAAATGCTGGAAAAGTTACCCGTTCTCGCTCCAGTTGCTAAAGAGGAAAAAGTTGTCCTTCGATTCCCAGAGAATGAACCTTTAGCTGGTGCACCGATACTTCAATTAGACGAGGTCAGTTTTGGTTGGGGAACCGAACCAAATGTACTCGAAAAGATATCACTTAACGCTAATCTACAATCACGAATTTGTATTGTGGGAGACAATGGTTCGGGTAAAACAACATTACTCAAATTATTAATTGGTGACATTTCACCGAGATCGGGTGAGCGAAAAGCTCATAGAAATTTGAAAATAGGTAAATTCCCCGTGAAGGATTTTAAACTTGTTGATCTCTAATCTTTGTTTTTTAAATTGTGTCTTAATTTTTAGGTTATTTTAGTCAACATCATGTCGATCAATTAACTATGGGTCAATCATCAATTGCGTTTCTGGCCAACAAATATCCTGGTAAACCTGTTGAACAATATCGTAGCTATTTAGGTAAATTTGGAGTATCCGGTGATCTTGGACTTCAACCGATTGAAAGTTTGTCGGGAGGACAAAAGTCTCGAGTAGCTTTCGCAGTGATGGCTTTGGCTAATCCTCAGATCGTGATTCTTGATGAGCCTACGAATCATTTGGATGTTGAAACGGTTGAAGCTCTTGGAGATGCAATAAACAAATACAATGGCGGCGTAATATTGGTCTCTCACGACGAAACTCTTATACAAATGGTTTGTAAGAGTTGTGGTTAGTTAAAAATAAAAAAGTCGCCGTACTTGAGGGTGGATTCGAAGAGTACCGACAATTGATCGAAAAAGAATTGGAAGAAGTTAAATAATGATACGTTTATATTTCGATATATTTATTATTATGATGAAACAATCAATTTATCCGGTTAATTAAAGCGATTTAAATTTCGATCATCAAGTGTTTCAAATGATTCCCAATTGCGGGTCAATTTCTCTATTCTTCATCAAAACTGTTCATTGAGAGATTCGCTTTCAAAGAGAAAAATACAGAGATCAGAAAGAGAAAGACAGAGAGACGGAAGAATGAAAAAAAATCAAGATAAGGAAATTGAACTGACATTCGGCAAAGAGAAGTAAGGAAGAGCCAAGTCTTTCTCTCTTTGACACAGAAGGTAATCAATTCTCGAACAGTTTAGCTCCTTGGCGATTTTCGCATATACGTCAGTTAAAGTGCGATAATGAGTACGCACTAACTCTTCAGTCCATTCGAAACCATTAGTATCCAACCATTTGGCGAGACCCAACATTAATTCCCAATCCATTGAGCTTTGATTATCTCTTAGGAAGAAAAGTATAAAAATGTTCCTTTGTGTTCTATTGAATGGAGTGGGCACAGATTCAGGATCATCTTTGATTTTATCGGCAAGAATTTTGAATATTTCATCTATAGTTAGTTTAGGTTCGTTGAGATAGTCACTCATTTTGATTAGACGAATCAAAGAAAAATGAACTTTAGTTAATTAAGATCAGAATAAATGAAAGAAACCAAAAAATAGAAGACAAGTAAAAGCATTATGAGCGGAAATTGACCTCAGCGCATCTACGACCAGGCTGAAGAGCGGAGACTTTGAATATACGTTCCCATGTTATTATTAATAGGAAAGAAAATCTTCAAGAATTTATCAAATCGCGATTGCATAGAGATTAGTATTAAGATGAGGGATTAATGAAATTATTTTCTATGTTTTCAAAGGTAAATCTTTTTCGATCATCTAGTGGTTCAAAAGATTCCCAATTTCGGTTCATTTCTTTATTCTTCATCAAAACTTGATTGAGAGATTCGTTTTAAAACGAAAAATACAGAGATCAGAAAGAGAAAGACAGAGAGACGGAAGAAGAAAGGAAAAAAATTAAGATAAAGAAATTGAACTGACATTCGGCAAAGAGAAGTAAGGAAGAGCCAAGTCTTTCTCTCTTTGACTCAGCCAGTAATCGATTCTCGAACAGTTTAGCTCCTTGGCGATTTTCGCATAAGCGTCAGTTATGGTGCGATAATAAGTACGCACTAGCTCTTCAGTCCATTCGAAACCTTTACTATCCAACGATTTGGCGAAACGCAACATTAATTCCCAATCCATTGAGCTTTGATTATCTCTTACAAAGAAAATTAGAAGAATGTTCCTTTGTGTTCTATTGAATGGAGTGGGCACAGATTCAGGATCATCTTTGATTTTATCGTCCAGAATTTTGAATACTTCATCTTTAGTTGGTTTAGGTTCGTTAAGCCAGACAGACATTACTACTAGTAGTATATTACTAGTCAGAGTAGATGAATCAAAGAAAAATGAACTTTAGTTAATTAAGATCGGAATAAATGAAAGAAACTGAGAAATAAAGAAGACAAGTAAAAGCATTATGAGCGGAAATTGACCTCGGCGCATCTACGATCAGGCTGAAGAGCGGAGAATTTGAATATACGTTCCCATGATATTATCAATAATAGAAAAGAAAATCTTCAAGAATTTATCAAATCGCGATTAATTCATCTTTGCATAGAGATTAGTATTAGTATTAAGATGAGGGATTAATGAAACTATTTTCTATGTTCTCACTTTTAAAGGTAAATCATTTTCGATCAACTTAATTTATTCTTGATCGTAATTGTTTATTCAGAAATTAACTGATGAACCAATGAAAACAATCAACTATTGACAATTAGAAATGAAAATCACTCGGAGAGAGAGAGAAAAGGTAATCAAGAGTCAAACAAACACAGACAAGAATCAAAGATAAGATGAAGATGAAAACGAACTGTAGATGATTAGAGTGATGGAGAGAGAGAGAAAGAGGGAGGGAGAAGGCAGAAGATGATAATTAGATTAATGAAGATGATGAAGAACTTGTGATAACAGAAGAGAATGGAAAATGCGGCAGAAGTTGCAAAGAGAAAATAAATCGGCTCTTGGCTTTTGTTTCTCATCAAAATACCGCAAGAAAATAATGTAGTTCATCCTTTGGAATTCAACTAATCAACAATTCCAACAAATTAACTGTTACCCGTTAGCTAATTGTCACAATTATTAAACAGAAGAGAAAGAGAGAGAGAAAGATGATGATGAAAAGGATTAACTGGACTTTCAGAGTCGAAATCGAGATCGAAATCACAATCGAGAAACTTTTGTTCATTTGAAATCGAAACGATTTCCAATTTCGGCTCAATCGTTGCTCTGAATTGGTCCAATTAATCAACCGCTGGTAATTAGATTTAAGGTTCGATCAATAATTAATCAAATATGATAATGTATTAAGTTGATGCGATAACATAATTATCCTAATTGTTGAGATAATTGTTGTTGTTTAACTTTGAATATCACTTGTGATTCTCGCCCTCTAACGATTAAAGGGAACAACTTAATTTATCTTAAAAGTTTCATCTTCTCATTAAGGTGATCCCGCTCTTGTCTTTAATTTCCTTTCATCTTTATTAATTAACTCTTATTAATCATTCTAATCATCTTAATCATCATCGATCCTCATCATTCTCACTTCGTCACCATCAACAATTATCATCAGTTTCAATTTGTTCTTCCTTTGAATCGGTAACCGTTTTTCTCAGTCGATCATCAACTTACCTTTTATTGTCCATTGATTATGTTAACTGTTTGATTTCAATTTGGTTTCGTTAATTATGTTCATCTAATTGTTTCAATTGTTTTTCGATTCTAAACAAAAATAATTAAACTTATTTATTCTCTAAATTGTTCGTTATCTTCTCTCTCTCTCTCTCTCTTTACCTTTTAATCGATTTATGGTGTCAATCATCTTCTTCCAATAAAAGATGATGATGATCAACCATTCGACTGAATTTCCTCAAGATACCATGAAAATCATCTGAGATTATTATCAATACAATTTCATTACATTTCTTCACTTTCCACCAATTAATTATCTCTATCAATCGTCAATACATCTTAATTGTGTCTTAACCATCTTGGGATCTCAATTGATCGGAATATGCATTTAAATTGTTTACCAGTTTTCTCACTAATCATCATCATCCAATTTACTCGATAATTATAATGGTCGATGGCTACAGTAAAGGTGAGTTCGTAACTCTATTAATTGCTCGCTCTTAATCAGTTCTAATTGTTATCATGTCTATCCTTCAGCTCCACCACGATTAGCATCTCCTAAATCTAATCCAGTCATTTATCGAGCTGGATCTAAGGTTCAACTTCAATGTCCAGTGTACGCTGACCCTCAGCGATTAATCATTGAATGGATGAGAGACAATGTCCCGATTGATCATATTCATCGGTACTTCGTCACCTTAAATGGTTACCTGAAAATTGAATTCGCTCAGATTGAAGATTCCGGTGTTTATACTTGCAAAGCGGTCAATGGTTTCGGCTCCGTCGATGCCAATATAACGCTGAGCATTCTCGGTGAAAATGATCTTAGTGTAAGGAGATTCACATCGATTGGTGATAATCGTTTATATCACAATCATCAATTGAACATAAATCACAACAATATAAACATCAACAACCACAATAACCACAACAACATCAACAGTAACAACAACAATAATAATGACAATCAACAGATTCATAGTGTGAACAGTAATCTTAATTTTGTGAACAATTTGAAAGACGGAAATGGGGCCGTTGGTCAATCGATCGGTAGATTTGACAGTGACGGTGATTATTATGATCTTCAATCACCGTACTTTTTAACGCCACCGACAACGAAAGAGATTAAGAAAAACAAAGGGAAACCTTTGCGACTTCGTTGTCATGTGGAGGGTAAACCAAGGCCCGAAATTGTTTGGTACAAAAATGGATCACCGATCAGTGCGTCCAAAGTGTCGGGGAGAAATTCTCGAACCAATGGAATCCTCGATTTCAATGAGGCTCGACTCGAAGATTCTGGTTATTACATGTGTGTCGCCACGAATCTAAAAGGACAAATCAACGCGACATTTAGTGTGACAATCACAGGTTGGTTTTAATTTACTTTGATTGTTAATCGAAATGAATCAATCAATGAATGTTTATCACCAGTCAATTAGTATTTTGTTGATTTGATCAATTTGATCATTCATATCATCATTGAATCTTTGGAAACACTTTATGATTATCTTGATTGTTGTTGATGTTTGAAGTAAAAAAGTATCACCACTTGATGAAGATTAATTAGAATCAATAATCTCTTAATTTCAATTATGATGATTATGAAAAGTTACTAATTTGATTTGTTGCTCAATTTTAAACAGATAAAATTAATAGACCAGAAATCATTGGTATTAATCCAGAAAACAAGACTGTCCTTTCAGGTCAAACTGCTTGGTTCGAGTGTCGATTTAGATCTAAATTAGATCCAGTAGTTAAGGTGAGTTTAGAATTGATCATCGAAGGTTATTCTTAGTTTTCTAATTGTTTGTTAATTGTTCTCTCAGTGGTTGAAAGAAGTGACTCTGGATGAAATGGACGAAAATCCTGATGAAGATCGAGGTATTCTGATTGAGATCGACGGTGAATACTTCAAGTCACTCAAGTCGAGTTCTAATGTCTATAAACGAGAAGGAATCTATTCTCATCGATTAGTAATTGATTCAGTTAATCAAGCCGATTCTGGGAAATATTTGTGTTCGGTGGTCAATTACGAGGGTTACGTTTATCGTGACAGTTACTTGACTGTGGCCACGGCGGTTGAAATGAATCAACTTCGAGGTGGATTGGGGTTTCAAGGGATCAACTATTGGGCTATTTTAATCGTTGTCTTAGCCACAATTGCGCTAATTGTTTTGATAACAGTTACCATTTTCTGCTTAATCGACCACAGGAGAGGAGGAAGAGGAGTCGCAATCGAATCAGGATTAATCGGAGTAAATGGCGGAAGAGGTAAAGGATTAAGAGAAAGATTAACGGAAGGAGGTAAACGATTACTTGACCCAATTTCTAAATTCGATGCATCGGCAAAGTTCCCAATCCTCGAAGAGCGATATCACCCTTCGTGCTATCATCATCATGTTAAACACCTTCAACCACCGACACTTAATCATTCATCTTCATCCAACAACAATGTGATTCCTCATCAATCAACAACGGTCACTTCCGCTTCTACCTCCCACAATCAGCCGAATCACAGCAATTATGGTCACTATTCATATCTTCATCATCATCATCATTATCAAAAGAAATCAGCTGATTACCAACGGTCATTTAAAAACTATGCTTCTTACCAAAAGATCACCAATGCCGTTATTCATGATAAATCTTCATCTCCATCGACAACTCGTAGTCTTGGTGTAATTTAAATTCGTAAACAATTAGCAATTAATTTAAATTCATTCCTTTTTTTTTCATCGAAATCATCATCATCCTAATGGCCAACAGTATTTACAATTAATTCAATAATCTCACAAGACTTTGCAATCAATCAGACAAAGTAAAATCCAAACAATAATCATTCCAACAATTAGCATCGGTTTGTTGACACTTCCAATGCTGATCAATTAATTGTCGCTTCAAAAACAATTTAATTGCTTTTATTACCTTCAATTAGACAAGCTAATTAACCGATTCATTACCAATCTTAATTAATTGTCTATTTGTGCCAAAATTAGATGAGAAAACCTTAATGATTCTTAATAATATCCTTAATTATTATCAATGTTAATTAACTTGTTCCTCTTCTCATTGTCCATTTTTTTTAATTGTTGTTTAACTTAATCAGTGTTTGCGCAATTTTAGTGAAAGTTAATCAAACTGTTCACTAATCGTTACCCGAACTTGAAAGCATTTTGTCACAATTTAGAAATCAAACCCAATTAGATCAAAGTTTCATCTTCGAATTTGTATTTTCATTAGATTTTTAATAGAAAAACTTTTTTTTCAACTTGTTTGAAGCCCTCAAGTGATAATTAACGAGTTATGATTAACTAATCAACTCTATCAAGATTACGGCCTCAGCCTAGTCATTTGTAAATTGTTTCTCTCTTTTTTAATACAATCATCTTACTTACTATTTATGTTCAATTTTAGTTGAATCAACAGTTTCCTTTTCCTGTTTCCCTGAAAAAATTGTAAATTGTTTTTCTCACAATAATTGTTATACAAATTGTATAAAAAAATGGTCACAAAAATAAATTATCTTTCCCTTGACAAACAATTAACAACAATTTGATTTCTTGCAACGTGTCAATCAAGAGCTTCTTCTAGTGATTAAATGATATAATTTGCTGATTTATCAAAAGAAACACAAAACTGCAAATACATATAAATATATTCAGCGAATGTTAATTCGTTGATTAGTTTTAAATTTTCATGAGAAAATATAAATCACATTAGAATTAATGTTTTTCCATTCCATATTCATCTTCTTCTTGTTTCTATGGTGCAAAAATAGGTGTAATTGTCTCTCTCTATCTCCATCCAAAAGTAAATTAACGTTTAATTGTTGAGCTTTGCAACCATTAACTACCTTAGGCATTGATGGTTATTTTTAAAACAAATTATTTACACAATTAAATCACAATTTAGTTTGTCTAAGTAACGTTTCTTTGCAATCTGATTAAATGATCAATGTAATACTTTGATGGTTACTCTTCAATGTTAATTGTATTTGGCAGCCTTTGGGTGGATATTGATACGGAAGTGGAGGAAAGGTGAGTCTCTGGAAGAAGATGTAATTACAGAATTAGTATTTGCCAGCAATTTAATTGTTTCTCATTCTCTTACTTTGGTCAGAGATTAGGAATGATGGTAATATAGTAACATGGTAATACAAAGAATCACCAAGTTGACTGAATTCCATATTAATAGGAGACGAAATTTAGGATCCAAATCACCTGAAAAAAGAAGAAGACAAAAGTAGATTAGAATTTGATGAAAATTGAGTTTCGGTTTCATTGAGAGATTTTCTTTTCTCTTCTCATTTAATTCTTCTTCTTAAATCAGACAAGATACTTAAATAACTATTAATGGGTAGAGAGAGAGAGAGAGAGAGAGAGAGAGAGAAAAGTCAAACAGATAAGTGGTTAATCACTTGCCATGAGATATCATGTCAAGAGGATAATTGTCAGGCTTAATTGGTTGATATTTAGCTCGTCTTTCAAATTCACTTTTGCAGTTATGATGAAAAGAGACACATAAGAAAAAGGTGAAGATAGAAGAAGAGAAAAGTGAGTGAGAGAGAAGAGAAAAGAAAATTCTTTTTTTCTTTTTGTAGAAAAGCCGCAAAAGGAACTTGATCCATCAGGTAAGAGAAGGAAACAGAAATTATTAAAAGAAGAAGATGATGATAAAAAAAGAAGATGATTAGTACCTAATCTATACCAGTAAATTAAGACAGCATGAGATGCAGTGATAGAGAAAACGATTACCAAAGCAACAATATTGATTAAACTGAGCTTAAAGAAAAGAGTCACCGTAAGTACGATAATCAAGAGCACACATGTTACTGACAATCCAATGGAGATTAGCCGATCCTGGAGAAGAAGATGAAGAGATAAATTAATTTCTATTCGACAATCAATTAAGATGAAGGTTAATTAAGAATTAAACATGACAATCAATTTACCCTTTGACTTGTACTGTCACCGAAAAGAGGTAATCGCTCATTGATACTCCCCTGACTTCCATGTGAAAAAATAGGATCCGTTTCGGTTACTCTTGGTAACTGTGCAGGTCGATCGGGAATACTCATAAATATGATCTCATTCAAGACAAATCAGGACAAAGAACATTAATTAAAGACAATTAATAGAAAATAAACAAGCTAATAAATCAAATAAAACACTTGAGAATGATAAACAATTAAAATATAAATTAAATCAACAATTAGATTGAAGAAAGAAAAACAAAGTGAGAGAAACAGAAAAGAAAAATTTTTTTCCCGATCAGCTGATTGTTAGGGGTGTGTGGTAATTACACCCAGTTTGTTGTTCACAATCAATTTAATCGTTTCATTGATTGTCATTAATTGTTTGCAATTAGAGTCGGTTAATTGCTGGAGATTTAATGTCAATTAATTTACTATTTACATGCAAGTGGTTTTTCGGTAAAGATTGAAATGAGCGAGCGACAAACAAGCGAAGGTCACTAACGCGAAAGTCGCGAAAGCGACACAATTGAAAGATGAAACTTTTACACTTAAGGTTCTGAATAAGTTGATGATTAACTGATTGTATCATTTAGTGGTTATCCTAATCAAATCAAATACGAGAGATAATCACACAATCCTTATCACTTTCACAATAATTGTTTGTATTTTAATTGTTTAATTGTCAAGAAATATTAATGATAATTAACAACTTAAATGGATCAATATTTTTTGGGTCGAAATGATTTCTTGACGCTTTTTGGAGCTAAAATGAGACTCGCTTTGCCAATGGAAATTGATTTATCTGCTAAAGTACCGGTGATTCCTGAATTAAGTGGAAAACCGTATGACATGTAGGACGTTTTCACTGAATTCGTGCCTTTTAATCTGAATCGTTCTAAACTTGACCTTGATTCGACTACAGAACCTCCGTCGGATTCTGTGTCATCATAATATCGATAATTATGGGCCATTTGGATTCTCCTCTCTTGTCGTCGTTTACAATATTCAGCAACACAAAGGAAAATGATTGAAAGTATCAATAACCCTAAGGCGAAAACAAATAAGACCACAAGGTAATCGGTCAGTTGGAATGAATTTGGTATAGCCATTGATAACAATTGGAATTGATTATCAGTTACAGAAATTGAATTTATAAATAAGTCAAGCAAAATTAAATATACAAATTGGATTAATTAAGGGTAGATTGTAGTTGATCAGTCAGAAAAAAATATCTGCCGAAATTGACATTATTATTATATGTGACAAGGGCCATAATCCAAGATACATTTAATTTCAATGTTTGTTGTTATGATTGGTTGATTGATGATGATTTGGAACAATTGAAATTCGTTTTCCAATTTAATTGTTGTATTTAATTCACTGGAGACAATTATATTGCAATATAAAGGGTTTGAGGTGATCCAATAGACAATATTTGTTGAAATAATTTAATATCCGGTCCATTTGTTGGATATTTAAATATAATTTTACTTCTCTATCCTTTAATTTGTTTTATGATTTTGATGAAATTGACAATAAATTGTCTTAGTCTTTATGATTAGTGGCTTGTCTTTTTGTCATCTTTGCCATTTCCTTTATATTAACACCATTGGTACATGGTCGTGATTAATTATTATCTCAAACTTGAGGAATTTGATCAACGATATCACACATGAGTGAATCAAATTCATTGATTTGATTTATGCTTTGATCTGATAAATCTTTTACATTTGTCTCTTTAATAGTTTCTTTACCATTCTGGTTTGCTGGTTTGTTAAAATGAAGCAATTGTTCAAGAACTTCTGTTAATTTGGGTAAATCGGGGATATTGGCGGTTGAGTTTACTATCATCTCAATAACTTTATCGATTTGACGATTAAGTCGATTAATTATCTCGATACGTTGTCTCCTTTGATTATGAAGAGTAACTCTTAATGTTTCCCTTGCTTGGTAGGGCCTCAATTCATTGATAAGATGATGCATCTGGAGGAATAACATTGCAATATCGGAGCATTTTTCTTCACGTTTATTTGTATCTGGACACTTAATGATCACGTCTAATAGATCGAGAAAATTAACTAAGATAGATGAATTCATCTTTTTAAGTTCTCTTTTGTGATCATATTCTCTGGGATAAAGGCGTTTGATTCCACGAGCTTCAAGAGGTCTGATAATAGTATCATCGTTAGTGATTGTAACGCCAAACATGCTGAAGTTTCCTTCGACAATGGGCTTGGGTGGTTCTGGAACTTTTCCTTTAGCAACATTTTCTTCCGTGTAAAGTTCAAAAAGATGATTTGGTGGTGATGGATAATTCAAAGGTGATATATTTCCAGTAGAATTAAGTTTACCAGATGAAAGAATGGGTGATCTCGAGGAAGCTCTTGGACTTGTCATACTTGTTCAAAAAAACTGGAAGGCAGAAAAAGAGAAGAGGAAGAAGAAGGAAGAAAGCGCACCAATGGTGATGAAAGAAAACCAGAATAAATTCTTTAACCGAAGGAGTGAGTTAAAGACAGAGAAAGAAAGAAAGAAAGAAAGAAAGAGAGAGAGAGAGAGAGAGAGAGAGAGAGAGAGAGAGAGAGAGAGAGAGAGAGAGAGAGAGAGATAAGAGAAATGAAAAGAGAGTAAAAGAGAGACCAACTAGCAAATCACCAACAAATAACAACACAATCAAAAGGAAGCTACATAATTACAAAAGGTTGAAAAAGAAACGATAAATGAATCCAAAAGTGATGATGAGAGTGATGATGTAGAAAAGTTGGTGATGAGATTTACTATTTCAATTGAAGTTACCAGCTAATAATAATATTACTTAAATGAATGATGTGTTATTGTTGTTGATGAGAAAGATGATGATAACGACGATGATGGATCCAATAAAAAACAAGAAACACAAAGAAGAAGAAAAAAAGACAAGGATAAATTAGTTAAACCATCATGATGAGCCCATGGGAAGAGAAATGGATTTTTCTAAATAAACCAACAAACACCAATCGAAGGATTAAAAGAATCCAAGTGACAATCAGTTGAGAAAATGAGAAAGCGATCAAATTAAAAGTAACAAACAGTAAACACTTCGAAAAGATTAAATAATAAAAATTGCAACAATTAATAAATCCAATTGACAATAATAATAAAAGAACAAAAAATCACCACAATTGAGAAAAAGAAAATAATGTCAGTTGAATCTCTTTCTTTTCTCTTTCTTTTTTTCGATACATCGATTGGAGAAAAAGTAAATTGTGTAACATCGATGATCGATTGTTCTTTTCTTTCTTTTTTTCTCTTTCATTCATTTCTACTTGAAATGTTTTCTTTTTTTTCTACAGGTGATTGTTAAAATTTCGGCTCTTTGGTGAAGGCTGATTTTCACCATGATGCGCACAAGAATTGATTATATTAGTGATTCTGTTTACTGAGTGTACTCACTTTTCGGTTCTCTTTCTGGATCTCTCTCTTTCTCACCAAGGAGCCTCCATTTGATCAACAACAACAACCTTTGATGGTAACAATTTATTCATCATCATCCTGTAGTTAACGAACAAGAGAAAGAAAGAAAGAAAGAAAGATGATTCGAAATGGAAACAAACCATAACCGGATGTTATTGGATCATCTCTACCACTCAAACTCGAATTCATGAAAAGCTTCGAAGGCTTAATTCAAAGCAATTCTCTTCGTCTCTGGAAACTCTCTAGTCTCTCTTGTGATTCTGATGTTATTTTCTTTTGTTATTGTTTCTTTTATCGGAAAATGTTAAATTATCAACTTTATTTATTTTAATTGTGAAAATAATTCTTTAACTACTGTTACCCCCTTGTTGTTATTGTTACTCGACCATCATCACAATTGTTTACAAATATCTTCGTTTACCTTTATTATCTTTACACTTCTTGTTAACTCTTCTTCTTTCATCATCTTCTCATATTCAGTGTTGTTTTATCTATCGAATTTGTTATTCTCTTTCTTTTATTCTCTCTTTTTCTCTCAAATGTTCATCTATTTTCAATGTTTTACTTGCCTATTCGATGATTTTTAAACACCAGTTAACTCAATGATTACATTGTTTTCGTTATTATTGTTGGTTAATTTTGTTACCTCTTCTACTTCTACTTCTACTTTGACCATCTCTTCTTTATACACTTTTAGTTTAATTGATCAATTTACCTGTTCAGATTTCAATGGATTCTATCATGTAAATCAACCTCATCCAAATTGGTTACCATTTGGCTTTCATTTGTAACATGAAACATATTTTACTCTGTTGTTGTGAATTTTGGTGTTACTCTACTGACTGTTTCAAAAGGACTTTCTGAGAATAACTTTTCGTAACCAACTAATATCATTTAGTGTGGTGAACAATCATTTTTTTAGGAATCAAAAGGAGACTTATCATCTCCAACTCCATCCAATATGAAATTCGTAAGTCAAACTAATTCTATTTATCTTCTACTCATCTCTTTCTCTTTCTCTTTCTCTTTCTCTTTCTCTCTCTTTTAGTTTCCTTTTTTTACTTACATTCTCATTGAGTAATCTATTTAATCATTGAAAATTTCCTTCTCTCAGTATAATACATTTGAACCTTTTTCCTTTTATAAATATTGTTCTTCATTCATTTTAGATTCTCTCTTTTTCCATCATGAGAAATAATCTATTATTCAGTTCATTTTACTATCAACATTTTCGTTAATGGAAGATCGTTGTACAATCAAGCTCACCAAATACTCACATGTTAATAAGCTCCATCTCTTATTCCTTTGATTTTATGCTGTTAGAGATCTCGAAATCATTAATTCATCCAATTAATTATATTGTCTGGTGTGAGATTTACTTGCTCACTCTCTGTATTTACAGGATCTTTTTAAACATTTCTATCCCATCATTTAATTTATTGATCAATCTAACACCATTTAAATTGTGTCTTATTCATTTGATTCACTTTTATTATGGTTACTAATTCATTCATGGGAAATTCAACCATTACTGTTACGATGATTGATTTAAAGTGATAATATAATTGTTTCCATTTCAATCCAATGTTATCGCTTTTTTCATCAACTATTTATCATATTGGTCATTTAGTTCATTTTCTATTTTCATGTATCTGAATAATTAATACCCTGAAATCAATATTATGAGACAGAACGAGTAACAATTAAATCATATCAATCAGAATAAGACTCATAATTATAATCCTCTAGTGGATATTTTAAGAGTTATTAGTTTGTGTTTTAATTTCTGTGTTTGTACAATTAATTAATTTTGTTTCTAATATTAATTATCTTCTTTTTCACCACTACAGGGATCAGCCGACTCGAATTACAGTCAATTATCATCCGATTTATCATTAGATGAAGAAAGAGAAGCTATTGGACGGGAGACTGAACGACAGGCTTTTGCTCAATTAGAGAAAGCGAGGGTTAGTACTTTTCCAATTTCGTTGATTGGACTGTACTAATTAACTTTTTTTTATTTATCTTTAAATCGTTCAGAGTAAACCGGTTGCATTTGCCGTTAGAACCAATGTCGCTTATAATGGAGGTATTGACGACGATTCTCCTGTCCATGGATCTGCCGTATCTTTTGGAATCAAAGATTTTCTTCATATTAAAGAGGTACAATAATATTTGGTTTAAATTTTGTTAATTTTCGCAAGTTTCGTCATTTGTATTAATTGTTTCATTTTATTCATAGAAATATAATAACGATTGGTGGATTGGGAGACTAGTCAAAGAAGGTTGTGATATCGCTTTTATTCCGAGTCCAGTTAAATTGGAAAATTTGCGAATCCAACAAACTCAAGCGAGTAAAACGAAACTTTATGCTAGTAAAACGGGATCTGGTTCGAACTTCGCTGGTCGAGTTAATAATGTTTTATCTACTTCACAATCTAATTCAAGAGGGTCTACACCACCAACACCGGGTAAATATTCACTATCAGAAATTAATATATTCGTTGTTCTGATTTGTTATTGTTTTCCCATTTTCTTAGATCAACCAAGTGAAAACCCCGGTGATGATGAAGGTCTTTCTCGAACGGGTAAAACTGCTATATCTACACCTCCAACGAGAGAGAAACGTAAACCTTTTTTCAAAAAGGTAACCTAATCTAATTATTCTGATTTGAAAAGAATTAGATTAATAATTTGTTGTAAATCTTTTCTTTTCTTACCTTTAGAGCGAGAATATACCTCCTTACGATGTTGTGCCTTCTATGCGGCCTGTAGTTCTAGTCGGCCCCTCGCTGAAGGGTTATGAGGTGACGGATATGATGCAGAAAGCGATATTTGATTTTCTGAAGCATCGTTTCGAAGGTAGGATAATCATCACTCGTGTGACAGCGGATATATCGTTAGCCAAACGCTCGCTACTTAACAATCCAAATAAAAGAGCTCTAATCGAAAGACCTGGACCTCGTTCATCATGTTTAACTGCAGTCCAAATGGAGATTGAAAGGATTTTTGAGCTCGCACGGACTATGCAATTGGTTGTGCTCGACTGTGACACCATTAACCATCCCTCTCAACTTGTGAAGACTTCCTTGGCCCCCATCACTGTGTATATTAAAATTTCATCACCCAAGGTACTTCAACGATTAATCAAATCTCGTGGCAAATCACAAAGTCGAAATCTCAATGTTCAAATGGTTGCTGCTGAAAAACTCGCCCAATGTCCACCTGAAATGTTTGACGTAGTTTTGGACGAAAATCAATTGGAAGACGCGTGTGAACATTTATCTGAATTTTTAGAAGCTTATTGGAGAGCTACTCACCCACCTGTTAAAGCTTCATCTATGCGAACTCCCTCTTCTACTATACCCAAACCAATGCCTTCTACTACTCAATATCCCGATGAAGGAACAATGAAAAGGCAACATGGCCATGATTCTCGTTCAATGCCCCAAGAAATGACACTTTATCGATCAAATCGTATTCCCGCTGTTTCATCTCACGATATGCCAGGTTCAAGACCGATTGCAAGTGATGGTTTCTCACCTGACATGGGCTCGCCTACAGGTTATCAAAGTCATCGTCCGATTCGCCATGAGGTTTGTACAGCGAGAGACTATAGTGCTATGAATAGAGATCTATCTGGTTGGAATTCTTATGTACCGGGTGCCCCCGATCCAATAGACGACTCATATTATTACGATACGATGGCCGCATCGTACAATCATTGGTACGCATGTAGAACTTTCCAACTTGACTGATTGAATGTGTTCACCTAAACGTTACCAGCACACTGACAATGGCTAATTAATTAACTGATGAAATAGCTCAGCTTTGATACATAAAACGAAATCAAAAAACCAAATTAAAATCTGTTTGATTATATTGTCACCATTACAAATCAAAACAAAACCAAAAAATAAACAAAAAACTCAAAAAGTCAAAGATTATGTACACAAAGAAAATAAATCAACGAGTAAAAAAAAGTAAATCAACCAATTTACTTGTGAATCTTTGTCAGAATGTCACTAATTGAGTTTCGAATTGTAAAATAGATCAACAAACAAATACATGGGTCGATTTTTGGTTCGAAATTAGGAAAAAAAGTTCAGAACTCAGAAAATTTTCCGAATCGGTTGAATAAAACTATTGATTATTAAAATCAAAAGAGAAGAAAAAACTTGATGTTGGTTGTCTCGAACTTGGAAATTTGTTAATTGTTGATTGAAGTTAAAAGCTTATTTGATCTTCTCGTTTTAATTTATTTCTCAATTGATTGTTTTCTTAAGTCTGATCAGGTTTTCAATTTCAACGATCGAGATTATGAAATAATTTGAAGCAACAGTAGATGTCAGGGCATGATTTGTAAAGATAATTAATTTAATTAATTTAATTACATTAATTTGGATTGGTATTATTATTTACATATTTCGATGAAAAATGTTAACAATTTGCATGCTTTTGTTACGAGTTTCAAATTGGTAAATATTGTTTCCTATGATGATTCTAATAAGTAAACATGTATAATTGTCTTTGATTTTGTAAACATTTACGATACACAAAGTTAATTAATACAGTTAACCTTTCAATTCTTATTGATTGTTGAGTGTTTTTTGTCTTTGATTAGGATAATATTCGAACGAGAATCAAAATTCAACAAAAATGCATCACTTTGTTCAAGATTAGGTTGTTTTTTCTTTCTGATTTAAAATGAGTTTTCAGATTAAAGGTTAATGATATGATTGAATAATTGTTTTCATATCGTTTAAGTCAACATTTGATTTGACCTTTTGTCTGTTTACGATAAATATTATTGACAAATAATTAACTTTTCAGCTTAAAGCTGATGAATAGTTAGTCTATTTTGTCGAGATTGAGAAGTAATGGAAAAAGAGAGACACGAGAGTAACATTTACGAAAACAAGGAAACACGTTTTGTTCTGTGACCTTTACAATCAAGACAAAAGACCAGAAGTCAATGACCAATGGAAGGATTCATCAGAATTGCTTGACCAAGTCAAGTCTGGAACAATTTGGTCTGATGAGATCAATCTACTGTTAGGTTTAGGCTCATTAATTGAAGATCCTGCATTAGGTGAATAAGTTGATAGTTGAGGATGGCGATGAGAAGAATAGTTATTATTTGAAGATGATGGTGATAAGATGGAAGCAATTGAGAATGGACGAGTTGAAGTAGACGAACCAGGTAGAGTTTGTGCAAGAGGTGATGATGGCATTGATGGAGCAGTTGTGAGTCTTGAAGATGAAGATGATGGAGACTGAGTTGGATATGTTATCGGTTGAATCTGTTCCGTTTCTAGGAGACAACTTTCTGGAAGAAGATCATCTGGCTCTAAGTATGGATCCTTTTCGGTGAACCATTTTGCATGAAGTAAATCCTGAGCTGTGAGCCGTTCAGATGGCTGTTTACGAAGTAAACTTCGAATGATAAACTCAGCCGAGCAGGAAACAGTGGATGGTATCTGATATGCTCCTCGTCTTATTTTGGTGAACAATTGGGTTGGATTAGAATCATGAAATGGATATCGACCAGCTAACATGGTAAATAATATGACACCAAGACTCCAACAATCAGCACTGCGACCTGAATAACAGCTACTTGACTTGGAAAGTATTTCCGGGCTTACATAGGTAGGACATCCATGTTTATCATTAAGAAGATCATTAAGTGGATCTGGAAGGATAATCGCATCATCCCAAGTTTCCAGGATCAATTTGGTTCTAGAAAAATGAAAAAGAACAGTTAGTTTGACAATCAAAAGAATGGGAGAATATAAAAATTTATCGTATTCTCATCTCAATGGGAAATGAAGGAAAAATTATTTTCTACTTTTTATAAATTATTTATTGCTGATTATCGATTGTAAGTCAACATATAATCAATTAAATTGTCAGAAATAAAACAAACCTATCAATAGATTGTGAAGACAGGAACCACTCTGATTATCAATAGTTTGTTAACCATGAACAAGATTAAATAAACAACATGATAAAAGGAGAATTGGGTAGAAAAAGAGTATGAACAATTTACTGATTATATTTGGATTGTGTAAACTCTAATCATGAAAAAAGGTCAAAAAGTTTAAATCATGATCATCATGAGTGATTAATCAAAAAGGATGTTGACTATTCGGCTCATGTGATTGTTACTATTTTAGGTGAAATACTGAACGGAAATGTGAGTAAAAGTAACATGTACTTGTGATAGAGAATGTGAAGTCTTACAAAAGAGAATGAAACTTTGAGAGAAAAGGTCATGAGACTCTTGTAATTACTAAATTCTGAGAAGTTAATTGGAGAACCATTTGTGATGAATCAATACTCACTGTTGAGGATCTTTGAAAATAAATTTGCGTAGTTTTATATCTCTGAGAATGATTCCTTTTCCATGACAATCAGCGACAATCGAAGTGATCTGGTAGAAAAGTTTACGAGCCTCTGATTCGGTTAATTTTTTCTTCATCCGAATGTATGAATGTAAATCTCCATATGATTTATCGAAAACGATAATTGTGTAAGTTGATCCAACACATATCTCATGAATTCTGTTAATTCCACAATTATCTTGTAATTTAATGTAAATAGACAAGTATTCGTGGTAGTTTTTCGTTTCAACAACCTAATCAATCGAGAGAGAGAGAACAACATATAAGAAAGAGAAGAAAAAAAATCAAGATTAATAACATGAGAAGAGGAAAAAAAGGTCAGCACAACAAATTATTGTACATGATTGGGAAGTGAGAAAGAGAAAATTGAGTAATAGAAGAGAGAAAAAAATGGTGTTTGAAAGAACAAAAAATAAGGGAAGAGAAAAAAGGTTAGTCGATGATCAATTGGAATAACAAGAAAAAGAAGAGAAAAAAACGGAAAATAGAACAAAATGAAGACAAAGAGAATAGAATATGAGTCACAAATAGAAAAGAAAAAAACTCTACATGCTGGATGTCTTTCTTGAGAAGTAATTAACCGCTGATCAAATGGCGAGATTTGTTTCACTTTACAAGAATTTAATTAAATAAATAAATGAGATAATTCATGGAGAATTGATTAGAAGATTGAATTATCTTGGAAACAAAAGAAATTGTTGTTTCTAAATGGAAAGGGAATGGATTATGATGGAAACAGAAGATTTTAATTCAACAAGAATTAGAATGGAAAAAGATTAACAATCAACGAAAAATAAACAAAGAGAAGAGAAAAGCAAACAAATTGTTCCAAAAGATCATCAACCTGAACACAAGATATTCTTTTGATCAAATTAAATAACCAGGGAATGTCAGGTATTGAATGATAAGGTAACGAACAAAAAGTGAATTGATAATGACGATGACAAGAAGAAAAGAGAAACAAAAATGGAGGATTAAAAAGAGGATATTTACAATTGACGTAATGGAAATGAAGGTGATAAGTGGAATAGAATTTTTTTTTATGATGGAACAAGAAAAAGAGAAAATAAATAAAAGAGAAAAGAATAAAAAACAAAAGAGAAAAACAAACCTTGCATAGATGGACTTGAGAAGTGACATGATTGACACATTTATACAAGGAACTGGCCTCAGTTGGCTTGATTACGATATAATCACCGACCGAAAGGTTAACATAATTTGGTTCACAATTATTGATTAAAGAATCTCTGGTTTTAGATCCATTGGATGAATTGATTAACCGATTAACAAGATCAGTTTTATGGTCAACAGTTGATGTTGAACAAGGTTGAAAATTGATGCATAGTTGACGAGATTGTGAAGAAGTTGATTGTTGTTGATTAGCATAACTGTTATGATGGCGAGTCTGAATTAGCTCATTTAATGATTGCGATGAATGGTGATAACGATGATCACGGTTGGCGAATGTTGAATTGTTGTTATTCATCATCAAATCCAAATAAAGAGAAGAACAAAAAAAAACGAATTTTTTTCCAAATTGATTAAAAAAAGAGTAACAATTGAATCAGAACATGTAAAAGTAAACCGAGTTCAATTCTTCATGATAAGTTGAGTCTCATGTTTGAATGACAATTTAGTTTTGGTGATGTTGATGTTGTGGATGTTGAATTGAAATGAGAAGCGGAGAAAGAGGGAGAACAGAAAAAAGAAAGAGAAAACCATTTGAACCAAAAAGGGTATGCGATGGGCGGAGTTTCTTCCAGTGTGAAGGGAGGGAACAAAAGGAAAACTGTTCTATTCTTTTCTTGGATCGCATCGGTTTTTTCCCTTTTTCGAGGGAGAAAACGATGCGACCCCCTCGAGAAGAACCGCCCACTGCATGTGAACCAAACTTCATCTCAACAACATTGAGAAAAGTTGATGATGAAATCGCTTCATCATTTCATCATTTCTCTCTCTCTCTTTCTTTTCATCATCTGCTCTTTCGGTTCTTCTCTTACTTTTGTTTATTTCTTTTCTTTCCATCATCATCTTGATTGGGTTTTAAACATTTTCTTTACTCTTTTCATCTCTTACAATTCAATTCTCTATGTTAATTCAACTTTTATCTTCATCTTCTTCTTCATCTTCTTGGTCTTTCTTTTCTTCTTCTAATTATCGTCAATATTTAATAACAATTTTCTCTTCTTCTCTATTTTTACCTTTTCTCTCTTCCAATAATCGAGTTACCTCATTTTCTCCTGATTCGGTTAACACCCTGGTAGACTCATCCTCATGTTTTCCTGTTGCTCCTCATCACAAATTCATCTCTTTTCCTCATCTTCATGATGATCTGATTTCTCATTTCCATTGAGTGTTGATTCTGTCAAATCTGAAACAAATTCGTTGATTTGATCTCTTCTCATTTGATTGCTCATTGTTTAATCGTCCAGAATTCGTGGTGATAAATCTCATGCTCATTCTCCCATTGATTCACTCATTTTCTCTTGTTTAATTTGAATTAATCATTCTCATGGTGACTTATGTTCAAAGAACTTTCAAAAGCTCAGAACTGTGAATGTGTGACTTGTTGTTGTGAGTTCAGAACTTTTTTTCTCGTTTATAATATTCTAATAATCAGTTGATTATCACTATGAAAGGTTAACGATTCTCGTGTTATAATAACAGTACAATTTACTTTGGTAATTTAAATGTTTCTCTCCCTCAGGCGATTTCCATGGGAAACTCATTCTCTAAATTGCTCTGTACTTTTAAACGCCTCAGGTTACAGAATTTTCCTAATTCTTGTCATCCTCATGATAACGATAAGTTGAACTTCCTTGAGACATAAAATTATCAATCATTCATTAGTCTCTCTCTCATGAATCTCATCATATTCATCATAATTGTTATCAAAAGTGTTCTGAACTGAACTTCGTGAATATTACATCAAGGTAACACTCACATGGCTTGTACTCTGTTTGCATTATCATGATATTAATACACTTCCATTTCGTTACAGTTTATTCATCTTCAGGGTGAATTGTTGAATAGTTTTACCTAAATTCTGGTGAGATGATTGATTGATTTTCTGTGTTAGTCTGGAATGAAAAATAAGTAGAAACTGAAAGAGAATCGAATACAAAAGGTAAGAGATGAATGAAGAATGAGAATGAATCTGAATTTCTATCAGAATAAAAGGGGGAAAAGATCAATTGGAATAGAACTTATTTTCTAATCAGAATTTGCTTGATTCTCAGAATTGATCATTTCGATAATTGTAGACGTAAAGAACATTGACAGCAATCAATCAATTGTTTATCGATTTAAATCTTCGATTAACTTTAAACTAAAATCGAAGGTGAAAAAAGTCATTCGATCATCGAAACTTGGTGATTATCAAGTTGATTGAAGATTTATAGTTAATCAATTGGCCTAATTATCAAGTTTGAGTGTTGATAAAGTCACAATTAGTTCATCATAGCAATTAACCCAACAAAACCCAATTAGTTAACTAAAGTGTTTCCTATGTTATGACTTCCATAGGTAATAAACTGCACCAAAGATAAATATCAACCCTCCCTAAAAACGATGCTAATTAACAAAGTGATTAATTAAAATACAATTAAAAAAATTAAGACCCGAAAATAAAATTAGTTGATTGTTGAAATTTACCCAAAACCAGATAAAAACTAGTAATAAGATTGCAAACTTCAAGTGGATTTAGTTAATCATTTGATTCTCAGGTCAATTTAGATCAACGCTAATTAGTTGAAAAACAACAATTAAGTACCATAACCAGAAAAATTTCCTTTTAATTACTCAAATAATCACAATTAACATGCAAAGTTCAGATTAAATTATCATTGTAAATATGATTAGGTGACAATAAAGTAAATATAAACTTAATCACCTAATAATTATATTTGATATTTAATTAACTGGATCATCAAATAAAATCACATTGATTAACAAATGAATTCAGATTTTACATGATTTGAATTCTGTCCTTTTTAATTAATCCAGGTGATTAAAATTTTCATATTTGATTTTCTATTAATAACAATCATGGTTATCAAATGATTACTCCAATTTATGAATAAAAAATCAATAATTAAGTTAATCATGGTAACAATTAGCAAGGAAAAAAGTAGAAAGTTGATCAGTTGATCTGATTGGAGATTATGACAAATATTTACCGTTATAATTGTGTCATGTAAAATCATTGAGTCGTTGAATGAATTAACTCTAATTGTTCATGAAAGAATAAAGAAAACATTGATCATGAGAGTGAAATTTGTTCAACTGAGTTAATTGTCACTTAATTGTTAGAGATTTCTTGAGAATCTCATTAGATTTCACATCAATATTGTTAATCAGTCACCAAGAGAATTTAATTTTCTGGGTTAAAATTCATGGTAACGATAATTTCCAGGTAATCATGAAGTGAATGAGTTTTTCAGTTTTAATCTCAAGAGGTTTGCAACACCATGAGATGATCATGATAATCAACAGTTCTTGTTGATATCAAGATAATGATGATAAAGTGAAATTGAATGAAAACCAGGAAGAAAATGATAATAATAAGAATGAGAAATTTCCAGAGAAAAAAAGAAAAGTTCTTGATTCGGCTCAGAATTTTCTACCATTTTTCTTTCTGGTTTTGTCGTTTTTTCGAAAACATTTCGTTGGGTATCGATTATTTATCTTTACAAATGCTCAGTCACATCATTGGAATAAATTCGAGAGAAAATAAATCAGAAAAATGCTGAACAAGACAGAATATGATGAATAAAAGTTCTGGTGATTTGCTCAAGTTCAGTGACTTTCATGGTTTCCACGAGTCTCAGAATTTACATCCGTGAATCATCACCAATATGATGATGATGATGACGAAGATACGTAATATAAACGGTGACCTTGCTTAAGATTAGATGATAGAGAGAAATAATTATAATCGCCTACACTGGAAATTCTGGTTCTTTTCCTCATCTTCATTTATCTTCCTTAATCTCCCTCCACCTTGAGATCATTTGTCTCTCTCATTAATCGCGAGATCAACTGGTTAACTCCTATCGCCTCCACCCACCAATTCAAATGCTAATTAATCTGAATCATGATAAGTTCATCCAGCTGATTGTTGTCCGATTGCTATCCCTTCAATATCATGTTATTACATAAGATTTAAGTTACTTTTATATTGTTTCCAATTCCGATGATATTTGTCTGGGAAATTTGATACAATCAGTGAAATTTGATGATTTGAGTTTATTTGATTGTCGATCAAATTTCGCAAGAACCAGTGTCTATTTTATCCTAATTGACTAATTAACTTTCAAATCAAATCGATTGATTATTCAATCAAAGTTCTGATTTATATCATGCCAACAGTTAGTTGATTCTGCTTCCGGTTAACTGTTAATTACTTATCTAATAAATGGATCAAGCAATTACGAATCAGTTAATTGTTGATGGAAAAAGTTCATTTTGATTGTTTGTTTTTTATCAGTTTTCTTAATCAATCTAACAATTTATCATTGTATTGATTTATTAATGATTACTGATGGGAAGATGATGATGAGCACTAATCATAAATTGTACTGAAAGTGCAACTGATTCAGTTGCTGAAAAAGTTACTATCAACAATTAGAGCTTTTTATTGATTGAAATCAATATTATCATATTTAAATCTCAACATTTGTTAACTTGTTTATCAACCTTGCAAACATCAACTGTTGATTGTTAACAATTTGCTGTTGATTAACAAATCGTAACCTCGGAAATTGATAATATTACATTTGGACACAACAACAACAATGATAATCAAGGTAAAAGGAAGTCAAAACTGTCAACAATTAGCAGTTTAATCCGAAACTTTTTTTCTGACAATTCTTCGTGTGTGTTAATTGTTGATTGTTGACACTTTTTATCACAATAATAGAAAAGAGATTACAAACAATAATCCAACAATCAAATTAATCCTACTGAGAGATAACTTTTAATGAGAGACAATTGATCAGTCCTGATAGTTTATTGATTATTTAAATTAGCTGATTAATGAGATAATTTTTAGTTATTTCTGCTTCATGGTTAATCTCAAATTCAGAGGATCAATTGTCTTTGAATGTTTTGCATCAAAATTAACGGGAGAATTGAATCAAAGTTAATTATCTTACATCAGGCGATTCTGGAAATTCATGAGTAATCCCATAGACTCTGACCTTGACTAACCTTTATTACGTAGATTGTTGTGTGAAAACTGTTATTTTATCAAAACGATTTCGCAATAACAAGAGCATGTTCAGTATCTCATGATGATTATCAACAATTTCATCATTATCGTTGAGATTTCATCATAATATTTAGTGAGACTGTGAGCCAACAATAACAATTCAATGTTTATATTGTTGTTCCTTAATCACAAATGTCACTCATTCAGATTATTAATTTACATTAATCATAAAACTTAATCAAGTCAATTCTGTTTTTATTTCTGAAATTGCTTTCAATTGCAATCAATATAATTGTTTACACTTTGATAAGTTAAATCTTATTGAATATCAGGCCTTTTGTATCATGGACCTTGTTGATCAACTAATTTGCAATTGGTTGTGGTAATTGTTTAATCAAGGATAATCTCATTCACTTTAATTGCTTTTTGATTGTTCAATCATAAATTTCTTAATCTTTCCCTCAATGTTTTAATTTATTGATTTTGACGGTTGAATTTCAACAAATTTAACTGCCACTAATTATAATTTTCTCAATATTTTTATTATTGTTTACTAATAATCGTTATAATTAATAAATTTATCGCGACTTTAAAGAGCTGATTGCAAATGATTAACTGATTGTCATCTTAATGGTGTTGGCTAGATAAGTAAATAGCAATACAGCAAACTTACAATTTGTTAGTATACATCAAGAATATTTGATTTAATTGTGAATAGTTAATTGTTGAATTTGATTGATGGTCATTTATAATAATCATTATCACTGAAATTGATAAATCAAATAAATAATGATTATCACACAATCAGCTGATTATCATGCAAATTTTTACTTTAGTTGTTCAATTGTAGTTTAGGATAATTAAGCCAATCATTAAGCAACAATTAAGAAGTGAATAAATCAAATTGATCGATATTGTTAATTGCTGAGACAAAAATTGATGAAAATCAAATGATAGATTCGTCTAGATTTAATTGTTACCCTGCAATCAAGTAAATATTGGTTGTTAATAATTAAACAAGGTAATTAAATGAAAACAATTATCAAGGCAATTAAATTAAAGGCAATAAATTATAAGTCACAATTAGATGTTAATCATTATGAGCCATATGAAATAGTAGACAATTAAACTATTATAATATGTGTGTTGGTGTAACAATTAATTTGCTTTCATACTTAATTAAGTAACTACAATTAACTTCTCCATGGTCAGTGTGACATTAAATTGTCACAATCAGACAATTGGTACAATATAATCAACAATTGTAAAAAACAATTAATGAAATTTGTTGATGACCATGAAAAGAAAACGAAATCAAATTAGTTAAATCACAAATCTAATTGTAATCAGAGTTTTTAAATCATGATAAACTAACGAAATCAACAATTAAGCTCCAAAAAAGGTCATGATTAGTTACTCTTCCTGATTGAAAATCTATTAATTGTGATCCTATTGATTGCGTAAAAAGATCAACCATTAAAAGTTTCAATATGTTTATATTAACTAATTGTGTAAAGGTGATGATGTAATATGAATTAAATTGCACAATATTAACAATAAAAATTATATTGGCAGAGACATTTATTGATTATGATCAGTAAATTCAGTTAATATCATGGTAATATAAATGATAATTTATTTTAATCATTACAAAACGAAAAGTTTAAACAAATAAACAATCAAAAGCTGACGAGAATTGAATCGATCGACAATTAATCAAATGAAATTAGCATTCGCAATGGTAATTATTATGGAAATGATGAAAATCATTAGCAATTAAACTAATTGTTGAGAAAATAGAAACTAGACTAAAATGAAATGTACTGAAACCTAATCAAATTTCCTGGTGATTACTAAATTGCTTCATTAACTTGTCCTTGGATTAATAATCTTTGGATATGAATAATAAACTCCTTAGGCATTGGAAGACAAGATTGATGATAATGATGATAACCAAGGTCTGATTGCCTAATAGCAATACCATCATCTTCATCATCTTCATCATCACTTATGTAATTAGTTTTCAATTGAAAAACTAATAATTTCTGTTGATCAAATGGCGATTAATTTTGATTGGGTTAACAGGTTGATGACATTTGATAGACGAGAGAAACCAATTAGTTGAACCAGCAATTAAGATTGTTAATTGTTGTTATTTAGTATTGGTATCGACAAATAAGCTGCTTAATTAACCTTTAATTAACTTGATTATTAAAAGCACAAGGGTAAATCGAGAGGAAATTGTGTAATCATGTTGATAGGAATCGATAATAAATGAAACAGTTTCACAATCATGTTTCATATTGATAGTAACTTATTATGGAAATGGTGAAAATCAAATTAGTTAAATCACAAATCTAATTGTAATCAAAATTTTTAAAACATGATAAACTAATGAAATCAACAATTAAGCTCAAAAAAAGGTCATGATTATTTACTCTTCCTGAATGAAAATCTATTAATTGCACTATTTTGTCTATTTAGGATTTTTCTTCAGTTCTCTGATAACCAAATTCAGTCATTCAGTTAATTTCAATTCGAAAACCGTGAGGATTAATTGTTGATTGTTCTGTTTGTAAAAAAGAGCGAAAAATGAACAAGAAAATGATTAATCGAAACTCGGTTATCTTACTGATTAATGTGGCGCATTCTCACATTTCAGAACTTCATCACGAATTACTTGTGGAATTGTCGAACATCGAAAATGGCTTAGAACCATTTCGCGCGAACTCAGTAGACTTTGTTTATTCTCTTGGAGTAAAGTTTATGAATGAATCGATATTTGGGTTGATGCTTCGATGAAAAGACTACAAATGGTTTGTGTTCACCTTTTACTCAATGGAAAAATGGAATAATATCAATGTTTCGAATTTTAGTTAATTACAAACAGTTACAGAGATCAAATGATGAATTATAATGTGAAAAGAAATTTCAACTCATCAGTTTTAATTTATTCTTTTAATGTGATAAAAGTACAGTGTATATTTTTCACCATCGAATTTGCTTTTCAGTTGAATCGCTATTCTCAGTTTATTTTTAGAATTTATCTGATATTGTTTAAGTTATTATTTAAACAGAAAATGATACAATTTCAATGCTGAATTAAAGCAGTTACGTTGTTTAAATTATATAAATTTGGAGGTTTGTTACTCTAATGTGATGCAGTCTAGTGACCATAAATTATCATTATCTCATTTCCATAAACTATTCGATGAGATTAAGATTAATCAATATGCTTCTCGAGACACAACTCGACCATCTAAATATGACATCCGAGCTCATGAAGCAATTAATGAATATGAAGCGAAAATATATCGTTTATTACCTTTATTTCTCAAGGTAAGTTATAGTTATATTATCATGAGAGTTTAACTGACATGGTGATAATATTGCATCTTCAATATCCATGAATTAATGGACATTATTTTGCATATTCTTAGGTCTATGGTTCATCAACTACTCCTGTGTCACCCGCAGCCAAACCCTCCAGCGATCTGTTGAAATTTGATGATCTTAAAACACTGGCCAGTATTGTCTCTCGATTAATGGTCACTGAAATAAGACGCCGTGCGAGCAATAAAACGACAGAACAAGCAAGTGAAACGATTGTCAATTTCTTGGAGATTTCCTGTGAAGAGATGAATACCTCAGCTTTTTCTCAAGTTGCAGAAACACCAGACCAAGAGAAAGCATTTCAATCCGATTCGCAAAGTAACCAATCGAAAGATGACCACAAGGGATGGCTACTTTTGTCCACTCTCAATCTTTTGGTTTGTCATGGAGATGAATCATTAATATCCATCATGGCTGCTAATTCCCTACCTTCGACTTTAGTTAGATGTCTTTATCTTTTCTATGATTTACCTCAACCTTTACATACAACTACAACCCGAGAATGCTCAGCCACATATACAGTTGAATCTATCTCCAGGAAATTGACCCGAACACAATTCGCAGCGAAAGATTTATCCAATATATCTGAACCTATCGAATATTTGAATCACACTGAGAAAAGATTATTATTACATCGCACTTTTGGCTCTCTTTTAACTCGACTTTGCGCTCATCCAGCTTCGCTTCACGAACTCACTCGAAAAGACGATTTGGCTCTTCTATTCAACGCAGCCACTTCTTGGTGTATTTCACACAATTGTCTTTGGAGAGAAACAGCAGCCCAAGTTATTCTAATCATGGTCAAGCGTAATTGTATCAATACAAGTTATCTACACGAGAAATCGTGCCTATCAGTTTCCATAGAAAATATTTCCCGGATGTGTGAACTTTCAAAAGCTTCAGATGATGAAATTGCTGAAATGTTGGAAGTTATCATTAATTTCATAACTGAAGTTTACTATGCTCATCCGTCTTCCGTGAGCGTTTTGCTTGATGATTTCGCCAAAAATCATGGTTACACTTTAATTGTTGACTTTGTTCTTAAAATGGAACATGATATAAATCTTTATGGCAATAATATAAGGAAAATAATCTCATTGGTTACGTTGTTATGTAAAATTGGAACAGCGGAAATTAAACCAAGGCCACTTAGTGTTAATCAGCTGTTCATCATGGAGGAATTCACTTGGCCCAAACCTAATCCGAAACATTCAGTAAAAAATTTGAGTGCTTTCAATGTTGTACAATCTTTATGGTTCAAATGTAAATCAACTTTCGTCCAGGAATTGATTCTCGCTGGACTTTTTTCACTTTATCGTGATGACAGAGCAAATTATTTTATCCTTGATTCTCAAAATACTTTACCACAGTTTGCAGAGCGACTTCACCTACGAAGTGTCTCGGTTCAAGAGAGGTTCTTTACTATTCTGGAATACATTATATTCGAGATGAAATATGTACCCGTTAAAGAGCTGATAAGTGCGAGTCTAATTATCAAAGCGAAAATGTAAGTTTGTTGAACTTTAAACGCTCGAAAAATACTCATGATTTTATATTTTTTTCCTTTACAGATCAACCCAAAGTCTTTTATTGAGCTTGAAAAGTTTACTCTCGATAATCAAATTTAACACAATATTTCCCGATGTATTTCGAGAAGTTGGATTATTAGATATAATAACATATCTTTTCATTGAACAGAGTAAAAATATTTTGATGCCAACCAGTCCTATAGATGATTCTGATTTAACCGTTCTCGAAATCATTATGGATCTAATTTATAACATGTTGAACGGACCAAATAATCAGAATTGTGCTTTATTCAACGAAGCTTCGGGATTCAAGAACATATTATATTTTCTTCCAATAACCTCCTCCAGAATATCAAAACAAATTCGTAAATTTTGTTTCCAAATTATTCAACAGTTAATTTTATCAAATAATGGAGATGAAACTCTAGCGAATCTACTCTCTATGCTTCGAACCTCAGGAAGTGTTGATGGATTGCCCGATATTGATAAACCTGAGTTGACCTTGCAACAAGAAATATACTTGAAATCGTCAATTCTTAAAGGTTTACTTCAAGTGATTCGAGATAGTCATCGGTGTCGAGCACTTTTCAGGAAGGTCGGAGGCTTTATTTATGTCATGTCAGTGCTGGTCGATATGGAAGGGTGTCTTGCAGATAATCATCAGCTACCAGATGAGTGTGTGAAAAAAGCTCAGATGACCGAAAATAAGATCACTCGATGGTCAACGATTGAGAAGAGAAAGATTTGGAATCTGTTGAGACACGTGTTTACTATCTTAGCATCGGCAATGAGATATGAACCTGCGAATGCGCGTTTTTTTGCTAATGAGGTAATTAACTTATTCATTCAATACTTTCATGTATTAAGTAAATTGATTAACCTTTTTTGCCTTTCAATTCACAGATTTGTCCTGTCAGCCTTACTGATTCCTTGCGTCTTCTGGGCTGCTTTACACATGATGATCAGTTAAAGCCGAAAAAATCATTTTCTGAGTCCTCGAATAGTGATAATAACGAATGTGATGATTCAATCAATTCAATATCATCTGTTGCCAACTTTCAAGAAGTTTTCTATTGCTCTTTAAACACATTACCTCCTAAACAAAGTATGAACTGCCTTGAATCGTGTACGCTCATCATGAGGCTATTATTAGACATGGCCTTAGATTTAATCGACAAGTCTCCTAAACATCATCCACTAGCGGCCAATCATATCACAGAAAAAAATAATTTACTTGTTGAATCAGAGAGGAAACTGTCAACATATTCACAAAAAGTAACTACAAATCCAGAATCATCTAAAACAAAATCATCTTCACCAATGCAAACACAAGCAAATACCATTAAAAGGCCGCCAAAACAATTAACCTTGACTGGTGACAATTCAGTTAATAATCAACCTGTGATAATTCATTCTAGTGTAATAATTGTTATGTTTCATCTGATCCCCTCAATTCCCAGTGAGCCACTGCAACTTTTTATAACCCAAGTACTGAGTTTACTCATGAAATTGGAACGCAATCAGCAAGTTATGTGCGAAGCTAAATTGCTGAGTGAAATTTTGAGTAGCAAGTTGAACATTTCAATTACGAACCAATATCATCATCTCCATAGTCCAATGCAATACATTTTGGAGAGACTTTCGGCCCAAAGTATTTCGCCCAAGGAACTGAGAAGTTTTCTTCGTCTTAACAATCCATTTAACTGTTTATCTTCTGACGATAAATTATACAAAGCAAATGGTCAAGAAGATCATGATAGAGTTAAGGCCGGTGAACCGATAGCTTTATCCCAAGTTAAAACACTGGTATCAATGACCACTCCAAGAGATACTGAGGTCACCAACTTGTTGGAACCTCCATTCGTTGAATTTGACATGAGCCAGGAAGGTTTTAGCTGTTTATTTATCTCTTCAATCGCTCCTTTCTCTTCTGAAAGTGGGACATCCGCCGCGACGAACATCCTTACTGGGACCATAACAGCATCAAATGATAGCAATAATTCAAGTTCTACCTGTAATGGTGGTGTCAATGGTGGAATCGGAACTGGAGAGCGACCTTTTCCTCCTCAGGCTGGTCTTACATTTCTCACTTGGATTTGTGTCCAAAAGTTTTCTTCTTACGAAGATGAGTCTCATAATATCAGACTATTTACCGTTACTCGAGGTGTTACCTCAGGTAAAGAATATGCTTGCTTTCAGTTACAAATTTCGTCTCGAGATCGTGCCCTTATAATCTCAACCCAAGAGATTCCAATTTTTGGTGACGATGACACCGCATTCGACCCTTCTCATGTTAGTCTTGAGATGGATTATAATCTACGAGTTTGGTCACCTGAACTGTTGAGGGAAAATCAATGGCATCAGATTGTTGTCGTTATGAATAGAGGTTTGCTCAAGAATAGTTCAGTTACCGTTTACGTTGATGGTCAACTAATCACTAGTCAAAAGCTTCACTACATTAATACTACTTCTTCTGTCGGATCAGTTTCCAATAATTGTCAATGTTTTGTAAATGGTTTCATTGGTACTCCGCCACAGTGTAGGAAACAATCAAGACTTATCTGGAAACAAGGCCCTTGTCAATTTCTGGAAGAGCCGTTGACCGCTGCTCATGTAATGTTTATACACTCATTGGGACACAATTACATTGGATCATTTCAAGGGACATCGATCCAAAGTGAATTGGGCTCCATCAGCTCAAACATACAGCAAATACCCGAGGATAAGGTCGTTTTCGGGCTCTCTGCTCGTGCCATATCAATAATGACGCTTGCACAAATGAAAAGAGTTTACTCTCGATTTGATTGTCGCATGATTAGTAAGATAATTGGTCTTTCACTCAACGAAAATGCTACACCAATTTACGTGCTTCACAATTCAGCTGGTCATCTCTGTGGACCAAGTCGTAGTCTAGGAGCAATACTTATTGGTTACATTGGTGCTCGTTGCTTCATTCCTCAACCTGTTTCGGTAACGATACAATATATCGGAGGCTGTGCCATTTTACTTGGTCTTGTTGCCAATTCTCAAAACGCTGAGAGTCTTTATGCTTCAGTTAAAGTGCTCGTTTGTGTGCTCAAGGTAAACAAAGAGATGGTCAATGAGATGGATCGAATCAAAGGATATCAGACACTTGCGATGCTTTTAAGGCGAAAACGCAACTACTTAAATTCGCATACATTATCTTTAATTTTCGACTTTGTCGTTACTTTTGAAAATCGAATGAATGAAAATAGTTCACTAGAAATTAAACGAGAGAAAGCGTTTAAAGATCTATTGTGTAACCAAATTGACCTGTGGTCTCAAAGTGATCTACTTAAACCATTATTGGAACACTTTAGTGAACTTCTTCACGAATCAAAGCCCGAAAATAATCCAAAGGCAGAAAACAAGTTGAAAAACCTTCGAATCCTTAGAGATTTGAATCTATCATGTCATCTTCTTGAACTTCTCTGGAACCATCGAACATTGGAACCAAGAGTGGTCCAAGATATCGGTATTCTAATCACAGCACTTCTCAATCAAACTCATCGACACAATGATTTATTATACTTCGGTCAGTTCCTGGCCTCTTTGTTGCCCCACGTTGAATCTGAAAGGTCAACTGAAGTGATCGAGATTCGCAATCTATTGCTCAAGGTTGTTCTTAAATTGATGACTCGTTGTTCCAAAGTTCAGGTCAATCATCTTTTCCAAGAAGAAATTGTTCGAACTCTTGGATTCGACTGGTTCCTATTATTTCTACAGGGTGCAGAGCTTAATAAAGATACAGTTGCTATTGGACTTGTAAACTTAATGGTGCTACTGAGTAACCCGAATAATAATGTCAAATTCAAAGAAGGATCTCTCAACGGTGGTTGGATCAAAGATGCGAAGTCGGACTTCTTGAACCGATCTAATTTTCATCTTCTTGGTTTCAACATACCGTCACCATCGCCTACACCTTCAGCCTCTTCATCATCTGCACCAACCTTTTTTTCATCCGCACATAAACAGACCACTGCCGAGAAAGCGATTCGTGAAGATATACTTACCATTCCTGGTTTTCAGCATTTATCGTGGTTAATGAATAATCATCTCGATAAACCTCAAGTTTATCTCATTTTATTTCAAGGATTAGTGGGACAATTTGTACAACTTTCTCCTTCGGTGATTGGTGCGATTGAAGCTTTCGATGATCTTACATTGGATAGTTTATGGAATTGCCTTTTCGACAGTCGAAAAAACTCATCTCGAACCGTTAAAAGTAAATTAACTTGCCCTGATCTTACGTTGACCTTATTGGGTATGATTCATTCCCTTGTCTGGCTGGAAAATATTGAAAAACGCAGAGCGGAATCTTTTAGCGTTACATTGGTACAATTTCTGGTGCTTCTCTATCAAAATCGAAAAGATTTCCAAACTTATTGTCACACAAATATTGATTTCGTTAATAGTCTATGTCGTGTTGTAATTCGAGACAAAGAAAAAAGCACCAAAACCATGTTAACTTCCAACGAAGCGGTCAAGCACGTTATGGACTTCATCAGATTGATCATTGTTGACGCAATGATCTGTGCCTCAGGTCCAGACTCTAAAACAATCGCAGTAACCGAAGCTTTTCTTGCAGCACTGAGTAACTCCAAAATAGCCCAGACTGAATTGATTAAATCTCTGATGGATCATCTTGACTCCCTAACCACTGTCATGTCCCAGCAGCAGCATTTTGAAGGTTCATGTGACAGTAATCAAATCAATCAACTTCAACAACAAACAATCTCTAATATCGTTACATTTTCCAGCATTTTATCCGATAAAATTTGGCAGGAGTGTTATCTTCGTGATCGCAAAGAAATATTAAGTTTCCAGTTAAATCTACTGAACAAATTGTCCTTTACAAGTCAATCGAACAAAGGTTCACGAAGTGTTGTCAACAGCGAATTGGCTCTGCTTTATCGATCTATCAATAGAACTGTTCTATTTCTCCTTTCACGTCCAATCGATACAATACCCGATCGTATGATGGTACTAGAATCACTGCAACGGGTTCATAATTATCGACAGAACATTTTGTCTTCCCCGAACAATAATAATCCGTCTTTCTTTGCTTGTTTGACTTACTGTTTACTGAAACTTGTTGACGAGAAGAAAAATTGTTTAACCGCCAAGAAACGAGTACCATCATGGCATTCAGCTGAATCTTCCGAGAAAGACATGATAGTACAGCCTGATGAAGGTGCTCTGTTGATCGCTTCTGTGGCTCGAAAAATTTGGAACGAAATTTATTTAAGCAAGAAAATGCTTCTTGAAGAAACTCTGAAAATCAACTTAGCTCACAATCTCTCTAGTTTTGGAATAATTTCAGAAATACCTGATTTAGTTTCTCTTGGAGATTCTCTTTTAGATATAACTCAGAAATTTTGGAACGAATATCAAGAGTCGGAAAATTTGCGACAAAAAAGAAATAAAACCAATCTGATAAACATCTCGATAGATTCGCCGTTTTCACCGACAACCACAATGTTAATATCGGAGAAACTTGGTAACATCAATAAGTTGACGCAAGTTGTAAATTCTGGAGGTGGACTTATGTCAAAAATAGTTGTTGGCACCACGGGAGCGGTTTCTGGTGCTATATCAAACGCGGTTGGTTCAACAATCAAGAAAGAAATTTTCAAATCATCTCTCTCAACGGAATCAGTGTTGGCCAAATGCCAAGTTCCAACTTGGACATCGTTGTCTCAAGACGAAGTTACATCTTGCACCTTGGATCATATCTGGTTAATCTCTGATCTTGTTGATTCACAATTGAAACAAAAGATTCAAAGTGATATTCATCTGCAGAAATATGTTTACGATGATTGGATCGCCTCCGAAAATGAACTGTTTCTAAGAGAAAAGGCTATTTGGGGACCTGAACATGGATCGAAACGTTTAGATAAATGGAAACTTGATATGACTGAAGGTCCACATCGAGTGAGAAAGAAAATGGTCAAAAACAATCTTTTCTATGTCCATTATCCTTACCGACCTGAGATCGACTCATCGAAAAATAGTACGAGAAAAAAGGGCAAATACAATCCTCCGATCAGTTTTCACTCTTATGAATACTTTAAACGGAATAGCCAGGAAGTCCATATTCTACTCGAACGAGAATCAAACTCTTCAACGGAAGCGGAAAAAGATGATGAAAGTTTTTTAGAGGGCAGAATTTCAGAGGAAAGAGAAAACTCATTCGAAGGGATAAAAACATCATCTTATCTTTCGGTCAAAACTCCATCTACTGACCAAGACGATTCTGATATAGAAATGGCCTCAGATGCATCGGTACATGTCAGTGAAGGTTTGATCGAGAACGGTGATTGGGAACAAGTTGAAGCTCAGACAGTTCTTCGTTTACTCAATGACGGAGAAAAAATATCTCACATGTTTCGTTGTGCTCGAATTTTAGGTCTAGACACTTTCGAAGGCTTATTATTATTCGGCAAGGAGCATTTCTATTTGATCGACGGGTTCACTCTTCTCAAAACTCGAGAGATACGTGACATTGACTCACTTCCACCCGATATGCATGATCCAATTGTTCCGACAACATCAACACCTCGAAGCTCTATTGCATCAAGAGTAAAGAAAAGTTCAACTGAAAAGATTTGTATGAAATTCGCTTATGAGGATATCAAAGAAGTCCACAAAAGACGGTACCTTTTACAGCCTATCGCTCTCGAAATTTTCTCAATGGACGGACGCAATTCTTTAATCGTTTTCCCGAGAAAGTTACGAAACAAGGTTTTCTCCCGTTATATGTCCGTGGCCACACATATCACTGATAACGCTCAAGATTCACTTTCCGGTCAAAAAAGAAATGTTAATGTCGAGAGTGGAACTGGAATATTCAGTAGTCTTATTGGTGACACTTCCGTTACCCAGAGATGGGTTGTAAGTTATTCATCGAATAGCAATTTACATTTGAGATTAATTTGATTTCTTTTCATTTCATCAGAGAGACGAAATCAGTAATTTTCAATATCTAATGCATCTCAATACTCTTGCTGGGCGTTCATATAATGATCTTATGCAATATCCTGTCTTTCCCTGGATTTTGGCTGATTATTCATCACCAGAACTCGATCTCTCGGATCCTCTTTCATTTCGTGATTTATCAAAGCCAATGGGAGCACAAACACCCGATAGATTAGAACAATTTCGTAAGCGATACATTGAATGGGACGATTTGCACGGCGAAACACCACCTTACCATTATGGAACCTTTTACTCGTCGGCCATGATTGTAGCATCTTATTTAGTTCGAATGGAACCTTTCACACAACATTTCCTTCATCTTCAAGGAGGCCATTTTGATCTTGCCGACCGGATGTTCCATTCAATTGGCGATGCCTACATGTCAGCAGCTAAAAACAACATGGCTGATGTGAAAGAATTGATTCCAGAGTTTTTCAATCTACCCGAATTTCTTGTTAACCATAATGCTTATGATCTTGGTGTCAAACAGAATGGAGTCCGTTTAGGTGATGTTATCTTACCTCCTTGGGCGAAAGGTAATTATTACTTAATTTTGGTCAGTTTTTACTTGTCAATAATATCTTTTAATGTTGATGATATTTCATCATATTAGGCGATGCTCGTGAGTTCATACGTATGCACCGAGAAGCCTTAGAATGTGATTACGTTTCGGCAAATATTCACAAGTGGATAGATCTTATTTTTGGTTATAAGCAACAGGGTAAGAATTTAGAACAATTTGTATCAAACCTTATTGAGAATATCAATTTACTTGTGTGATAATCACAATCCATCTCGATGTAATTTATTCATATTCATTTGTAGGATCTGCTGCTGTTGAGGCCGTTAACGTTTTCCATCATTTGTTTTATGAGGGCAACGTTGATATTTATACAATTGAAGATCCGTTGAAGAAAAATGCAACCATTGGCTTTATCAACAATTTCGGGCAAATACCAAAACAGTTATTCAAGAAAGCGCACCCGGCGAAGAAAGTTCACCACTCGAGTGGTGCACCGTTAACGCCGATATTACCGACAGTTGGATTGCATAATGTTCTATTACATGGAGGTCAAGACAAGTTGATTATTCATAATCTCGAAAATTTGAGACCTTCTTTACATCCAGTTAAAGAATTGAAAGGGGCCGTGGGTCAGATTATTCAACAGGAAAAAACTTTACTTGCGGTCGAACAGAATAAAGTTCTGATTGCGCCAACATTCAGTCGGTATGTTGCTTGGGGATTTGCAGACCATTCCATTCGTATCGGACCCTATGAAAGTGATCGGGCTTTGTACATTTTTGAATCGGATTTTCTACCTTCCAATGGCGAAATACTTTGTGCAACTGTTCCCAATCCAAGGTTACTCATAACCGCAGGTACTAATTCAGTGATTACAGCGTGGAGGTTGAAGGGTAAAAACAATTCTCTCCAGCTAGTAACTCATCTCTATGGGCATAAAGAGGCCATTACATGCTTGACTTCGTCTGCTGCTTACGGTATTATCGTAAGTGGTTCCCGTGATCGCACTTGTATCATTTGGGACTTGAACCGGTTAATTAGCGTGAGACAACTTGGTAGCGGCTTCGAACCTGATTTACACCATCCTTCACCAATTGCTGCTGTTTCAATAAACGATTTGACCGGAGACATTGCTACATGCTCAGGTAATTGGCTATTTCTTTGGTCAATAAATGGTGATCTTTTAGCCAGTGTTAACACGAGTGCCGCTAGTCCAGCAATTGAAATAAATGGTCCAGAAGCTAAACAGCCTATTAATGCTTCATCAACTCAAATACTATGCGCAGCGTTTTCCCTCAATAACGAGTGGGATCTCGACAATATAATTATAACAGGATCGAGTGATGGAGTTGTTCGTATGTGGTCCGTTCAGTACTATCAAGTCCCAATTGACGAGCCAACTGTTGATAATGGTACATGCAGTTCATCCGATTCATCTAAAGCATCAACTCCACAAGAACTTGATAAAGCCGTTAGTCATTTAGTTGGTCCATCTTCTGGAGAGGAAATTGTTCGTCGGATGAGTATAGCATCAGTGAAAGCTGAAGAAAGTATCGCAGACGAAGATGATTTTCAAGATAAAGAGTATTGCAACTCATCGCGCTACGAATCAACTCCGAATAAGTTAGATTCCTGCATATCATCAAAACAAAAAACGTCCTTACAAAATAAACCAGAGCCGAGCCAGACCAATAATAACATATCAGTAGCCACGATAACTCATTCAAAATCAATCGCAACCGATCTTCCCCTGGTAAATATTGTTGGTAGTGACGAAAACAATGAAAATTGTAATCCTGGTGAATCGACTTTACAACTAGTTGAAAGCACAAGTAACACCGATAAAATGACTAGAAAGAAAATTCCGGCTCCGTTAGAAATACCGAAAATTAGGGCTTCGAAATCAGATACATCTCTGATCGATTCAACCCTTACAGGGTGTAATATGATTGATTCTATTTTAAAACCAGGTCATAAATGGTCCATGAAACTTTACTTTAGATGCAAGCTCACAATGCACACTGCATTTGAATGCAAAGATAACCCTGAACCCGCTGCGGTGACCGCAATTACTATTTCAAAGGATAACAAGACCATTTTCGTTGGAGATGCTCGAGGCAGAATATACAGTTGGAGTTTTTCTGATGGACGGGGTTTTGGTAACCATTGGGGAAAAGAGGAAAATGTCGATTATTGTTCCAAGTGTAACGTCAAATTTACAACCACAGGACATAAAAATCAATGTCGTTATTGTGACCTTTCATTCTGTTCAAAGTAAGTTTCTCGATATTGATAAATTATAATGATAAAAATGTAAATGTCATAAATTTTGAATCTGAAAATTTACTAATCAATTTTACTCTATTTTCCATCAGATGTATTAAAAATGTTGAAGCTATGAAAAGACCAAATGACCAGAACAAAAAACCAGTTCAAGTTTGTAATAATTGCTTCATGATTCTGCAAAAGAAATGATTTATAGCAATCATCATATTGGTAAATCGACACTAACTTTCAATGTAACGGATTGTATATGTATATTAAACTTGTAAAATGATGAATAATAGTTATCACTCGAATGATCATGTAGTGACTTAAGAAAAACCCTCAACTACCGTTTGTTAAATAAAGAAGATCTAAGATATATCAAATAAACAATCAAAAGCTGACGAGAATTGAATCGATCGACAATTAATCAAATGAAATTAGCATTCGCAATGGTAATTATTATGGAAATGATGAAAATCATTAGCAATTAAACTAATTGTTGAGAAAATAGAAACTAGACTAAAATGAAATGTACTGAAACCTAATCAAATTTCCTGGTGATTACTAAATTGCTTCATTAACTTGTCCTTGGATTAATAATCTTTGGATATGAATAATAAACTCCTTAGGCATTGGAAGACAAGATTGATGATAATGATGATAACCAAGGTCTGATTGCCTAATAGCAATACCATCATCTTCATCGTCTTCATCATCACTTATGTAATTAGTTTTCAATTGAAAAACTAATAATTTCTGTTGATCAAATGGTGATTAATTTTGATTGGGTTAACAGGTTGATGACATTTGATAGACGAGAGTAACCAATTAGTTGAACCAGCAATTAAGATTGTTAATTGTTGTTATTTAGTTTTGGTATCGACAAATAGGCTGTTTAATTAACCTTTAATTAACTTGATTATTAAAAGCACAAGGGTAAATCGAGAGGAAATTGTGTAATCATGTTGATAGGAATCGATAATAAATGAAATAGTTTCACAATCATGTTTCATATTGATAGTAACTTTTTATCATCATTTATCTTCCACTTTCTTTCTGTCTCTCTTTTTGGCATCCACATTTACTATCATTATGCTTTTGCAATACAATGATGATAAATACTTGAAATCATTCACATCATCAGCATGATCATCATACAGAATAATCTGAATCCATTTGGTTATTTATGCTGTCATGTTGCAATTAAGACTCACTCTTTCATCTTCCTCATCATCTTATCCCTCTTTTTTTCTTACTTTCTTCTCTTTCTTTATCTTCCATGTTCAATCATCGTCATCATCATTATCATCATGAATTTCGACATATTCTTACCTTATCTTTTTTTTTCTTCGTCTTTTTTTAGTAATTTTCCTTTTTTCTTTCTTCCTCCTTCATGTTATTATCTCTATTCAGATCTACCTGATAATTCATATTTATCGTCATTGGAATCAGATCATGAGTATCATCATCATGATCCAATGAACGATTGATTCCATTGGGTTTTTTCGTGTTCTCGTTTCGTTCATTGGTTTATTGCCTTTCAGATTATCATCTTTATCTGATTCCCTACATGTATGATTCAGTTAATCATTGATCACCTATTTTAATTATCTCTTGATTGTTATTGATTTTTTTCTGCAGCAGTTATTAGATATTAGTTATTAAATTTAATCGGATTATATTTACTTGGGTTAATTCAGTCAAATGTCAATTTTAATCTGATTTAACTGTTGATAGTGAATTACATGTATATTAATAGTTGTCTTATGTCTTTTTCTATGATCATGATTGTGATCAATTGATTGTTAAATGGTTATTATTGATTATGAGATTTTCAAATTTCTCTAGCAATTAAAATTAACATTTAACCAACTGAATTTTATTACAATCGATTTAAGTTTTTATCATCAACTTGATTAACTTTGGTTTATTTATACCATTGAATTGATTTTGAACAATTTACTCAGTGATCAATTTTGTGCTTAAATTGAAACGTTACAATTTAATTTATTATTACATAAACTCAGCAATTTAGGTAAACAGAAAGTGATTTAGAAAACTACAATTTATTGATTCAACAATTTGTATCCATTGATTATAATCCATAAAAATTTAACGGGATTAAATTCACTCGGATCAAATTATTTATTAATAATCCCAATAGGGATCAGTAAATCAATTTAAGTTTTGATTGTAAATTAATCAAAATTTTTTATGAATTTAATAAAATTTACAATTTAAATCGTGAGAATGATTTAATAATAATCAATCATTTAATTGAGACAAAATGGTAAAAAGGTTTTCATTTAAATCTTCAATTGATTTACTTGATTTTTCATGATTATGAAACTGATTAAGTATTAATTGCAAACATGACAAAGTTACAGTTTTTTACAATTAAAGTTTTAATTTAGTTTTTGTTCAGTGAATTGCATGAGAAGTGAAACTAACTGAATTAAATTAACATGACCAATCAATTGACAAATCATGAAAGTTTGGTTGATAAAAAATAACAAATCGTTACAAGTTAATTAGCGAGAAATGAAAAGAAAAACAATTAACTATTTGTGATGGAAATAGGAAAAGGAAATGAAGAGGAAAAGATGATGATGAAAGGGAAGATGATAAATTGATGATGAAGATGATGAAGATGTAATTGTTAATGGGTTGACATATGGAGCGATTCACAAAAGAGACAAAAATCAATCTGAAAGATGTTGATTGTAATCAAATGATCAACAATGTAACATAATTGTTTTGTAATGATTAAGTTATTAACTGAATAAGAAATAGTAATGATCAAGGTTAAAGATTAACAACTGATTTTATTGTTTTTATTTGATGATATATTAAAAAAGACATAGAGTAACAATCAACTTAATCGGTTAACTAATGGTAACAATTTACAAAGAAAACATTATAACTGAATAACATGAATTAAAAGGTTATTGTCTAATTTTTTTTCTCTCGTTTTCTTTGTTAATATTAAATTACTTGGTGTTAATTTATTGATTGCAATGATTAGAGTGATGATGATGATAATGGTTAACAATTGAATGACAATTTATTCATTGATTGTTTGTTAATGGTCACGATATTACCTCGAAAGTGAGTAAAACTTTCAGATTGAGTTGTAACCTTTTTCATTTTTGCTGCTTTGTTTTCACTTAATTTGATTGCGGTTAATCAATGATAATGTTGTTGATTGTTGGATGTACATTAAGATGGATAAAAATCATTGTTGGAAGCTGTTGATTTTCACACGAATTGATGAAGATGCTAAAGTATTGGGGCGGAGAGGAAGGTGATGAAGGAGGAGGAAGAGAGGGTGGAGATGATGATGACCATTCTCAAGACAATCATGTTAGTTAATTGTAACTCTTGACCATTATTATTATCGAAATTTTTCTTCTTCTTCTTCATCAGAATCATTCGTTTTTCTTTTTTTCTTTTTTCGCACTATCATCAGCTCTCTTTTATCTATTCCAATGGTCATCGCAATAAACTCGTTGCTGTTAGTTATCCATTTGGTGGTCAACATTTGATGATACAATCAAAGTTTATGTGTGAGAATGATGATGATAATGATGAGGAAGATAAAGGTAGGCCAATATTACATCTTTGTTACTTTAAATGTGTCTGGACACATGACTTGACCATAGATTAGTGAAACAATGTTGACTAGTCTTCGCGATCTATTAACTGTTAATATGATCGAATACAAATTTCACCAACAATTATAATCATTTTCTTAAAAGTTGATTAACTTCAACAGAATCTTTTGTATTATTGTGTCAATCGTTTTGCGTAAATTTTGTGTGTCCATCATATTAATCACCAAATGACCTCCTCGCTGACCATTGAAAATTCACTTAAGGTAATAATGAAATAACAGAGAAAAAGAGAATCAAATAATAACAATGATAATTAAGAGAAAAAGTAAACAAATCAAATCATGGAAACTTTTTCTTCGCAATTATTTGTGACTTTTTCTTTTTCTTTTGTTTTTGTTTAATTAATTTCATCATCATCATCATCATCTACCTTGCATCTTCCTCTTCCTCCTCCTACTCTTTCACAAAGTTTTAATCAAAACAAAGTGAAAAATAGTAAACAAAGTTTTCTTGTTTTTCCATTTTGTTTTTGTCAAACTTTTCTCAATTGTTTGATTGTTTAGTTTTCAATTGATCGCATCATTGGTGATCCCGAAGATGCTGAAATTAAATATGATAAAAAAGTTACTGAAAATGATGATAAAAACTCTGGTGACCCTAATTCATGGTACCATGTTAATCAAGTCTCATGGGAAACAACTTACCAAGCATATCGGAATATCCTTGAAACATATTCAACTTACCAACAGAATCAATGTTATCATCATAATAATAGTCACCACCTTCACAATCAACAACAATCAAGTCTCCTTGAGCCTGGGATAATTGGTTGTGGTCTTGTAATCAATGGAAATGATGAAACATCTTCATCTTCATTTGTTCATCATCACTCTTATCATCATCTTCATCATCATCATCATCCTGGTAGCAATTTAAATCAACCAAAGAAACACCGTAAACCAAGCACTGAGCGTCGACCAAGACAAGCTTATTCAGCGAAACAGTTAGAAAAACTTGAGAATGAATTTCAAGTAAGTAAATTAATCATCAATTCTAATTACAATTAATGTAAGTTTTTTCTCTTTTTTTCTCACAATTAACCAATCAGATTGATAAATATTTAAATGTTAGTAAACGTATGGAATTGGCGGTGACACTTAATTTAACTGAGGTGCAGATAAAAACTTGGTTTCAAAATAGAAGGTAGGAGATAAATTGTTCAATTAAATTAATTGAATTAATTTATTATCGCTGTTTTCATGTTATTTCACCATAACACAAATTGATTGATTTACTGTTTCATAAGTTAATTATATTTGATAAATATTTTCTCATGACATAAGAAACACATGATAATATTATTGCTTTATCGTCATAAGAAGATATTAAATTTGTGTCCAATCGTAATATTGAATTAAAAGTAATAACAATAATACTAATTGTGGATAAGTTTTCTTTATGTTTCCTCATCTTTTTTTATGTTATTTCCTTTTTCCTGTTTATCATTTTCAATTGATTCTTATTCATCTCTTATCATATTTCAGGACCAAGTGGAAGAAGCAAATATCAGCGGCTTGGCATTTAAATAATCACCACCATCAGAATTATCATCAATCAGGGGAATTGCAACTTGCAGTTAAAAGATATTCCTGATTAATCAGCTAATCAACAGGAAAATTGAAACGTACGATCAAAATGAAGAAAAATTTATTCTTCTAGATGGAAACAAATAATTTCCATGAGTTGATAGAAGTAAAAAAATAGTTGAAGGATTTTTGACTTTTTGCTTGGTCCTTTTGTTTCAACAATTAAGTTAATTACATAGTCAGAAAATTTCCTAATGATTGAGGGCTCGTTAATTTGATCCTCTATTGCTCATCCCCAGGTGATTCTCGATCTTTAATTGTTCCAAATCTTTCTGAATACGGTCCAAATTGGCGATGGATTCATTGTGTCTCTCATTTTCAATCTACAAGCAAAACAATTAAGGAAAAAGTGAACAATTAATTGTGACCAATTTTGATATACAACGATGAAAGAACAATAAATTATCTAAACAATCAAATTACCGTCTCTTCTAATTGCAATGTCTCTCTACGAATAGTTCCTATGGCGTTAACACAATCCAACAGTGTATCGTAATTTTTGTGCATCGTTGCGAGTAATTTGTAACATTTACGATTCCATTCACTGTTTTTTGCATCCTGTCATTAAGAAAGAGATAGAAAATATAATTAATCGTCAACACTAAATCATGTTTACCATTATGTTTGCCTGGGAAATATACACAGAGTAATTAAGCGATTAAATTGTAAACAAGAAAAGGCAGATTATGTTTTGGGAGCTTAAAGTTTACGCAATTCAGCAAATTGCGAAATAGTTAAATTGTAACACAATTTAACGAGTTTACGTTCATCAGATTAACTTGAACAATTTCACCTTGGATTCAATGTTGAGAAATATTGAATTAATTTCCCTCAAAGGAAAGGATTAAATCATAACAACGAGTTCGAGTTGGAAAAGAGGTCAAATCAGATTACCCTGAAAATTGTTTCGTCCGTTATTGTGTAAGCCCTTTGAACTTTTCCAGAGACAATGTTTATATCTTTTTGTAGTTTCCTCGTTTCGAGAAGGATTTTCTTGGTCTCTTCGTTTTGTTTCTTTACGTTATTTACAAGTTCCATGATCCGTTGGGTATATGATGATCTGTTCGGCGGTAAAGGTTTTCTACTTTTTTCTTGAAGTTCGCTAATCAATTCGTCCTTTCCAGATAATTCCTTCAATTTTATTCGACTTGTTTTCTTTAGTTTATGAATCTCTTTGATCATTTGATTCCTTCGTTGGCTGGCTATTGATTTCTCTTCCTTGATCGAATCTATTTTACCAGTTAATTGGTCGCTAATCACTTTCCATTGCTCTTGGAATGAAGCTAGTTCTTCTTTCACATAGGCCACTTCATCGGCTAAATCGGAAACTGTTTTATCACTTGTTCGCATGCTGATCAGTTTATCTGATTGATTTTTAAGCTTTTCTTCAGATTTTTCAATCGATTGGACTTGTTCATTCAAAATGGTTTCCATTTCAACTAAACGGCTTTTAGCTTCTTCTATGGCCTCTTCGAGTGTTGCGATTTCACTTTTTAATGCTTCTTCTTGATTCAATTCTTCCGTCACGTTAGCATGGAATGGCGACTCTGGTGATGAGACGAGATTATCTCTAACCGAATCTTCAGAAGAATCTTCATGACCAAAGAAACTTTTTCTCCCGATAAATTCAATATTCTCAATCATTTTTCTCCTTGAATTTGTTAGACGAATATAAGTTGGATCTAATGAGGCTGAATTCCATTCCAAAATCGATGCAATATCGTTGATCGGTATTCTGGCATAATTGTCGTAATAATTTCTTTTAGAAGGAGCAATTCGATTACCAGCAATACTCTGTGAGTTAAGAATACCGGTAAGAGGTTTCGTTTTCCAGGTAAGATTGGGCAATGATGATTCTAGATGTTGACATGAAGGAACCACAGGAGGTGTCCAGCTAATGGAAATTGGCTTTTTACAAATTTTCTCTACAAAAGTATCACCGGTCAAATTGATTGTCGTAATATCCTGAGTTTCGTCTTTAGGAATCTTTTCCAATAAGAATAGAAATAATCTCCTTAAATCAGCATCATTACAATAAAGAAAAGTCTGATAACCAAGATCCCCTTTGAATCCTAATTCAACACAAATATCAGCTAATGAAGTACAGAGTTTGTATTTAGAAGCCATATTGGATTGTGGAGCGATGGATAAACCATTGGTTAGTTCAGGATCAATCAGAGAAATACAACTAATTAAACACTTCATTATCGTATTGTAATCAAGCTCTCGCAAAGAGGTGTGTTCCTCATCGAAATCACTGCAAGAGAAAAAGTGAAAATTGAATTAGAGAAAAATGAAGAAAAAAATGAAAAATGAAAAAATCGAAATCGGATTAAATTTCTTACCCTTGGATCTGTTTCAGTTGGTGAATGATGATTGAATCTACTTCCTCCATGGTTAATCACTAATAAGAATTGATATTTACAATTAGTAAATTAAACTAATTGTCAACCAAATAGATTCTCAACGGAATCAAAGTGAAAGATAACTCATCATATGGAAAGAGGTGGATTCAGGTTTTGTTTACAATCGGCGAGCGAAAAGGCGGTAAAAAGAATCGATTCAAATTCAAATTACAAAATTTTCGAAATTTTTTTTTAATTATTAATTAATAATAAAATTAATAATAATTCTTAATAATTAAGAGAATTGTTTTACTGTTTCCGTTGGAATTTAATCAATTGTATAAATAGAAATGATAATTTTCTTACAGATTATATTTTCTTCCTATTGATACACGATAAACACTGTTTGGAATCGTTTCAAATCACAATCAACATCTAATCATCTTGAACACTTCACAATTGTAGACAATCAACTTGAATAGACAATTGTAATAAATTTTATGGAAACAATTAACTTGAACAAGTTTAAATATCAACAATTAAAGGTTAACAATCGTTGACTGTTTGATATTTTAAACATTTTTCCGTCATAAACAATCAGATTAATTTACAATCATAATAATAAAATGAGGTTTCCCTTAATTAGTAACATTAATAAGATCAAGTTTGAAACAATTAATAATTATCCGAACTGTACTAAATGATTAAGCTTATCAACCGCAAATTGAACAGTTAACTATTTGGACGTTATTAATTGTCTAGTTAAGATTGATGGTAATAAGATAATTAAAAATTTTCTAAATAATTTATTTCACATTTCTAATTACAAGGGTTGTATAGTTATATCAGAATAATTAAATTCATTGAATAATTTGTTTAAAAGGCCAAAGATTGAGAGTGGAAACAATTAATCATGAGTAGTTACAATTAAGAGACATTGACAGCAATAAAGTACAAGGGTCCAGTGGTTAATTGTCATAACAATTAACTGAAACATTGGGTAACAATCAACTTATCCAACGGTCCAGAGATCTAATTAAATGAATAGATAAAGTTAATTTGTTAGTTAACCCAAATAGAGAGGATAATTAAAATGTAGAGTTGTAAATTAATTGTGAACAGATTAGGATTCGTATTTAATCATGGTGTAAATTGTAGGCTGATTGTAAACATAACAGTAAATTGTGATTGAAAGCAAAGATAAAACTTTGATTATGATAAAATAACAATTGAAGTAGCAAGTGAAATCAATTAGTGTAACAATTACAACTAATTGAACAACGACAATTAAACCGACGTGAAAATTTAATTCAATGGATTTGGACAGTTTATGTGGTCATACATTTTGGGTTAGTACAATTAAATTTAATTTCTTTTCTATTTCTAATCAATGATAACTTTCAGATTGCTTTTGAAACTTTTTCTTTGTTAAACCGATAATTTAATCGTGATATCGTTTAATTGTTAATCACAATCAAGGATGAACAAATTTCTTGGAACAGTTCAACTCCAGTTCTGTCACCATGTTTCAGTGAAATCGGATTACTTTGGACTTCATCACTATTCTTGTGGATATTATCACCGATCGCAATTTACTTGACAATTAAAAGTCCAAAACCTGGTTTAATTTGGACATGGAGACTTTACTTGCGATTGGTAATCAACTGATTTGGCTCCTTAATTGTCCACTTGATTTTAATTGTTTCTCTTTTCACAGTTTCTATCCTTAATTCTGATCGGTGTCACAATCTACGAGGTGGTTAAATTGTTCATTGGAACCGATGATCAAATTATTTATCCTTATCAATATGTTTCACCAATCGTCCGATTGATTTCATTTGTAAGTACTGACTGGTTTCTAACAATTAACTGTTGACTAAATTAACTTTTATTTCCACAATTTAGTTGATTGCTACCAATTTATTGCTCTTGTACAAATCAAAAGGATCTCAAACTTCAGGATTACTTTCTGTTTATTGGTTATTAATGGTTATCCAATCAGCAATTAACTACTGGACTTTAATTGATTCATTAAAAAACCCGGTGTGTGTAACAATTAAGATAATTAACTAGACTTTTGATTAACTCTTTTATTTTTCGTTAATAGTATTATCGAGATTGGACTTTCAACCAAACTGATCTAATTGTTAAATCTTTTCAATTAACATCGATCGTGTTGATTTGTATTCTCAATTGTTTCGCTGACACAATAAGTGACGATGATTCAAGGAAAGTTAAAGTTAGTAAATCAATTGATTTTAAAGTAAACAATAGCAATGGAAAATCACAACAATTAACTGATTGTTCTTTTCTCCCTTTAATTGTTAGACTTCGGGAAACTTTGTATCATCTTCGTTTTTCTCTCGACTTTTCTTCCTTTGGTACGACTCGATGGCTTATCTCGGCTTTAAAAAGACACTTGTACAGTCCGATCTCTGGGATTTACCTGAAGAAAGTCAAACTTCAAAGGTTCATGACCAATTTTCAGCCCAGTTATCGAAGGCTCAAGAACGGATTAAATTAATTAACAGTAGAAAATCAAGTGGATCAAAGCCAAAGAGTAACTTGTTCAGTACGGTTCTCAAAGGCTTCTGGCCTTGGTTAACCGCTTGTCTTATTATGAAGTTGACCTCGAGTTTCTTAGCATTTGCAAGTCCACAGTTACTCGATTTGCTATTAACTTTCATTCGGTCTAATGATCCAATTTGGAAAGGATACATTTTGGCCTTTGGGATGTTCTCAGCGGCATTGATTCAATCGCTTGTTGATTCTCAACATGAATTCTGGATTCAGTCAACATCCATGAGAATGAGATCAGCTCTTATTTCAGCAATTTTTCATAAGGTAAATTTCTTACAATTAACTTTGGCAAACAATTTGTATGGATAGTTTATCAAAGATAAATTTCGATTTTGTATTAAAACTTTTTCAAGAGTTTACGACTTTCTGGTTTGGGTCGACGTGATTATACCAGTGGTGAGATTGTAAATTTAATGGCCGTTGATACTCAAAGGATTATTGATTATGTGAACACAATTAACGTTCTCTGGTCAGCACCAGTTCAAATCGCTCTTTCAGTGGTTCTTCTTTGGGTACAATTAGGAGCTGCTTCGATTGCTGGATTAATTTTCATGCTTACTTTGGTTCCACTTAATAGTTTGATTAGAACTGCGATCAAAAATTATCAAACCAAAGTAATGAAGGAAAAAGATAAACGAGCCAAGATGATGTCCGAAGTTCTCAACGGGATGAAAGTACTCAAACTTTATGCTTGGGAAGGTGCGTTCGAGGATATGATTATGTCCATTCGAGCCAATGAGATAAAATATCTGAAAAAACAAGCACTTTGGACTGCGGTCACGAACTTCATTGCCAATTTTGCACCTTTCGGGGTAAGTGGTCAACTTGATCAAATGATATCGTATTCTAATTGTTGTTGATTACTTGAAAACCTCAAAGGTCTCGTTGGTTTGTTTTGCCACTTACATTTTAATGGATCCAAACAATTCACTTGATGCTAACAAGGCTTTCGTTTCAATCTCGTTGATCAATTTGTTGAGAACTCCGCTGATTCAATTGCCAATGGTTGTTACTTATGGTGCTAATGTAAGTACGAAGTTAATGTAAATCGAAAATTTTGAAGAGATTTGACAAATGATATATTCGATTTTCAGTGCGCTATATCGATGAGACGAATCGATAAATATCTTCAAGGAGATGAAATTGATTCGAAGGCTGTTTCTCATCAAGTCAATGATAAAGTTCCGATAAAAATTTCCAACGCAACGTTCAGTTGGTCTCAAGATGAAGATGTTGTGTTGAAAGATATTAACATTAGCGTTGAACGGAATAAATTGATCGCGATTGTTGGAACTGTTGGAAGTGGTAAATCGTCCCTTTTATCTGCTCTTCTTGGTGACCTCTACAAACGATCGGGCTCTGTGAATGTTCATGGACGAGTGGCTTATGTACCTCAATCAGCTTGGCTTCAAAATGCCACAGTCCGTCAGAATATTGTGTTCGGTGAATTTTTCCGTAAAGAAAAATACGATCGAGTGATTGACTCTTGTGCTTTGACTCCTGATTTTAAAATACTTCCGGGTGGTGATTCAACTGAAATTGGAGAAAGAGGAATCAATCTAAGTGGAGGTCAAAAGCAACGGATCAGTATCGCTCGAGCTGTTTATTCAAATTCTGACGTTTATCTTATGGACGACCCGCTATCAGCTGTTGATGCTCATGTCGCTGCTCAACTTTTTGACAAAGTCATTGGTCCTAATGGACTTTTGAAAAATAAAACTAGACTTTTGGTGACACATCGAATCACATTTTTACCTCAAGTCGATGAAATTATCGTTATTAAAGATGGAAAAGTTCATGAAAGCGGAACTTACAATGAGCTGATGGCCAAAAAAGGTGAATTTTCCGACTTTATTATTCAATATTTGGCCGATGATGAGGCCGAAGATGAAATTACTGATGAAGATCCGATCATGATAGAAGCCATGAAAGCTTCAATCAAACCCGAATTGGAACTGAGAAGATCATTGAACAGAATGGATTCGATTGGTACTCTAAGTAGAAGACGAACTTTAAGTCGAATGGGCAGCAAAATGTCGACCACCAGCCTCACTAAAGATAATCAAAAAGCCGATAAAAGTAAAGACGACACAGCTGATTACAACATTGTCGCCATCGAAAAAGCCGAGACTGGTTCAGTTAAATTTAGCGTTTATCTTGAGTTTTTCCAAGCGATTGGAATACTGGCCTTTGTCGTGACGATGATCTTATACGTGGCTTCGAGTGCTTTAAGCTTTGGTTCTACTTTATGGCTAACCGAATGGTCGGAAGACGCTAATGATCCGAATACTAAAATGATACAGGTCTTCGTGTCTATCGACTTGTGGTCTACGGTGTCTTAGGTACTGGAAGTTCATTGATGATCTTAATCAACGCCGCAATCATAGCGATGGCGTTTTTAAATGGTGCCACTTGGATTCACAATCAAATGCTCAACAAAATTATTCGATCCCCAATGTCCTTTTTTGATACAACTCCAATGGGGCGAATACTTAATCGCTTTACAAAAGACATTGACAACGCCGATACAACGATAACTTTGAACTTTCGAGCTTTTTTCATCCAAGGTTTTCGAGCTGCTGTTTCAATCATTGGTATTTGTACCGAAACTGGTTACCTTGCATTTGGAATTTTGATTATTGGAGTTTTCTACGTTCTAATTCAAAAGTTTTATATCGCTTCGTCTCGACAATTACGAAGAATCGAATCAATCACCCGATCTCCAATTTACTCTCACTTCTCTGAGACCATTTCCGGAACAACCTCGATTCGAGCCTATGGTGCCACCGAACGTTTCATTCAGGATTGTTATCAAAAAGTTGATATTAACCATTCATCTTTCTTCCTGAACATTGGTGCCAATCGATGGCTTTCAATTCGCCTCGAATTCTTTGGTAACTTGATCGTTACTTGTGCCGCATTTACGGCTGTCGCTACACGAAGCTCGTCAACTTCTGGTTCCACTGGACTAGCGCTTAGTTATGCTCTTCAAATCACTCAAATTCTCAGCATGTGGATTCGATCTGTTTCGAATATCGAGAATAACATCGTTTCCATCGAACGTTGTTTGGAATATACAAAAATCGAATCAGAGGTAAGAAGTTCGAATGCGAACATATCAAAATTTTCTATTCTAATCGCAAATCTTTTCCTCAACCTGCGATCAATAGGCTCTTTGGGTGGATTATCACAATCGTCCTCGACCTAATTGGCCTGAATCAGGTAAAATTGTCCTGAAAAATTATTCTACTCGATATCGAGATGGTCTCGATTTGGTCTTGAAACATATATTTTGTACCATTCAGCCTAATGAGAAGGTCGGAATTGTGGGACGAACTGGAGCTGGTAAATCGTCTCTAACATTGGCCTTATTCCGTCTAATAGAACCAGCCCAAGGAATGATAACAATAGACGACCAAGATATTAGTAAATTTGGACTACATGATCTTCGTGAACGACTAACAATCATCCCACAAGATCCAGTTCTATTTTCCGCCTCTTTCCGTGCCAATTTTGATCCTTTCGGTAAATACTCTGACAACGAGATCTGGAGAGCACTAGAACAGGCCAATTTAAAAGAGTTCATGTCAAGTCTAGAATCAGGACTCGACTATCAAATCGCCGAAGGCGGAGAGAACCTAAGTGTAGGCCAACGTCAATTGGTCTGTTTGACTCGGGCACTTTTGCGAAAGACTAAAGTCCTAGTTCTAGATGAGGCCACGGCGGCCGTTGACGTCGAAACCGATGAGTTGATCCAACAAACAATTAGACGGGAATTCGCTGATTGTACAATCGTCACAATCGCTCATCGTCTAAACACAATCATGGATTACGACAAGATAATGGTTATGGATAAGGGAAAGATTGTTGAATATGATTCTCCAAACAATTTACTAATCAACGTTAATTCAATATTTTATTCAATGGCCAAAGAAGCGAAACTTGTTTAGATGAAGTTAGTTGATTAACTTTAATCATCACTTTTACAATTACAAAGATTTAATTGATTTACATTAATGGTTGTTAATCAGTTGATCAGTTGCGGTAATTAAAGCAGTAAAACCATTGCCAATGTTAATTAGTTAATTATCTTGTTTATTCATGACTTTCATTCTTGACTTTCATCTGAATCATAATTAATTCTGACAACCTGAATAAGAAAAAGAGATTGATTATTGACTAATTGTTGACAATTAAAATAAAACGAGTTTACCTTTGGTCCACTGACTGGATCAGAAGCAGCTGTAAATTTGAACCTAAATTAGAGGTAATTAAAGATTAGATTAAATTTTGATTATAATTTAAATCAACTCACTGATTGATTTGTCTTGAAACTCTGATTCGTCCTCCGATAATTGAATCGTTGATCGGAATTGAATCAATTGTTGTTGGAAATTTAAATACATCTTCATGTTTAGTTGAATCTGACTTTGTTTCTGATTGTAATAATCGCTCCTGTCGTAATTTAATTGTTGAATATAATTTAACTGAATGATGAACGATACAAAAATAATAAACACTTTCAAGAAAAGTCATTAAAATAACTCCATTAATCTCTTGGTCAAAATCTGAGGTGAAATTAATAAGAGAACCGATTAAGACTAATTAAAAATGGATCAAGTTAATTTACCTTTGGGGACATTGATAAATCTATCGATTAATTCATAACAATTGAAAGAAACTAATCCAAAGTTAATTAAAATGGTCACAATTAACAAAAACAAATAACCTCTTTCAACTGCTAATTGGGTAAGATAACCATTGATAATCATTACGATTCCCTCGAGAAAATTATTGAACAATGAAATTTGGTCAGGAACTGAGTTTCTCATTGATTCGTCTATTAAAATGTTCAATTAGTTAATTGCTGTAACCTGAGATTTTCCGTTCAATACTTACCACCCCTCAGAGTGACCAAAGCAAGAGTCGTAATTGCAACGTAAAGTGACCCGAGGCTAATTTGTAATGCGACCAATATATTAATCATTCTCCGAGAGGTTAAATCAATTCCTTTAGATGATTTTACCGTTGGTTTAACTATTGTTTTAGCAGTTGATTCACCGAGCTGCATGTTGACAATTTAACACAATGGATAATACAAAATGATTAGGAAAATTGGACCAATCAACTTTTTGACTATTAGAAATCACAAATTGTATTTGACAATCAATCGAAATGAGCTGATTAGGTTGACAATCATTAACTTTAATATAATATTAACTTTGATACATTTTTATGACAAAAAAAGTTGTTATCCTTACAATTAATCTAACTAATTAGATTTAAATTGATTTGTAAGCTAATAAACTATTACTATCAAAAAAGAGGATTTGAGAGGATATTGTAATTTAGAGATTTCCAATTGATTGATTATCTTCTCTATTGGATGATGTTGATGGTCGGAGATTTGTTGTCTTCTCGGGCAGTTCAAATTTGGGATTTTCGCCAATATTGTTTCTCACTGAATGGTAAAGTCGAACTATAATATCGTAATTTAGATCAGATAAAGTTAATTGATTCTCTTTATCTTTATTAACTTCTAATCCATCTAATAGTAATTGTTGGGCTTCTTTAACCATATTCCGTTCCAGGAGAGCGTAAATCATTGCATCGTAAACGGCACCTTTCGCTTTGGCATTAAGATCAGTTTTGTTTAATTGGTCGATCAAATTATATCCTAACATTAGATTCTTATTTCTTTTGATATCAAAGAGTAAAGTTTTGAAGACGAGGGTATCTTTAAAATCGGGTATAGAATGGAAAAGTTTCTTTGCCTCATCGAATCGATTTGTTTTCATCAATCGAAGCCAGATTATGTTTCGAGGACTGTTGGTTCCACGGGCTGCTGATAATTCTTCTAAAGTGTCGAAAATTTGATTCTCGAATTTAGGGAAAGCGTCGAGAAGCTCCAAAATACTAGCGAAAGGAAAAGGTTTAAGAGAAGGTAATAGTTTCAGTAGTGAACTAATGTCGGGACTTTTTGAATGCGAGTAGGCCAAAATAACGGTGTCAGAGAACCAGGAAGTCTCTTTTAATGGGATTGGCAGGGAGTCAATCATTTCACCGATTTCACGGAAAAGTCCGTCTTGGGCCATTTTCTCAAGAAGTGCTTTGTATACTCGAGGAGCTGGAAATCGACCTCCAGCCATCACATTTTTCGTTAGTCTTAGGGCTTTGTCAATCTGATTAGAACGAATAAATCGATCAATTAACAGACACTCATCTCCCAGTGTCAATGGAGATGAAGTGCTTGATTTGAATCGATTTTTAAGAGAAAATGCTTTGTCAAATTGTCCACTTCGAATTAAACCATGAAATTGATCTCGAACAAATTTCGCATCTTCACTGGCGACAATTTCTTCTCCTTCTTTGATTTCATCTTGGTACTTGAAAGGAACTTCCATATTTTTATCCTTCAAAAAACGGGAAAGTCGACTCATAATTCGAGGCGATGGGATAAGATTTTCTTCTTGCATTTGTGTCCAAAGTTCGAGAGCTTTGTGTGGCTTATCATTCTGTATAAATGAATCTAAAAGAGTGTAATACAATTTTTCTCTATCAACTCCAGGAATATCTTTGGTTATACCAATGAACCTTTCGAGGGAATCGATCTCATTTTGTCTTGAAAGTATAGAAATGATTCGTTGACTTCCCATCTCATAGCGTTGAAAATTTGGCCTGGTAAGAATCTTCAATGCCTGTTTGTCTTTCTTGGCTCGAATGAAGGCAAGAATTAGGTTAATCAGTGTTTCTTTTTCACCAATTCGGCTCATACAAATATCAGTGACTTTTTGTAGATTTTCAGTATCTTCAGCTTCGATTAACTTCTGTAACATGATTGATTTACAAGGAATTTGATCGTAAATCTTGACACAATCAAGCCATTCCTGTAGTGCTGTGTCTTTATCACTGTTTTGGATGATTTTTGTGTATACAGGAAGAAGTATTCTGTTAGTTACTGGTAATTGTGTTTCCTTTAAGATAAATTTTAACATTTCTTTGGCAAGAGATCCATTAGAGACGATGGCTACAATATTTTGAAGGAATCGAGCCACATCTTGGTCACTTATATTTCGAGGAAGTGATTTCTTGTTAAGGACATCGGTGAAATTGATAAAATTTCCTTCATTTTGAACACTATCGGCTAAGGTTGCTAGTAAAAGCTTTGAATCGAAACCCATCTTGACACATTTTGAAATAAAATCATGTTGGTCAGTCTTGATTCGAGGCCAAACATAATATTTAAAAGTTTCCAGCATCGCTTGGATTCCGAAGGCTTGTTGAAAAGGTAAAAGCTCTTCTTTCAAGATTTTCAGCATATCATCGTTGGTTTTCATTCGGCAAATCAATGGCCAAATGAAATGAGGTCGAGTCAATCCAGTTCGATCTTGAAAGTTTTTCAAATATTTGCGAACCAATTCAATATCTTCTAGATTATAGAGAGCAGCTTCGGTTGATCTCCAATAGGTCCATTCGTTGGCACCACTGGTTTCGAGAGCTTCACAAGCTCGTATCACTTCATCATAATCGGTTCCACTTTTGACAAGGTGATAGATGAAAAATCCTCCCATACTATTGAAATTATCACCAGCTCTGGACATTTTAGAGACTAGTTTCAATCCTAAATCAATTTTACGTTTGTAAGCAGATTTAATGACCAATTTGGATAGAGCTGAGTTATATCCTGCTTGTTTAGGTAAAAGTTCAATCAAATCATCAATTAGGGGGCTTTTATCATCACTATCAGCAATTGCTTCAATAGTATTGATAAACTGGTCAAAAGTGAAACTGATTTCATAGTTTTTCACCATTTGAATAATATTTTGAATCTTTTCTTGAATACCAGGCTTATCCAAATGAAGAGCATACGATTTAATTAAAGTTGCATATGTCTCAGCTGTTGGATCAATTTGATTGCTTCTCATTATCTCCAAGACACTTTCACCGGCTTCAATGTCACCCGATTTCATGTTACCATAAATCAAAGAATTGAAAACACCTTCATGAACCGGTAAATCATTAGACTTCATTTCAAGTAGAACCTTTTGAGCTCCTTCAAGATTACCAACTTGACAATAGAGATGAAGTAAACGATGATAGGTAACTCGATTCGGTTTGATTCCTCTTTGTGACATTAGCTCTAAAAATTTAGATGGATCTATTGAATATTCATTGTCGATATAAACATTGAGCAGAGCATTGTAGTGACTTATGTCCAATGGAGCTGATTTGGATTCCAACAAACTCCAAACTGTGTCAATTAATCGATTCCTATCTTCCTTTGTGGATTCCAAAAGGTAACTTCCACAGCATCTGATTGCCAGTAAACTCTCTGAACTTTTGATTGATCGGGAAGATTTCAGCTCATCAATGAATCTCGTCAGTTTATTTAGTGAAATCTTACGATCAGAAATGATATTTGCTTCTATCATTTGGTATGTACGATCTCGTCCATTTTGGATGGAATTTAGGTTTGAAGAAGATGAGGCTGATGATGATGGTTGGGAAGATGAATATTCGTAATTTGCTGCTGAAAGAGATGCTCCTCTAGTAACAATTAAGTCGGATTTGTGGACATTTAATTTTTTTGGTATTTTTGAACTGCAAACATTAGTTGGTCCATAGAAAGATCGACACGACGGTGACAATCCGAGACGAAAAGAGGTGACCAGTTTCCGGGCGTTGAACATCATCAAAAGAAGACGAATAATTGTAAAAATTACAAAATACTATTCACAACAATTAAGAATCAAGTTAAATCATTAATGAGAAAACAATTCAATCCAAACATGTGTTACTTTCCATTCACGTTTTGGAGAGAAAAAAGCGACATCTGTTGTCGAATGAAACAACTAAGAAGAAAAAAATTCTAATCGTTTTTTTGGAATCAGAATTTTCTGAATCGATTTTTATAAATGGAACTTGCAATTAGGAAAATTCCAATTGCTAGCACATAAAACTGAATATATTTGTATATTTTCGGAGAAATGACGTTAAGTTCAACAAGAACGACATTTAAAAAAACTGTTCCAATTTTTTTTCCATGACTTCGACAGCTAATGAAGAAAAAGTAATTAGCAAATGAAATTGTTCATCGAAATTGAATTAGAATAATTAATCTACCTGTAAACTTGAGAATCGTAAGTTTCAAGTCTCCTAATATGAAGACGATAATGAAAGTCAACCTTAACTCGGCCTAAAGTCCGTTCATTGACTCGAATGGGACTTAGAAAACGCGAATTGTTAAACCATTGGATTGGTTGATTTCCTCGCCGTCTATTGATTGTAAATTCACCAATTAGATTGATTAATGGATTGAAATGGTTCTTACCCTGGACAAACCATCAATATCGACGAGCCCGCATTTCGATTGATGGCCTTATGTGGTAAAGTTTCAGAGAACGAAGGTAAAGGTTGATTAACAGAGTAAATGTCGATCGACTTATCGATGAAATCGATAACTTTTCCACTCGAATGATCCTTGATCAGTTCAATTCCTTGCGAACAATTAGTTGAACACAAACGATAAATGATCTTATCTCCAAATTTCTTAACAACATCCGAGATAAAAGTTGGTACTAAAAAAGATCGACACGGGATCGAACCATTTTGATAAAATAAGAATTGCAAAATGGGGTTTTTGATCAAATCAGGAATATCAACGGGCTTTGGATAGAAATAATAAATGATCAGCAATCAGTTGATTATCATAGAACAATTAAGTTAAAATATTAACCTTAATATGACAGAATCCAATTTGTTTGGACAGTCCAACGGAACCACATCGATCACAAAGACTCCAATCAGTTTTTCGCCACCAAATCGAAAATGATTTTGGTTAATTTCTGACAAATTGAATTTGTAGTTTTAATTGTTGACGAACAAAATTAACTTGTGTTACCTTCATTTTCAAATCCCATTTTCGCAATTGAAATCTGTCGCTGTTGATTCTTGACAATCGTGATTGCAAACGCTGCAATTAACTCGGACTCGGACTTCTTTGGACGGAAACAATAATAAGTTCCAGTGTCGTTAACTGACCCTTCGAGAATAATAAAATTCAAATGGTTATCGATGTGATAACGACCGTCGGAAAAATCGATCTGTCTAATGAGTCCAGTTCCTTTTGGATTAAACCTCCAATGGTTCCTCAAATATGTTTCGGTTACTCGACCCTTTCGATCCAATCGAGGACTGAAAATCAAAGAGTTAATTTAGACGATGGAGTTAAAACAATTTCTAAATTGTTGACAATCGATTACCAAAGAGTCGGACAAATGAGTGTAATTGTATCTCCTTCGTTCGCTATGCCGATATGATAATTTTCTCGAGAATATTGACCTTCGCCGATGGAATCTTTTGACATGTGACAACCTGCAATCGTAGAATTTTGTATATTTTCTCTAATTTCCTCTAAATTAGCAAGACTAATTAAGTAAATTGTGAAATTAGTAAACTCATTTTCCAACCAAAATCAAAATCATTACCTATGGACATTAATGAAGTTACTTTTTCCAATTGGTAAAATCATTGAGATTACCAGAAGTATTTCAATCATCACCATGATAATTCAATCTTGAATAGTTAATTGTACTTTAAATTGATCGAATGATTAACAATTGATCAGTTGGTTTTATTTTTTTCCTTTCAGAAAATAATTAATTGGAAATTGCCGCTTACTTGGATAGTTATGGTTTCGCATGGTAACCAAGGCTCATTTTGTTCATTTGAGATCTGGAAATTGAGTTGTGATTGTCAATCGAAGACCAAATTGATTAAGGTGATTAACTAATTTGTTCACATTGTTTTAGGTAAGTTGATTGCTCTCAATATGTTGATTGTTTAATCGAAAATGTTAACTAACCTTAAATTTTGTCTCTTCTCTTTGTCCCCACAGAGTAGCGACAATTGTTACTCTCAGATTGTTTGTTTACATTTGTTGTCTATCAATAGGTTACCATGTATGCGATTTCCAATCCAACGGTTCCTGAGGAAATCTCAGTTAATCAATTGGAAATTAATATTCGTTTAAAGCAGAGTGAGATTAAAATTCTGCAAAATGAATTGGAAACACTTTACCAAATGATCAAACAATTAGAGAATCAAAAATTGGAGGCCAAGAAAAGGTTGGATGATATGAGTAACCAGGTTTGTCTTTTTCACTTTAATTTATCCTTTGAACTTGGGACAAACAATTTTGATTTATCAATTTCGATTTCAATTGATTTAATCCAATTTGACCTTTAGGTTGAATGTCTTAGAACCCAAATTGATGAGCTGAAGGATAAAATAGAGGTTCAGGAAACTGAACTTAGCACCAAAAAACGTGAATTGGATGAACTCAGATCAGAAGAACAGCAATTACAAAGCAAATTAACCGAAGCAAAAAAGACAGTTGATTCTTTATCTGGAAATTTAACCAACAATCAACTACAAATTAGTCAGTATAAAGTGAAACTTGTTCATCTTGAAGAGTACGAAAAACGCCTGGAGAATGGTAATAGCGAATTAGAATCCTCCATAAATGCCAAGGATATCGACAAGTTGAATGGTATCATTGGAGACCAATAACACCGAATGAAATTATCTCAGAATTTTCTGAAAACAAAGATGACTTTGAGTCGGGATCATTCATGGACAAAGATGCCGGTTTCATGTCACTTGGAAACGAATTTCAAACTGACCCATTCGCAGGAGAAGATCCTTTTAACGATGGTAAAGTTAAGACTCTAATCTCTGGGTAGAATTAATTTCTCACAATCATTTCTCTTGATTTCTATTTTAGATGATCCATTCAAAAAGGATAATTTAGCAAGTGACAATTTCTTTGCAAACGACAATTTTACTTCACCTCTTGATGCTTCCGGGATAAAATCCTCAGCTTTTGATTCCGCTTTCAACAATTCATCTTTCAACAATCGCAATGTATGTACAACACAAATGAACCAATTTGATTTCCATTTTAATTCCAACACAATTAATGTTTTCATTTTAATTTTCTCCCTGTAACAGATTTCGGTGACTGATCCTTTCGGAGCTGATCCATTTTCTAGCATCCATGCACCAACCTCACGATCTGAAAGTCCTGCACCCGAATTACCACCAAAGAAAAGCAAAGCACCACCACCAAGACCTGCGCCACCTAAACCCGGAAATAAAGCACCACCTCCAAGACCCGCACCACCATCGGGATTGATTGACCTTGCAGCCGATCCCTTCAAGAAATCAGGTGACCCTTGGGGCTCGGCGGTTGATGACCCATTCGCATCCAATGCCGATACAACCAATTCCTCGTCAACCAGTAATTTTGACGCTTTTGGCTCTAATAATTTCGCTGATTTTGCTAATTTTGATCAGGTACAGTAAATCATCTAGTAACTGAAGCGGTAAAAATATTACATTGATCTAATTGCTTCGGTTAATTGAGTCATTTACTTAATTCGAGGAGAGAAACAAACAAAAAATTCAACTTGAAATGTCAAATTGTAAACATCAATTTGCGACCTTTTTGTTTATTGTAATTAGTATATCAACCGATTGTGTATCGAGTGAAACTAATTCTTTGTGATTTAATTTTACCTCAAAATGTCCCAATTGAAATAGTTAATCCTAATCACCTCCATAATTTAAATCTTTCTGTTAGTGATTGTACAACTTTAGTCTATTCTAATTAATTGATTATTACTGTTGCTTTATTTCATTTCTATTTTCCCTTCTAATACTTTCTCTTAATTGTCTGCAATCAACCACCACCATCAATACTAATAAACTAATTACAATTGCTTACTCGCTAAACAAAAACCTTTGCTTAACCACCTTAATTGTCCCTATTTAATTATAATCATCTAACAAATGCTTTTACGCCTCCATTGTTGATCAATTGCTGTTAATCAAACGTGTTCAACTAATCATCTGCTTCACTCACCACCAACTTAATCATCTTGATCATCCGAGTATAATTCAGATAAGATGAATTAATTTTTCACTAATATGATTGAATAATTTATCCCAAATTAATTATTTTCTTGAAACAATTCAGGTCGAAATGCCGAAACCAGTGGATCCTTATGCAACCTTAGCATCAATTGCAAGAATGAGCTCATCATCAAGACAGGGAACTGATTTCGGACAATCAACTGGACAATCACCGTTTCATTCACAATTTGATGCCTTCAATTAAATTGCTGATCTCATCTGAACACTTTGACATCATTTACCTAATTGCCAAATCCTAAATTTACCACAAAAAGTTACAACAATTTATTATTTTTAACAAAAGTCAAGCCAATAATTATATTATTATTAATCCTTGTTGATTGAAATTATATCCAGACAATTAACTGTATCATGTTGACACTTTTAATCAATTGCACAGAAATTGCACTTTTGCCATAAAACAAAAACAAACGAAAATTATGTTTATTAACCAACTTGATTGTTGGAACAAATTACCGAACACAATTAAAGCTTCTTTCATTTTCAATCAACAATAACGACAATTAGCTTTTTCTAACCTGATTAAGGTGAACATTTAAAAGGAAAAGAAGAAGCTTTTTCTTTTTAATTTTAATCTTCGTTTTGTCCCAATCACTTGTTTCTGTTTTGTTTACATTTTAATTGTCAACAATATTTTTAAATTCTACTTTTAATTGTTAATAGTTTCAATTTATTCGTTAATTGTATCAACATGAACTTCATGGGAGGAGGACGAAGAGCAATGAAAGCAATGGAAAAGGAAAATGATCAAGATAAAGAGAAAGTGATTAACTACATTCAAAAGGTGAGAAGCTTTTTCTTCAAATAGTAATCGAAACAATTTCGTTAATTGGTTAACATGAAACAATTTAACTTTAAACATTCGATTGTTGATGTTTGACTGTCACCGACAATCACTCTTTAAGTTGTTTGTGTTAATTGTCTGCTAATTGTTTTGTTTTGTTATCACTTTTTGCTCATCTGATTTGTTTTGTTTTCGTTTCATTTTGTTTTGATTTTTGTTTACAGAAAATGGACGAAAAAACCGAATTGGAATCAAATGGACAATCAATTTTCAAAGCGAATGATAAAGAAGTTGTTTCTCGAAGCCAGGATGTAATTAAAGCCCAAGTGATTAAAAAAATTTACGCCAAACAAAAGCAAAATCAGCCGATTGTTGTTCGTCATGTTTTGATGGAAAAGCCTTCGTTTACCTTGGACGGAGTTGCGACCATTCATTCAAACCCTTTTTTCAAAGCTCATCGGAAATCCATGAATTGGGAAAATCGTCTCTTCAAGACAATTAAAATTGAAAAAAAAGGTCGATCAGAAAATGAAAATCAAATCAATCGAAAGCAATCAAAAAGCATCCCGATGAGCGTTTAAAAATGATCCATGAATGGATGACCAAAGGTGACAATCCTTTTGCCACAAGTCAAACTTACATTCGAACCTACGTTTAAATGAAACAATCAAATTCCCAAATATACTCACCCAATCAAATCAACAATGAAAATTGAAAAATTCAACTAATCATCAATCCAATTAACCAAATCAAAGCTAAAATGGTTCAATGAGCTTTTCTTATCCAAAATCAAATGTATCAATTATTTCCCATGAATTCCTAATCAATGAAACTGATGAGCTTTACCAAATTGTAATTTCACATGAAAAGAATAATTTTCATTCCATTAATCGTAATCAAAGAAGAGAAATTAAATTTTCCATTTAACTGTAAACTTAATTTTCTTTTTCAATTTGGCGCTTTTTTTGAAAGAAGTAAAAGAGAACAAAATTAAAGAAGTAAATTTGTCTCTTTCTTTTTCTGTCTCTCTTTATGTTCTCATCGTGATGAATCATCATTGATTGATTGTTGTTCAGTTTGATTATTAACCATTATCCCAGTTGATTTATCATCAATTAGGTTAATTCCTTTTATTGGTGAACCTTTTCTTTCATTTGAACCTTTTCTTTACTTTATTCTGTTATCCTAACAATTGTTATCTCATTTAGTATGATCATCGATTGGTCAATCCCTTTACCAACTCGTGCAAAATATACACAACTATTTAATAAAACTGACACAGGACGAACTGGTTTTATCTCCGGTGCTCAAGCGAGAGATATTTTACTTCAATCTGGTCTATCTCAGCAGTTATTAGCTAATATTTGGGGTTTAGCTGATGTAGATGTTGATGGACGTCTTACTCTTGAAGAATTTATCCTTGCAAATCATCTAATAGAATGTGTTCAGCGGGGTGAACAGTTGCCTATTACATTACCTCCTGATCTTGTTCCCCCAAGTCAAAGGAAACCCAGTGCTGTTACTACTCCAGTGCTTACCGAATGGGCCATTCCACAACCTTCAAAATTGAAGTATACCCAATTATTTAACTATCATGATCGTACTAGAACAGGCTACCTTACGGGAGCCCAAGCTAGAAATATCCTTCTTCAATCAGGTCTTCCGCAAGCAATGTTAGCTAATATTTGGGCCTTAGCGGATGTTGATGTTGATGGTAGATTAACATGTGATGAATTTGTCCTGGCGACGCATCTTATTGATATGGTTAAAGCCGGTACCCCATTGCCTAATGTACTACCTCCAGAGTTGATCCCACCCAGTTTACGAAGGCGATCATCTAGTGGGTCACAATCAACACTTGCTGCTGTTGGACCTGCTACGTCGGTTGATTTAATTGGAGCTCTCGACGAGGAGAGTTCTGCTCCCAATAGTCGAAAGGGTAGCATTACTACTTTTGAAGATAAAAGAAGAGAGAATTTTGAAAAAGGGCAAGCCGAGTTAGACAGACGTCGTCAAATGTTATTGGAACAGCAAAGGAGACAACAAGAGGAGAGAGAACGTAAAGAGAGAGAAGAGTTTGAGAAAAGGGAAAAAATTCGTTTGGAACAAGAGAAACGGAAACAGTTAGAGATGGAAAGACAACTGCAAAAACAAAGAGAAGTGGAAGCTGCAAAGGAGGAAGAGCGTCGTAAACAATTGGAACTAAGAGAAGCGGCAAGAAGAGAAATGGAACGTCAGAGAATGATTGAATGGGAGAATCAACGAAAACAAGAGATGCTTAATCAAGAACAAGAAACTGCTGCCCAATTAAAGAATAAGAAGAAGAGTTTGATGATAGATTATGAACAAGTTTGTAATCAATTTAACCAACTGCAAGAGCAAGTTAATGATACAAGGAAAAAAGTGACCGATTCAAAATCTGACATTGACAAAATGAGGACTGAACGAGATGTCAAATTGAAAGAGATTAATTTCCTTAAAGCACAAATGAAAACCTTACAAGATCGTCAACTTTTGATTGAACAAGATAAAATTACTCTTTCTGCTCAGTTGAAAGATTTAACCATGAACAATGTCACAGGTATCACTGACTCTGCTCAGTTTGCCCTACAAAATAAGAAGATCAAGATTTGTCAACTTAAAACACAGATTGAAGAATGTGAGAAGGAGAGAGAAGCCAAAATCCAGGACATGCAGCATAAAAGTGCTGAATTTAAGGAATTGAAGGAAAAATTTGAAGCGTTATTAAGCAAAGTGAAAATTTTACAAGAAGGTTATGATCGCAAACTGGAGACGGCGAAAGAAATTGTTGCGAAAGGTGTTCCAGAAAGAAAAGTTTTGGAAAATGCTTGGAATGACCAAGGAGACGCTTGGAATAGCGTCAGTGATAGTGCTTGGCCAACCACCGATACCAATTCTAATTTCGATGCTTTCCCGACCGACTTTTCTGCAAGTTTCCCTGCAACAACAACATCCACTACAAACTCAGACAGTGGTACAAAATATCGTGTAGTTTTTGCTTTCGAAGCTCGATCTCAAGATGAGTTGACAATTCAAGATGGTGACATAATCATTGTTAGACCAGATCCAAGTGCGGCACCAGGTTGGCTTCAAGGTGAATTAAATGGCAAAATTGGTTGGTTTCCTGAAGCTTATGTTGAACCTCTCGAATCTGGTTTTGTATCCACGTCTAATGATTTCCCAACCTCTCAACTGGCAACTGATAATGGATTCGGAAATCAATCTAATTTATTTGATACTACAAAACCGACAGATTTAACCACAGGCTTTGCTGATCTGACTCCACAAATTACCACAACCACAACTACAACCACAACCGCAACCACATCAGAACCTTACATTGACATTAGTGCACGAAGTTTCCCCGTAAATGCCGTTGTGTTGTATCAATGGTCTGCAACAGAACCTAATCACTTGACAATCAACAAAGGAGATATAATCAGTGTTAAACAGCATAAAGATGATTGGTTATTAGGAGAAATTGTTGACAGAAGGGGTTGGCTTCCTAAATCATTTGTTAAACCAATTACAGGAAATGTTGCATCGGAAACCGATTTAGAGCCTATTTATCATGTAGCAATGTATCCGTTCCAGTCACAAGAACCTGGTGATCTTGCATTCGAAGGTGGTGAGATAATCAAAGTAGTTAAAAAAGAAGGAGATTGGTGGACAGGAGAAATTATTCCTAATCGAATTGGAATATTTCCTTCTAATTATGTCCGAGAAGCTACGGTTGAAGAATTGGTAAGTTAATCTAATCACAATAGATGAAATTTAATAATCTCTCGTTAATTTCCTTCTCTTCAGCCTTTACCATCAGGATTTGCTCCTCAACTCGCCCCACCGATGACAAAGAACATGAGTTTAGAGGTAAAACAATTGATTAATTAATTTTCCATCGTCTTCTCGATTTACTAACCATTTAATTTTCAATTTCTTCAATTGCTTACCACAATTCAGAGGAAGGATTCAGATGCTCCTTCACGGTTTGATCTTGGGGCTAGTCCAGCTCGTTCAGTGGACAGTCCCAGACTAAAGGTCAATTCTAATCATTAACTTTCATGATTATGCTCAATTTTCAACTAATTAACCTAACCATTTGAATGCCATTTATTTTTCTTATTTACCTTTTAAACTTGAATGATTTGTTTTTAGAAGCCTTTTTCTCTTTCCAATGATGTTAATAGTATTTAATTTAAACAAGCTAAATAATCTAATAGTTGGATGCAGCCTTAAATGAAACCTTTCTATGCTATTGTAAATATCAGAAGGGCGTTAATGATAAACATTAATTTAATTGTTTGGTTTTTATTTACTAATTTAGATTGTATTTTATCTGAATGTAACTATTCACCATGTTAAAATTTGTTTAACTCCCTCTTATTGATAGTTTTTGTTTTTTCATTTAAATTAACATTACTTTTTATCGTCTCTTTTTACTCTCATATTTACAGAAGGGTAAACTGAAAAAGCCGGAAATCGTTCGTGTCATAGCTCCTTATAAAGCTACTGGTCCGGAGCAATTAAGTTTAGAAAAGGATCAATTGATTCAAGTTCGTAAAAAGAACACTTCTGGTTGGTGGGAAGGAGAAACTCAGGTTAAAGGTCAAAAACGTCAAGTTGGCTGGTTCCCTGCATCGTATGTCAAATCATTATCTGGTTCTGGTGCAGGTTCTGGAGGAAGTTCAGCTCGTTCAACACCGGATCCTAATAGAGCTGAAAATGAAGCAATTGGTATTTAATTTACCCCCTGTTACAATATCTATAGCTGCTAAAATTATGGCTTTTCCTACTTCTACTAAACTCTACTAACTGTCCGACTTTCACGTCTTAAATTCCCATCCTTAAATTATCCTAATTATCTCTACTAATTACCTTTAGCTAATCATTTAATTCACCATGTTTGTTCACCTTCCTTTCTATCTCATTGAATTTAAAGGTTTCTTTCACTATCTCTAGTCTAAAGTTCTCAATTCCTGTCATGTTTCATTTTAATCCTAATTTTATAATTTTATTCATTTAACCTAATTTTATGCTTTCCGATTCCCCTCCTTGAATTATCAACTTCAGAGAAAGTCATATCTTTGTACCCGTTCGCGGCTCAACAAGATGATGAACTTAGTTTTCAAGCTAACGAAGTGATTAAAGTACTTTCTAAAGACGATCCTACTTGGTGGAAAGGGCAATTAGAATCAACCAATACAATCGGAGTTTTCCCATCCAATTATGTTCAAAGCTTGGCTGATGCAAATTTTAGTAGATGTAAGTTAATTGTTGATAAATGTTATTCAATAATATTCAATTGGCATCTTTGTTTACATTTTAGTTTTCCATAGATTTTCGTTGATCAAGAATAATTAGTTTTCTCTTTTTAATTAAGTTTTATTTCTTAATTTGTCTATCTTAGCATCAACAGTTGAGTGTTTTCGTTTTCGTTTCTGTTTTGTTGTTTATTTGTTTGTCGTTCCCTTTAAACTGAATGCTAAGATAGTCATTACCTCTCTACCTTTCCCCTTAATAATTGCAATTAATTGCTGCTCTTCTAGAAGTTGATTAATATTCTAAAGCGGATTTTTTCCTTCTCCATATTTTAGGAGGATCTTTAGCGATTAAGAAAATTGACACACAATAGAGGCTCTAGAGGCAATAATTAACGGGAACGAGAGAGACCCACTAGTCACACAATTCATGGCCATAATCTTTGACTTCTTTGCTGGAAAAAAATATATGGACACAACCATTAATTATCACAACTTTTAATTTCATCTCTCCCAAAAACAATGATGATTATGAAGATGATTTATGAATCAACTACCAGATCTTTTATTCCCTTTTTTTTTGCTGATCGTTAAGTGATGTGTGTGCGAGTGTCTTGTATCCTCTCTGGAAAAGAAAACTAGATCATCACCTGTATTTATCAAATCCAATTCTGTCTATACATTTATATATACATATTTATCTCCCTCTCTCTCTCACACACACTCTATCTGTCATTTTCTATCTTTCTCTTGCATATCTTAGTTTTTCTTGTGTTTTGAATTTCGTTTTGCTTCCATTGACAAGAAGTTGTTTTGATTTTCTTGCCAAATTTTGAATAATAGTTTACCAGGAAGTTATACCTTACTTAACACACAATCCAACCATAAATCACCATCTTCTCTCTTCCCTGCCTCCTTCCACTCTCCCTATTCCCTATTGCTCTTTAAGCCCGTTTGCCACCGCTTCTAGTCTTCGTTTCTCTTGAGCTAAAATCTTTTTCTTTGCCATTAAGTTTTTGTAACTTTGTTTCTGTCATCAGTATATACAAGTATCTTCAAGTCAGTTGAGTATTTATTAGAAATATTTCCATCAAAAATTCAACTATTATTACTATTTGTTTATCAACAGAAAATGCATATAACTTTTAAATTACTTCTAACTTTAAGTTCACCTTGTAATACTTGTGATGTGCCATAGATGAAGGAAATGCAATCCTTTGTAATTTTTGTTTTCTGTTCTAGTGACAAAACAAACCATAGAGATTAATTTTATTTAGCCGTTTATTTCAACACAATCATCAACCTCCTCCAGTGTTAATTACCCCAAATGTTTATCTCCATAATTACCATCAATGGTGATAATAATGATTGAATTACACCATGTCTTTAGTTGTTTTATCCCTTCCATTCAAAGTTATCCCTGGTATTTCAATGCTCTTCTCATTGCCCCTACTTATGACCAAATTTGACCCTTTGTTATCCATTTCTATTGCTCTTTCCAAATATTTTTATTTTCTCATCTCCTTCCCGCTAATTGTTACACCTCAGGCTCACCTTGTTCTTTCTCTCTCAATTCGTCTCATATCATTTGTACGTCTACAATTTTCGTTTCCCGTAACACCCAAAGAATCACCTTATTTCTCAATCGCAATTTACCCTCCCTCATACAAATAATCCGAAAAAAAAACACCTCTGGAATTACAATTAACAGAAACACTTCAATGTGCTGGCTTGTTATTTAAAGTAATTATAATTAATGATTAGTTGTTTTCCCTTTTCTCCTTTTTTTTTTTGCTGATTCTAACTAATTTGATTGTTTGATTGTTGATCAGTGGGTCTCTCCTTCCTCATGTTTAATTGTTATTTTTGTTTTCTATCACTTTTAATTTACCTCTCAATCAAAACAACTCACCTTCCCAAAAACATTAACGTAATTTAGTCAATCATGAAAAAAGCAACTGTGGTAAAGTGAATCTCTGAATCCTCTCAATCACAATTAACACACACATACACACAATGATTAATATTAATAGAAAACAAATTTCAATGTTAAATTTGACTTTAAGTAATTAAGAATGAGAGAAAGAGGTTTTCATGACACTGTTTAGTTTAATTGTTCATAAAACAATTATCATCACTCATACAAGAAAATGTCAACATAATATATAAGATATGGTCCAAAATAATACTGGAACAATTAACTAATTAATCAACATCATCAACAACAATTTAACCTGCAAACAAAAATGAGCAACAAACCAAGTACTTCATCACTTAATTTCTTTTGAAAATCAATAGAGTTAATCAAGTTTCGTTTTCTCATTCCTGCTTCTTCATTCACACTCGATTCCATTTGAACTAAACAATTAACTAATTAATACCTTTTGTTGTGATAATAATAATAATAATTACTGGATTGAAACGCGACTACAATGTACTCACATCTAAATCTAAATCTTGAGCAATAACAAATTTGATTTATCTTACAAGAATACAAATTTTGTCCTTTTATTATCAAGCTTTTAATTGTTCACAATTAAAAATTGTCCATTGATTTTATCTTATTTTTTTCTTCTTGTTTTTGTTTACCTTTATTAGATGAAAGTCCAATAGACATTGGCAATCAATTGAACAATTTATTTATCAACAATGGAACCGAATCAACAACGACAGAAGATGCGAGACAAAAACCAATTCAAGAATTAATTGTAACCGAAGAGGCTTATGTTCATGATTTAAGAATTATTATCGACGTTTTCGAGAAGCCGTTACGACGGTCCAATGTAATTCCTGCTGAATCGTTGAATAAGATTTTCCTTAATTGGTCATCTCTTCTTGATTACAATTCAATCTTTCTGAAATCACTGATTGACCGCCGAGCTTATTATCTGCAAAACTGTGATGGTAACATTGAGATGATCGGTGATATAATTGTTAATCATATTCCTGGCATGGTTGATATTTACATCGGATTCTGTAGTCACCAATTAAAAGCCGCTAAATTGTTGCAGAAAATGTCGGAAACCGATGAAGCTTTTCGAGAAGTGGCAAAAAAATGTTCTATGAACAAGAAAACAAATGGCCTACCATTAGGTGCTTATCTACTCAAACCAATGCAAAGAATTACTAAATATCCTTTGGTGATAAAGAAAATTTTATCCAATACTCCGTCCGATCATCTTGACCGTGAATCTTGTGAACGAGCTTACGAATTGGCTCAGAGTTTATGTGACTCTGTTAACGAAGCATGTAGATCTCAAGAGAACGAGGAGCGACTCGATTGGATTCAAGGTCACGTCAAATGTGACGGCATCGATCAGATCATTCGTTTTAACTCAATGACCAAATTCATGGGACCTCGATTGATACTTAATTCGGGCTATCTAATCAAGGTGAACAGCGGCAAAGAGCTGGTCGCCTTTCTTTTCAATGATTTCTTATTACTCACTGTCCCGGTCAATCAATCGATTCGGTTCAATAATCTCTGGGCTTCGGACAAAGGACTATCCAACTCGTACCGAATGTACAAAAGGCCAATACTTTTGAATGACATGGAATTGGTTGATGACATTTCCTCGACACCCAATGGTTTACGTTCAACTTCATCGCCAATAGTTTTATCTTCATCATCATTTCCAGTACTTTCTCTTGCAACCTCATCTACAGCCACCAACACATCTTCATCTACTTTATCTTCAGCATCCTCATCATCTGAAAGTTTAACTTTCATCTTGAAACTTAAATCATCTGATCGCACATACACTTTCAAAGCAACATCTCACAATGATCGTAACAATTGGATTAGAATCATAAACTCAGCTAAACATGAGTACATTGAGAAACTTGGCCAACGGAAAAGTTACTTCGGTCCAAGTAAATTAATTGGAATAAAAACTTTAAACAATATAGTTTAACTAATTGTTTTCTCTCATTTCAATATTAAATTTCAGATGATTCTCCTGGAACTGGTATCGGAAGGCTACTTGTAACTGTCCTCGAAGCAGTTCAATTGTTCACTCGTAACGAGACCCTAAACAGTTACTGTCGGGTCAGTGTTGGTGACAAATTTTCCGACCAATCGTCCCATCGACAAATATCCGAAACCAAAGTGGCCCGATCATGTTTTCCAATGTCTAATGATAAGTTCAATTCGCACGGAAACAAGTTGACACTTTTCACCGCCAATTGGAATTACTCAATGCAATTCATCTTGAAAGAACCATTAAGAAATACTTGTCTCTCAATCAGTTGTTTCGATGAAGATCCTTTCGCTCCTGATTGTGAGTATTTACATCCAATCGTAATTACATCTTTTTAATTTGATTATTTCTTCTTCTTGTTTTCATTTCTTTCCTTAGTACTCATTGGACAAACTTCAATTGCGCTCGATGATTTAGCCGATGAAATAAGCCGAACATCAGCTCGACCCTTGACCAAAGCATACAAATTGAAAAGCATCGATAAAATGATCCAAGAAAATCTTAATCCGGTTGTTTATCTCAAACTGGATTTATTACTTTTCTAATTATCTTATAATAAGGTTTCCAAAAGAACAAGTCAATTGTAATTACAATTACAATTTTCACCTTTACAATCCAATTAATCAAAAACTCAATTATTTTCAATCTATTTATTTGTCAATGTAACATTCTCAACGATTTTTTATTTAATTATTGTGACATATCTGTGCAAACTCATACCAATTAAACACAATTAAAGTCTCAAACATCTCAATAAACCGCGAACCATAATTTTGATTACATGATTACAATATTAAACAATCAATCATCTAATCAAATTAAACTAATGGCAGGTTAAAAGTACAACAATTTATTGAATTTGTATTAAGTTTCTCTCTCCATTCTGATAACTGTTTCATCATCTTCGTGATGCAAAACATTTGATCCAATAATAATATACACATGATGATGATAAATAATGTAAAAAGAAAGTGAAAGTAACTGTATTTATCATCTTTCTCATCTTTCTCATCATCATCATCACCATATCATTTCATTTTCATTGATTTTATCAAAACAAGTGTATGGTTATATTAAGATATGCTCATGATAAAATCGATTCAACTTTTCATAGTCCAGATTCATATTGAATATAAAATATAATCTGTTTTTTGTTTATCACCAAAAATCTGATGCTTATCAACTGTAATAATAACGGTAAAAGTGATTGACAGTTTCATGATTATCATCAGCAGTCAGTGAAAAGCAATATATTGAAATGGATTTCAATTGTTTTCCTTTGTTTTTCCTTCCAGAATCAATTCAATTGAACAAACTGAATTGAAGTAACAAACAATAATATCAAAAATGCAATCAAAAAATCTCATATGAATATAATAATAATGATAGAATAAATTGAAAAAGTTCTGGACTCAAGTAATCGATTGAGAAAAAGTTTCTATAATTAGATTATGAATATTTGACCAATAAATCATATTAACATGAAGAAAGATAATTGTTTAGACAATCAAATTAAATCAAATGGCGTAAAATAGTTTTATTATATTATTAATGTGTCACATTGATTTCATCTTAATTCAATTTCCTCCTGAAAAATTGAAGCAAAAAATATTCACATGAAGGAGATTGGTGATTGTGATGCTTGATAATTTAATGTGAATTCATGGAGACAAAAAATGAGAGGAAAAACTTGAAGATCATCAATCATCAGCATCCGGTCTTTACCTTTCATCCCTCATCCCTACGTCCAAATATCATCATTATCCAGTTACTACTCACCCTCATTGTATCAACAGGAGCTCGATATCAGTTTAATCATATTCTCAAACTCATCATCTGAATCTTCATTACCATCATCATCATTATCCGAGAGTCGGAATATCATTTTTGAAATGAGAAACCAGGGGAAAAGTTGAATACAAAAGATGAACTTATAAGGTGATATTGTCATTAACCACCACAAGTTATCATCATTCAATGGTTTTTAAGATAAAATCACAAAGATAAAGTCTCTCTCTCTCTCTCCTGTATAAAAATGCTACAAGAAGATGATAATAATAATGAGGATGATGATAATGATACTCAATCATGGCTCATCCTTTTCATTGTAAACCTCATATCAGAATTATATCATTCCCTGAGTCTCATCATCATTTTCCTACTTTCAGTAAACTTTTCATCTTTTCATCATCATTATCATCATTTCCAATCTTAATGATATAAAAATAAACCTTCAACCAAATGATTAACTTTTCCCTGTAGTTACTTATTGACGAAACATTGAGAAGGAAACAGTTTCTTTAATCATCATAATACATTTGTTCCCATCAAATTAAATTAAATCACATTGATTATAATCACATTTCTCAAACTGAATCTGTTTCTTTCATATTAATACAAAATCTTCAGGTAATTGATACAAAAATAACAAACAAGGAAAACAAATACAAAACAATTAATCAACATTCACAACAAGAGTCAATCAATTACAATCATAATGCATAAGATTAAATCATTTACTTATGATATTTACAAAAGCAATGGATGAGGTGTCCAAATCACTTGCAGGTCTCATCCTCATCTTCACCCTAACCCACCCCACCCCACCACTATCATCATCATCTTCATCTTCATCTTCATCCTCTTTTTTTATCCAATACATGAACTTAATCAATATAATTGTTTCGTTACATAGGAAACCCATTTCAAGCATTACTTTGAACTCCTTTTTTCACTTAAGATCAATTTCATTATCATTTTTGCACTTTTATCATCATTCTATCTTCCTATCAACACAAGATATAACAAGAATCGAGTCCCACTCCCACCACCACCCACTCGACGTGCAAATAACAACATTAATAGTATCATTAAGAGCATTTAATTGAATGCAAAATGTTTGTTTCAGTTTTAGGTTGATAATAGTTACTCACATCTTGGGAATCACTTCTCGAGCATCTTAACACTAATGGTTTTGGGTTAAAGATAGACAACAATTAATATTATTGTAACACATTGTTACACCTTGACATTAAGTTAATTGATTAAAATGGTCTCTGACAATTTGCAGGGATTTAATCAACACACACACACAAATTGACTGTGTGAGTGTTAATATGTTTACGTGCTAAAAGAAACAATAATAAGTATTATCAAGAACAACAAGAAAAAACTAAAGGTAGAAAACAAAATAATCACTTTATCACCCAAATGATTTATCCTCGTTACTTGTTTTGTTTGTATACAACTGTAAGTGAAATATATCATTATCAATATAAGAATGGAATCTTCATTTTCTCACTCATCTTCTTCCTCATAATCATCATCCTGGTGTATTGCAAATACTATTAACTAACAACAACATGAAAAGCATTCTCTTGTTCATCATCATCATCGTCATCCTCATCTTCTAGGTACCTTTTAACTTGAGTTGTGTTGATGGGATGAATCCGCTTGGGTTAATGAAGATACATTTTGACATCGGTTTCCTTTTAATGCAACTCACTGTCTCTCTCTGTCTATTTATCTCTCTATCAATTTTTATCTTCCTTTTCTCACTCCCAGTTTTTTTTCCACCCCGAGGGTGGAGGAGGCTCACTTTACCATCATCTTCCTCTTTCTTTCTTCATCCAATAACTTTGATGATCACAAAAAAATGGCCTAAGATTTATAGTTAATAGTGAAGACGATAAAAGGATCTGTTAAGTCCTACAAAGGAATCCCATTCACCTCATAGAGCAACACACAAATACACTTAACCTATCATACGACAACACAATTTTCAAGTCTCTCTCTTTCATCTTCCTCATCCTCATCCTCCTAGTCATCATCATCATCATCACACTGTCTGAATTACTTGTGAGTCTTTGTAATTCAGAGTTAACCTTCCTTTCTCTCTCTCTCTCTCTCTGTTTATGAACATTATATTTCAAGATCACGTTATCCAATCATCTTAATTCAGTTAACAGGAACGTAATCATTTCTTTTAAAATGAATTGAGATATTGAATTGTTTCAAATATCACCTAACAGATTAATATCATATAATCATCTGAAAACTTAATAATAATGATAACAAGGTCTCGAATTATCTTTCTTATAGAACTTTGTTCAACTCGATAAAAAAAACTAAACTTTTCCAAAACACAATCAGTAGTAACATCAACAATAACAATACCAAATAATATGATAAATATAATAACATGTCTAAGAAAATGCAATGGAAATATTAATACAATTTAAACAACAATTAGATAACAACAATTGAACAAATATCAGGTGTAAGAAACAGATAAAGGATAAGAGAGAATAAGAAAATCAAGTTAATTGTTATTTAGCAAATTGTTTGATAGAAATTATTGCTTTTTAATATCTTAATAAACGATATTTTCATCGGAAAAAAAGTAATGATAATAATGTATTTAATCAAATATAAGTAATACACAGAATAAGATATTAAACTAATGTCCACAGGTCTCTGTATCTACTGTGTATGTTTGTTTATGTCTGAAGAACAAGAAAAAAAGAGGCTTCCTAATAGTAACAAATACATCTCAATTTACTAATGGATCCATCCAATCTAGTTAAGACAAAGTATTAGAAGAGGAAGATGAGGAAGAAAGAGAAAAAGAAAGAGTCAAAATGATGATAAGGAAGATAAGCAAGGGCAATTAAGGGGTAGGAACAATGAAAGTATCCACTTATAATATTACTTTGCTAGGGAATGATAAAAATAATATGTTATTGTTTAAAGAAATTGAATGAATACTTGAAATGGAGAGAGAGAGAGAAAATTGAACAATGATAATATTAGTTACTGAACTGGTCAAGAAGATGAGGATGCTAAAGGATGATTGGGGTGGACGATGAGTGAAGCTTGAGAAAATTTTATTCATTCCCTTGTTATTATTATATTTTAATAGGAAAATATTTCCTTTCAATTGAATGATTGTTGTAATGGAAACAAAATTGGCTTTTTAATCAGATTCATTGTTGATTATTTTGTTAGTATTTATATTAAATTGTTAATATTCAAGTTATAACGGTTAATATGAAATCTATGGTATTTTCACCTTACCAGTTTCATGATATCACGAAAATTAACTAGAAATGAAGCTGAGCTAATATATTATATTGTCGTCATTCATCCAATCGATTTAATTAAAGTATCTTCATCTCCCTGATTTGCTCAGTTTCGTAATAATAATGATGATAATATTATGATGATGGCGAAAGAATCAATTTAAGTGACGTTATTTTTTCTTCCTCTTTTTCATCTTCATCATCTTCTTGTTGTTACTTTTTTGCTCTTTCATATACTTTTTCCAATGTAATCCAAAGGAAAAGCAATTTTCGCCAATCATTTCAATCTTCCTCTTTTGTTTGTGGACGAGTGATGGACATGATGATGACCATGATGATGAGGATGATAAAATGGACGAGATTAAATCACTGCAAGCAAATAACAACAATCAAACAAAACCTTTTACTTCAGTAATACTTATGAGTTGTAATGTTTCAAGTCTAAACTTTCACTTTCTTGTTTCTCTTATTATATTTATAGTTTTTATAACCTGGACAAAAAAAAGTTAATTGTCTTTGATTGTTGTTATTTTTTCTGCTTCGTATTGATTGAAACAATCAACTTAATCATCATCATGATCAATATTGATTAATACACTCACTTACTTTATTGTATCTCAAAGTTTCATTAAGCTCCATCAGTTTATACAAGGAAATCTTTTAATATCGTTTTTTTTTCATCTCTCACATTACAATTTGATCAGTTAATTAGTTAGTTAGTTTTTGCTTTTCCTAGTTGATTAGTTTGATTATTATCCATTATGATTACAATTTATTTAACTGTTGTACTATTGCTACCCACTAATCATGGTTAATAAGAACGTGACTTTAATTTTTGATAATCAATGGTAATTGTTACTTTTTATTATTATAAGTTATACTTTCTGTTGATTAAATTGAAATTAGTTTTTACCTTTTTCCTTTCATTAATTAAGTTAATTAGTGGATGAGGTTGTGTGTGGAAGCAGTTAATTGATCATCTTTAATTGACCTTCTCAATCAAGTTAATTCCTTAACTATAATTGCAGACCGGAATTGCATGCAATTAATATTATCATCAACGTAATCATTGGTAAATTAATTTAATTTCATTCATTTAATCACAAAGAATAGGAAATAATAATAACAATCCCTTTTGATCAAATTAATTAACTTTCAATTGATCAGGTTGATTATCTAGTTGATTTTTTTTTCCTTTCTCATTTTCTCATTCAATTTAATTTCATTTTATTAATCATTAACTTAATTTGCTAGTTAATTTAACTATTTTCCCCTTTTCTATCTAATTAAATTTTTAGTATTGATTGTGATTATCAACTGATTTAATCATTTCCATTGGATTTAATTAAATTACTCTGATCATGATACGAGAGGGAGAGACACAACAATTGATTAATAATATACAATTAAAATGATGATCAACATTAATCAACAATAAATAGACAAACAAACTCGGGCAATTTAATAATAATAATAGTTGATAATAATTCAATTGTCAGTTGATTGGATTTGATTAAATTGTGAAGATTAATTGTTTAGTTGAAGAAAAGGAAAAAAAAGTGAAATTAAATCAGAAACAAATTAATTAATTTCCTCTCAACTGTTATCATTACTTACACTTTCACTCAGTTAATGACATATTTAATTAAATTGTTGACAATTAAAATTAAACAGCAATAAATATCCGTAAAGTTTTGGTTATGTTATTGTTGTTGTCATTTTAATTTTCTTGATAGATTTGATTTGATTAAAGTTAATTCTGATGGGCAGTCCAATTAAAATCATCTCAAGTGAAAATTAATCCGGTTTAATACTAATTGTGTCATTCAAATTAATCAATTAAACTTTGAGAAAAGTTTTCTCGTTAATTAAAAAAAGTAACTCTTTTTATTAGTTGATTAATTGATTACAATTAGCCAGTTGACAAAAACATAGAAATCAATAAATTTTAATTAAAGGGTCAATACAATTAACCATTTATATTAGATAAATCATCAAATGATCAATTGATTGTTAACCAATAGTGAAAATGGAAAAGTAAATTACAATTTATTTGATTTGATCAATGTATCTAATCATTATTATTATGGTTGATTAGTTAAACATGCAATTAGATGATTGAAAATGCTAAAACTATTAGTTGATTGTTGTTCAATTTGGTTAATTGAAAAGTGACCTTTTAAATTATTTCACTATTTACTCAATGATTAACATTATTTTATCATCAGATGATTAATATTGATTCACTAATTTGACAATCAACTGATTTAAGGTTAACTGGTCAAAGGATGATGCTTATTAAATTGTATGATTAACTGATTGTTGATTAAATCAGTCAACCTTGTATTACCTACACCCAATGGTTAACTAAATTGTTGTCTAATCATCTAATGTATGTAAACATTAATAAATTACATTCACTATTCAGTTGGTAATCTAATTTAAAGACCAGGCAACAAAATAGTTTCACTTGATTGTTGGGGGAGTTTTTTTTAATTTAGTTTAATGAAATGTTTGTGATTAAATTTTGTTTAATCAAACTAACACAGTTTCACAATTAAATGGTAAATGTTTAATTACTTATTGAATGGTTATAATTAATTGGATTGTTTTGTTATTATTTCAAAGTTAATTCAGTTTTGCAAATTACTTTTTTTCCTATTGTAGTGTTTCCCTGTTGATTGCTGTTGATTTGATTTGTTAAATCATTAAGCTTTCAAATTAAATGAGCAGAAAATTTAATCAACAAGGTTGAAGAAAAAATCTTTTTGATAACAATTAACTAAATTAATAGTAATTTATATAAATATAAATCTAAAAGTGATATTAATCGAGTATAAATTAACTCTAAATTTGATCAACATCATCATAGGAATTGAAGTTAATTGTTGTTTTATTTTGTGGAAACAAAAATGGAAAATTAAGTCAATTGTGAATTAACTGTTTACAATTAAATTGTTCGTAAGTTGTTAAGGTAAAGATTTCGGTCCGTAGTTCCTTATGAGAATTAACTAATTGTAATAACTATTGGACTCGATGAAACCATGAAATGAGATCTCATTAGGGAGTCAATTCAAATTAATGGTAACCAGATAAATGAAAATCTATGTCAAAGTGAGAGTGGAAAAGCAATTGAGCGTTTGGATGGAGAGAGATGAGGATGAGGATGAGGATGAGGATGAGAGATAGAAAATAAATTAGTAAAGACTTGAGAACGATGATGATAATGAAGATGATGAGGAAGACTGTTGTTACTGTATCGTAAATAAAACCAATTTAATTGAGTTAATTAAGTTTCCATTGACTTGAATGTAATAAGCAGAAAAGAGACTCGAATCAAGATTAGATGCAAATATCTTCCCTTGTCTTCCAAGTCTCTCTTTCTTTCCTATTACATTTTAATTCTGAGAACCATTAAGAGCAAAAGGGAGAGTCGATTCTCTCTCATCAAATGTAATCATCATTGTTATCATTAAATAGCATTAACATCTCGCACTTTCACTAATATATTATTTCCATCAAGAGAAAGAGAATTGAGAGAAAAAAACAGAAAATGGAGAAAAGAAACAAAACTCTGTCTAATCTCTCTCTCTCTCTCTCTCTGGTTTGTGGCTTAAATAATGAGCCCTTTAATATGATGGAGAAATAATGATGATGATACTTGTATCATCCATAGTTGATATATGAAAATATCCAAATAAAAACTCGATTAATTTAATTGTTCATAACAACAGCGCGTAAACAACAATAAGGATGAAGAGACTTCGTTAGTGTTACACTTTGGGAACAACAAAAGGGTCAACTTAATGGGTTCGGGTTCATTAATAAGCAAACAAATTGGAATCTCCAGTCTATATGAAACCATAATGTTCACCATTGTGGTCGAAAAGATGACCAGAAACAATTAAAACAACAATTAACTGGGAAAATCAAACGACCGAAAACGTTTTAGCCGAAACTCGTTCCAACGCCGCCTGGAGAGTAACGTGTTTACTAAACTGCGAATAGTTGGCAAAGTGAACTGATAATTATAATTTAGTTTTCATTAAAATTAATGAAATGCAATCAATTTTAATTTGAATAAACACACTCATTTATAGTTACAGAGTCACAGCAGCAGAAAAAAAAACAGTAGCAATTAATTGCAAGATAAGTTAAAAGGAAAAGTAACTCAACAATAACATATGAGGGAAAGAGGCAAACATTTTAATTGTTATTATAATAATTTATGGATAAGTTAATTTACTTGGAGCTTTAATTGTTACTGTTAATGGTAATTGTTTCTTCTACTGTGTTAGTTAATCTGTTGCCAATTAAATGTGATGAGAAAACAAAAGGCGACAACAAAAAATAAAAGGAAAAGATGAACATTTTCCTCCCTCTTTTTCACCAGAAACGGAAATGATGAGAAAACGGACCAACGTGAATCTCGAGTCCATTGTAAAGATTAAGATACTTTTATCATTATTATCACTGTATTAATGTAATTGGGTATTGGTGTCCTGGTCTCTCTCTCTCTCTCTCTCTCTCTCTCTCTCTTCATTAAGCTAATGAGGTTTGTTACCAGAAAATGTTAACAGAAAAAAGTTCATTTGGTTAATGAACTAACCTCTTTCTATTTTGCTTTCTATCTTCTCATCTTTTTATCTTCCTTTTTCTCTCTCACTTTAACCAATTTGTTGTTAACTTAATGCATTTTCTATCTTCCTTCTTATCATCCGCATCTTCATCATCTCTTTCTGTTTCCTTTTCTCTTTTCATTTGAAGAGAAAGAAAAAAAAACTAACAGATAAACAAGTGACCAACAATTTACCAAGATTTGCTCAGAATTAACGTCAAAATGAAATATAAAAAAAGTGTCGTTTCAAGTAAACATCTAGAATTATAAAGGTCGACATGATGAGAAAGAGAAGATGAAGAGAAATAGATAAAGGCTAAACAATATAATAAGAAGATGATGGAGAGAGAGAGAAACTTTGATAGGATTGATGGTGATGGTGAATTTATTGAAATGGCCTGTGGAGGACGAAGAAGAAAGAAACAGAAAAGGAATAAAGAAAGAGCAATTTTATTACAAATCGCAAAATTAGAGAAGAGAGAGAGAGAGAGAGAGAGAGAGAGAGAGTAAATTGGATTGATGTTGATGCACTCACACGCATCATTTTACCATTTATATACAAATTTCTTTATCTTCATCCTCCAGGAGGATGATAATGGTGATAGGGATGCTGAGGATGATGAGGGAGCTAAGGCAAAGTAGGTGAACATGCGTGATCTATGGGATTGATGATCAGGCCTGGGAAAGAGAGAGAGAGAGAGAGTTGAAATGCTGAGAGACTCAATATCCCGGTTCTGTTATTATTGTGTTTAAATCCCTTACACAGTTATCATTATCATCACCATCTTCTTCATCATCTTCTACTATTAATACTTGTTCATCTTCGTATTTATTATTATTTTCTCTTCTTCTCTCTCATCATCATCATCTCATTTTTATCATTTCTCTTTGTTATTGTTACTCTTTTTATATATTAATATCTGACTCTCAGATTCTCGCCTTCTGATTGATATTATTTTTCTGTTGTGAAGTGAATCTGTGCAACCTTAATAACATCATCTTCATCTTCATCTTTATCTTCCTCATCATCTGAATTGATTTTCAAATATTGATGGATATTGTTTAGTGTCTTTCATCCAATCTCTCAGTTTCTTTCGTGTCTCTCATCATCATCATCATCTTCACCTTTTCATTTATAATTAAAAATGATGGAGAGAAAAGTTTCTGGAAATTCAATTTCATCTTTAATCGGTGAACGATTACCTTTCTGTTCAGGATGTAATGAACTGATTAAAGAACAGTATCTTTTGGAAGCGGTCGAAAAGTTCTGGCACGAGAATTGTCTTAAATGTTCATTGTGTAAAGGTCCATTGGCCGAAATGTCCACAACGTTTTATGCCAAAGCCGATTTGTTACTTTGTAAACGAGATTATTTCAGGTAAGAATTTGAGTGGAAGAAAAATTCGAAATCGATAAATTAAATTGATAAATTGTTTCCATTTGAAAAAATCGTTGGAAATGTTCAGATTATTTGGTCGAACCGGAATTTGCTCAGCCTGTCACAAAGATATTCCCAGTTTCGAGTACGTTATGAGAGCTCGTGGTAATAGTTATCATCTTGATTGTTTCGCTTGTCAATCTTGTAATCAAAGGTATGTAATCAATCAATCAATCAATCAATCAAATTAATTCAATTCAACAATCGACAAAAATTAACCATCCAACTGAAAAATAACGAGAAAACTAAAAAACCATTTCCTTTTCCGCTCAACTTGTTAATCTAATTGTAAACAATTTCACCAGATTATCAACATAATCATGATGATAATGTTTCCAAAACTTGAAATCTCAATAATTAATTAATTGAAATACTTTAGATTCATTTGAAATTCATTTCTATCTCATTAATTATTTAATTAAAAGTTGATGGAACAAAAATTATTTTTTCATCTCTTCTTTTAATCATGTCACCATTATCATTAAATTGTTAATATATAAATTGTTATTAAATTTCATTCATATTAAATTATGATGATGATTATTATTATTATTATTATTAATAGATTAAATTGTTTATTCAATAATAATAATAAACTACATAGGAAACCCTAGAGATTGAATAGAGAATGAAAAAAGTAATAATATAATCAATACTAATATTAAATTAGATGAGAAGTAAATTGTTGATCATAAATCATTCTATCGACAATTAAATGAGGAATAGTATTAGTAGTGATTAATGATGATAAATTAATGGTTAGTTTATTGATTTAGCCAACAGAAAAAAAAACTTAATCAGCTAAACATGATTAAGAGAAAGAGTAATGAAAATTTATCTCCAACTGATTAAATTTGATTGTTACAATTGTCAAATAATTGAATTGAACTTAATCATAACTGTAATTGTTGTTGTTATTGTTATTGTTATTGTTATTATTAACATTGAAACCGGAACCGGGTAAAGGTTTTCCAATTTAATTTAATTTAATTTAATTTTAATTGTCAATCAAAATGAGAATGACAATAAACAATTTAACGAGTAGGTGGTGATTCAATTCTGCTTTTTATTAATAATAACAAAAATAGAACCAATGAAATTGGAAATTAAATCAATTCTAATTGTTTGGTTGTAATATTAATATGTTTTCATGGTAAATTGATTGTTTCACTAATCAGATTAATCTAATTAATTTGTATTTTAATTTCTTTGAGTAGGTTTTGTGTTGGTGATCGTTTCTATCTCTATGAAGAGAGGATTCTATGTGAAGAGGATTATAAAGATGTAATATCAGCCCGAGGTAATAACAATTCAAATAACGGTAATAACGTTAATCATCATCATCATCATGGCCTTGATCATCACCATCACCATCACCATCATACCGTTAATAACGTTAATCATCATCACCATTTAAACAACAATCAAGTGATTCCAACAAATACATCAAATAGTACCAATAATACCAATTCGAGTAATAAAAAAAGTGACCAACCAACTGGACATCATCCAGTAAATCACCATCCACCTAATCATCATCAGCCACCACCTCAATCGACTCGATTATACTCTTGTCATGATCATTGATTAATTAAAACAATTGCAACAATTAATCATTTTTCATTTGTCTCTTGTCGCGATTTTTTTTTCATCAATTAACGTCAAAACATTTACCAAAACAAAAAGGCCAACAATTAAGACGCACATTTAATTAATCTCATCAACACACATCAACAATTTACTGTGATTACCTGATTACTTATTTCAATGGTGACACTTTGATCCTTTACATAATTAACTAATCATCAAAAACTTCATCATCATCATCATCATCTTCCCATGTTTCATTTAATTGAAACTGTAATATAATATTATATATATAAATTAAATATATAAAATGATTAAATCTAATAATAACTTAATCTTGTTTAGTTAAATGTGTTGAACCTTTTTTTTCACATGATCAATTGAAACTGATTGGGTTAATCAATTGATTAGTCAAGCTTTACCCATCTTTTTAATTAGTTTCCAATCAAATAATACTAATCAAATATCAACAGCAACAAAGGTTCAGTCATCTGTTAATCAACTAATCATGATGATGATAATGTATTCCTATTGAAAATGATTCAAGCCTGATTAATTAACTAAGAATGTTAATTTGAATTAATTTGAACATAAAAAAAGCACAATGAACATCAACAGTAAACAGTTGATTATTGATTAAACAGTTAATATCGGCTCAAGTTAATTCATTTCAATTCCAACAAAAGTAATTGCAATTTAATGATAAAATGATGAAGATGATCAAGATGAAGAAATAATAGTGAGTGAGTGAGAGAGAGAGAGTATGATGAAAATCGGGATGAGAGATGATCAATTTAAGTGAAAGGAAAAATGTAATTTCATTGAAAAAATGGGTTTCAATTTAAAAATTTGAATAAGAAAACAAATGATAATATTACAAGGGAGGGAAATAAGTTATTGGCAAGGAATGGAAACAGAAAAATGATATAATAATAACATTTGAAGATGATGAAGATGAAGATGAAGAGAAAGAGAAAGAGGAAGATGATTGTTGGTTATTTTATGAAATTTTGATGATTACCAGTGAATATATTTGCTATTATATTGTATTAGAGTGGAGGCCATTTTGGTTATTAAATGGATTTTCATCCTCTCCCACTTTGAGAACGAGATGGAGAGAGAGAAAGAGAGAGAGAGAGAGATGGGAGAGCAGTGGGTGGATGAGAGATGAAGATGAGGGAGAAAGAGACCTTTAAGTTGATATGCAATTTTATATTCAAATAAATATGAGAGGGAGTGAGAAAAATATTATATAAGTTAAGGTGAGTTGGAGAGTGGGAGTTGGATTGGGAGGAGGAGAAGGTAAAAAATAATAAAATATTATTACAATAAAGATAATAATGATAATATCAGTGTTATCAGCATAAAAAGTGTATTAGATTGGCTTAGATTATAATAATATCATCATGTGAATTATTGTATCAATGAATTGTATCCATTTTAATGTTATTTGTTATTATCATTAAGAGATTGGAAAAACATTGAACAATTTAAATTGTTTAACTGATTGTGAGTGGGTTGGGTAATCTGTTCAAATAGTATTCTTCCCATACAATTAAAGTATCGGTGGGGAAAATTAGAGACCTTTTCAATTCAGTATCTTTTATTTATTGTGTTGGTGAAAACTGATTTGGAAGTTTCGAAAAAAAATTCGAAAATTTTTCAAGAATTTTATTATTTTTTTCTCGATATTCGAATCATTTTCTTCATGGTAACATGTTATATCGCTGGGAGGTTATCATATTTGTTTCTCTTTGATTCTGATTGTTAAGTTGATTTGATAATCAAAGGTAATTCTTGTATATAATAGTTTACCGTTTATGATTATGATTAAAAGACAAAAGTTTAATCACATCGAGAATCAAATTAAATAATAACCCATGATAAAAGTTCATGAAGAAAATGAATTATTAGAATCATTATCATGGAAAAGATTAGTTTTTTTCTTTCTTTTTTTTTCATCCTGTTCTGATTACGATTAATTGAGGATTAACTGAATTGAATATTAATGAATATGGATGAGAAGGTGAATTAATTAAATCAATTATCTGGTAACAAATTGTAATTGCAATTGTAATTGTAATTACTTATAGCAAAGTCTCTGGTATTATAATGTATTGGAAAAGTAAGTTTGGTGAATTTTTTTTCCTCTTTTGTATTAATAATCAATTGTAATTGATTCTTGAATTTTGATCCCAGATCAAGTAAATTTTTCTGATTATCATGATTATCATAAATTAATTAAATGGTTTTTATTTTCATTAATGATCATGATTAAAACAAATTCAATTGCACGTCCATTAGTTTAATAACAATAATATTATTCATGGTGAAACTATCATTTGTAATTACCATTAATTGTTACCATGATTATAGTAATGGAATCATAGTTAAACTAACTAATCAATGGAAAGGTAAAAAAAAAAGTAATTGTCTAATTTCATTTGCTAATCATTCAATCAATCATCCTAATTACTTTGCAACAATCAAAAGTAATAATAATAATCAAAAAGCTCAAACTAATTTGTCAATACTATTAATAGATATCAATTGAATTGAGTTACCATTATCATGATTACTATGGGATTTTTTTGTTCAAATTAATGCAAGATAATTATTACCATTATTAAAGTTGATTGTAAATTTAGTTGACGTGATTGTTGTTGATACACAATGCGAGGTGGGAGTGGGTGGCAAGGAGAGTGGGGTGATTATCAATACAATTTACCATCTAACAATTTGATAATAATACAATTTGATTCCCTTGGTGTTGCATTTTTATTGATAGTTTATTAAAAGGTAAGTAACTTGTTATTATTATATTTTGTATCTATTGTTTACCTTGTTGTTGTTGTGTTGATAAAAATGAGACTCACTGAATCACAGCATGATCATCATGATAGGATGATGATGATGAAATGCTCACGCAATTTCAATTGAATATACAAAAAGTATAACAAAGATTGAAGATGAATTAGATTGAATCTCATTTTTTTTTTCATTTACCTTTTATATTATAAAAGTAAAGGTCAATCGAAGGTGATTTAATAATAATAATTATATTATATTGTCTTCATTAATTTGATGGTTTATGAGGTGAATCAGGGTGGGAATGGGAGTGAGAGTGGGTGGTTAGTGTAAATTAACAATCTCCCTAATCATTAAATTGTTTTCCATTGTTTTTCATTTGATTCATGAAAATTGTAAAATTAAAGTTTCAATGAAGATAATGATTCATTGACTATGCACTTTTATTGATTGGTTTGTGTTAATTTAGTTAACAGGGAGAGAAGAAGATGATGATAATGATGATGATGAGGAAGATAAAGGTGAGTGCAAGTAAAGAAAGTGATTCAAGTGAGGGCGGGTTATGTTTTAATGAGACTTTACCTCGGTGTGGATAATATTATTTGCATTAACTTGATTGCTCTCCATTGGATCCATTTAATTTCATACATTTAACTAATAATTTATGGCCTCTTCATCATCCTAATCATCCTCATCTTCCTATTAATACAAAAGCATGATACATGGAGACTCTCACTCCCAATTCTCATCTTTTCAAGGATTCTTTTTACTCTCTCTCATCCCTGTAGCCTTCTCCTCCCACTCCCACCTCTTCCTCCTCTCACCCACCCTCAACTCCCTCCCTGATCCAATTCTCTAGCATTTTGCTTGAATAACTTGATAATAATTATAATTATAATAAAAGGATAATTTCCTCAATTTAGTATTTATTTATAGATTCACCTTCATATGAGATAATAATCATGATGATTATTTGAACAACAACAACAACAACACCATCATCATCATCAACAGAGGATCAACAAACAATTGGAAAACAATCAACTAATCATGAAAAATTGTGAACAATAAAAAACAAAACAAAAACAAAATGTAAACAACAAATTGCTTGAAAATTGGTTCATGAATTAAACTCAATTTTCAATCAACTTAATTAAATTACATTAATAGTAATTGAAAATTGTTATTAATCATCAACATGATCATAATCAAATGTAATCACTTTAAATGAGCAATCATTTTATTATCATTTTGATATTTAATCACAATCACAATCCAATTCCAATAACAGTTAACTTTCTCACTCCCTGTCTGTCAATCTCGGTCAATTTAATATATTATAACCTTCACTTTCCGCTTCTCCCTTCCGCCTCCACCCACTTTCCACCCTCTCCTTTTATTATTATTATTACTTTATTATCGATTTCCTAAATTGCTTCACTCACTCTCCCTCTCCCTCTCCTTCTCACTCTCTCTCACTCTCTCTCACTCTTTGGTAATAGTATCAGAAAAAAGCAAATTACTATTAAGCTTACGATTAAAAAGGTTCTCGAAATAATTACAACTACAGGGACGTGCTAGAGACCAACATTAATTAAATTAGATTATTATCATTAACCTTATCTCTTAACTGTGTTATTATTGCTTCTTGTTGTTAATAACAAAAAAGCTTTATGATTAACAACAATATAAAAGTAAATCGTTGATTACAATTAACAATTAATGTTTGGCTCTCTTTAGCCTTTTCTCGTATGTTGATTGTTGTTGATACTCTTTTAATTTATCAGATTGACAACGATGATAATAATTGTTTGCCCTTTTGTTTTTAAGTAATTAATGTGACTCTCATTAATTAACAGCCATTATAATGAATTAAAAAAAAAAGTTGATTACAATTTATGTTAATTTTTTGTTAATTTTGTTTGTTACCGTAATTACTAAATTGCTGTTGGAAGCATTTAAGTTTTTTTTTAGTTATTACCTTTACTTTGAAAAGTTAATTTAATTCATGTTATCATTTAATTGTTGCTCACTTATTTGATTGCTACTCTTTTCTGGTTAACTATTGATTTTTGTTTTATAATAATAATAATAATTAGTATTAACTTGGTGTTAGAACAATTTAGTAATTAATCATTAGAAAGGGAAATTGATTATCTTCTAATTTTGTGTCTCCTTCTTGTTGATTGTTAATCTTTAAGTTAGTTAGTTGTCAGTTTAACGGAAAAACTTTGATTTCCTTGATTAATATGATTTACTTGTTAGGTAACTAATCAACTTACTTTGATTGGAACCTGATCAATGTTATACTTATTTCCTGTTCCGTTTGTTACCTGATTTCGTTCACAGATTTGGGTTTACTGTTTTTCTCGTCATTTCCTGAATGATCAACATTGAATTTCCGTTGGGTAACATCCTAATTTTTTGGCTCCTCATTCAATTACCAATAATGGTAATAAGGATCAACAAGAATGACAACAAGTAACAATTAATCTAATAAAAGTTAATCAAGAAAATTGGTTAATTATTAATACAATTAGTCTATTGTTTATGAATATAAATTGTGTCCCTGTGATGGCTGAAAGCAATTGATCATTAATTTCAATTGTCTAATTGTGTTAATTAGTTTTCTTCACTAAATATGTTAGTTGCTATTGAAGAAGAAGAAGAAGAAGATGATTAGTTAGTTTTTGTTTCAACAATTAACTGGGAATCATTTGTTAATAATTCGTTTCTCAGGTAATAAGTTACAGTTTGTTGATTCCTTTTAGTTTAAGATGAAGACCCTTAAGGTTAAACAATGATGATAATCAACTATTATCATTGACAATTAGATTGTTTCTTCTTCTTCTTCTTGTCTACTTACCTGAGAGATATATGATTACAAATAACATTTGGTAAACAAATTAAATCGAAATGTAATCATCATCGCCATCATAATCATCACCATAATCATTATTATTACTCTAATAATAATAATCTCTTATTGTGTTATAGACTCTTTAAGTAATAATGATAATAATATTATTAATACCTTGGTACTATTATTACAGTTTTTTGGATTCTGTCATTTTTGCCTGAAATCAGCAGAAATTTAATTAACGAACACAACAAAAAGTTAATTACTCATTTTGTCTCCTTCTTCATTCACCACCATCACCAAATCTCATCATCATAACGTTTCCCTCTCATTATGATGTTGGTGATAACACAATATTTAAAGGATAAGTATATGTATCAATATGAAAGAAGCACTTTTGTTGATTCACTATAATTAATATTTTTTTTTTCTCTTCTCTCCTTAAAAACAATTACTTGGGCTTTTTATTGTCTTCCATCACAGTAAATAATAATTAACCTTAAGGCTTGGATATTAATTGTAATACATTTTTGGTTTTACAAAAATGATAAATAGTCAATTAAAAATGAAGAGAAAAGAAAACTAAGAAAAGAATAAAAAAATTAAACAAAGAAAAATATAAAAAAACAAAATGGAGATCGTTTTTCAATCTAATCAAACACAAAGAGAACAAATTTACTCTTCAATCCTTTGTAACTTTCACAATTTAAGGTTTTCAACAAATAAATCAAATCTATTGAGCACCAAACACTTAATTAAACACTGTAATTAAAAAAAGAAATCAAATCAACAATTAAAATCAATTCAATTAAGAACAAAACAATTAAATCAACAATTAACAATCGATGACGTTCATTGACCATTAGGTTAACTCTTTCTCTTTGGCGGTTAACCAGAAAACCCAAAAATCTCCTGGCGCCATCTAGCGAATGGAAAACTTTCTATTCTCCTGATTTTTAAAATTCTTTTTTTTATTCCATAGTTTGGTCTCAATTGATTATTGTTTTTTCGTCTCTGTTTATTTTGTTTAGCGTTCTGGTGATCGCTTTGTGACATATTAGTGTAAGGAGATAACGGACCTTAGGCCTTTCTATTTACCGGGAAACAGGTAATATAATTGCTACTGTGATAGTTGCCCAATGGCGACGATAAGTTCATCCGTTCAGTTGGTGTTCCTGATTCACTTGTTGTTTTTCAACGTAATCGGTCAACTTTAAGATCTTAAAAATGGTCGCCAATGGATTGGCCTGTTTAATTGTGGCAGTTGGAAATGTTGAGTAACTTGATGACCATTATTTTGAGAATTGTGTCCAGTTTGATGGTTTTCCTCCTGAATCGGAGTTTATTGTTGATGTGGATAAAATGTTCCCGGTGAAATTTTACCTCTAAATTGTTCAACTTGTTCTCGATTAACAAAACATTGATGGTTATTCTCTGATGCACTGACAGTCTTTTTCTCGATCTCAGAAATCTCAAAATTAAGATATTTGAACAATTCAATGTTCTCTAAGTAGCTAAGGAAATTGTTCACAGCCTCTGGTCATCGCCTCGCAAATTTCCTTTCATGGGCCATCATCATCTTACCGATTATCATGTTAAAATCCTAACTTGATACCATTTCAACATTCCTGACATAGTCAAGAAGGTAATTGTTACCGAAAACAAAAAATATTCTGAAAAAATGGCCAATCAATCAGAGAAACGGATTTTCCTCTTGATGTTGGTTCTTCATACATCTTTGTATTTCTTGATTCTGTAATTACATAGTCGAGTAATTAAACCGAGAAGATAGATTGAGAGGACAACATACAAGTATCATTAAATTGATTGAAATCAATATTCTGGCTGGAGATTGATTAGTTGGAATCTATTTAGATTTAATCGTGATTATTTTTGAAATTTGATAAATTAAGTGATCTAATTTGGAATGGAAAATCTTTCAACTGTGTTAACTTGACTCAAAATTAGTGAAAAATTAACCTAAGGATTATCAATATCAATCGATTTGATTGATATTCAATTAACAACTGAACATACAATTTGATTCCTGTTAAAATATATAAACTGAGTGAAGAAAAATAATCTGACCCTTTCAATCAGACTTAACAAGAATCAATGGTCAGTGGTCATTTCCAGGTGATGTCCATTGACGATAATCATCATTATTATCACAGAGACTTTAATCTCTGTTTTTATTACAATCTATCAATTGCCAAGAACAGTTGACTTTTAATCCTTGGACAACATTGGATAATCAATTGATTATAAACACAACACACATAAACAAGATCAACAACTAAAAACTCCCAAGAGGATTAAATGGTCAAGATGACAGTTTAATGAGAGAAAAATAAATCCCACTGACCAATGAGAAAAAAATGACCAATGGAGAAAAAAAAATCGATTCCAAAGCTTAAATTACCTTTTCAATTGCATGGACACACAAACAAACAATTAACCTAAAGAACAACCTAACATGAGAGACAATTAATCTAATTTCTCATCATCTGTGCATGATCATGATAAACTAATTGTGAACTGGATTAAATCACCTGATCACAATTTACTTGTTGATCGAGTTTGAAAGTTTCTGTTGATTGACAAACAAAAGTTCATCATTTGCCTTTTTGTTTGTTGTTTTCCATAGTTGATTCATCGTCATCTTCATCTTCATCTTCATCTCTCATCATCTTCATCAATCATCATGTAGAACAGGATGAAAGAAAGTGAATTAGGAAGATAATTTTTTCACTCTTTCGTCTATTTATCAATCTATTTCTGGAAACATCGAGTTCATCATTTACACCAAGGTTACTATGGTAATCTAATGGTTTACGACCAAATTGATGAAAAAATTGACTCCAAATTGACCACTTGATTATTAACAATTTCCACTATTCAAATCAATCAATCAACTCTAATCATCTAATCATCTTGTGTCCAGTCAATGTTACAGTTTTTCCTCCATGTTATTCAATTGTAATTCATGTTAACTATTGAATGCTGATCATTTTTGCTTCTTCGTCAAAACCAAAACTAACAATTTGACTTGGATTTTTTTTCTAATTAATTTGATTCTCTATTGTGATAAATAATTAGTTCACTTATTCAATGTCCAGTTTTCTTGATTGTTGTCGCCATCGACATCATGGTTCCCTTTTCAATCGTTTTGTCCAATTTATGTTTCGACCTGTTGATGGACATAGTTTAGCTGTTTTTCGGATTCTTTTTGGTCTTCTGATGGTCATCGATTTACAGGTCGAACGGGCTTTTCACAAGGCTGATGAGCGATGGTCACATTCGGATGAGTGTCGCTTTCCGTTAATTGATTGGATTAAACCTCTACCAGGACCTTACATGAACTTATTGTATCTCTTAATGACTTTCGGTTAGTCAACAATTGGACCAATAATTACTTAAGACCAAGGATTAATTATCGATTTTAATTGTTGCCATTCAACAGGTTCAATTGGAATAACGATCGGCTACAAATTCAAAGTATCGACAACAATTTACGCTCTAATCTATTGGTACATCTTTCTATTGGATAAAAGCTACTGGAATAATCATTCGTATCTATTTGGCCTAATCACAATTATCTTAGTCTTTTCTGATTCTCATAAAATTTGGTTAGTTGTTCATCGATTATATTGAAATTTTCAATCACCGAGTTAATTGACTTTCGTTTCCATTCACAGGTCAGTTGATTGTCGTGATTCCGACGCCGATAATTACGGCAAGGATAAAGTCCCTTTCTGGCAATACTTTATAATCCGATATCAGATCAGTTTGGTCTATTTCATGGCCGCAGTGAAAAAGGCCAATCTTGAATGGATCGGCGGATATTCAATGAGATATTTATCAAGTCATTGGGTTTTCTCACCTTTCAGGTAAAGTTTACAATCGTTTACAATCAGTTGGTTACATTGATTAACACAGTTGTTGATTCAACATTTGCTGTTAGTCAAACGATTGGTTGATTGTTAATTGTTTAGGTTAAATTGTTCAATCAAGTTTATCATTTGACTTGTGCATGTCAATCAGTTGAATTATGATCGATCAGATTGGACAATTTAGAAGAGAGAAAAAAATTGATTGTGTTTTTGTATTTGTCACAATTTAGGTTGATCCTTTCACCGGACTTGGTTGATTTAATTGTCATCCATTGGGGTGGTTTTCTAATTGATTCATCAGTCGGTTTCTTATTACTCTTTAAATTAACTCGACCATTAGGATATCTATTCACTGGACTATTCAATTCAATGAATTCGCAGATATTTTCAATCGGAATGTTTCCCTATGTGATGTTGTGTGTCCTTCCGATTTACAGTTCACCCGATTGGCCGAAATCTTTGATTCGATTGTTTAATCATCAAACTGATTCACCAATTGAAGTTGATTGTTTGGAAGATGAAGATGCGAAAAAGAAACAAGCAAAGGGAGAAGCAAATGAGAAGCTAGAAGATGAAGATAAGGTTAAAAAGAATGAAAGAGAAGGCGGGAAAAGAAGAGGAAAGAACGAAGTGAGAAAAGGAACCACACCCACGGAGAATAAGATGTTCTCATTGAGGCCAATTGGGTTGCAATCATCTTCCAAAGAAGAGATTAAGGTCACTAATCGACAAAGATTAACTTGTTCCTTGCTGTTAATCTACATGAGTCTCCAAGTGGGTTTACCCTTTTCTCATGATCTGACCCAAGGTTACAACACATGGACTCAGGGGGTTTATGGTTATTCGTGGGACATGATGGTCCACAATTGGAGGTTATTGGGCAAACGGGTGTTGATTGTGGACAAACGATCGGGACGCGAGGTTTATCTCAACGTGGAAAAGTATTCGCCCAATAACGGTGGACTCATCATGCTGATATGGCGAAACAATTTGCTGAATGTTTGGGTCATCGGATCAAAAAGATGACCAATCTGACGGATTTTGAGATTCGCATGGACGTTTGGATGTCGTTGAACAAACGGTTCGCTCAACGGGTTTTCGATCCAACTGTTGATCTACTTGCAGCCGAATGGTCACCATTCAAAAAACCCCCTTGGGTACTTCCGATGTTGACTCAGTTCACCGATTGGAGATCAATTCTCAAGGAATATGAAGAAAATATTTTGAATTCTAATCAATCACTTTACGTTGTTTTCATGGCTGATTTTCCAGGTAACTGATTGGGCAAAACAAATCAAATTTCATCAATTTAATCAATTTTGTTTCGTTGATTAGGTTTTGATTTTGTTAATTTTATCGATCCACAATTTGGTAATACAACATTCAAGGTTCTAAGTGGTTGGGTCAAGTTACAAGTCAAAGGGTCAATTGTCCGGTTGATGACCAAAGGTGACGAAAGTCATTTGCCTTCGGGTGAATTTCATTCGGTGATTCCGATCAAATCAGAACCCGCTTCTTACATGTACACGTTTACTAATAAAACTGCTGCTGAATCGATGTGGCAATCGAGTGGAGATAAAGAAGATAAATCAGACAAAAAGGATTATTGGATAATCCGATATTGTGGAAAATGGATTAGGAGGTAAGTGTTTTTATCTTTGGATTAGAGATTGTGACTCATAACCGATGATTTTGATTCTTATGCTTTCGTCTTTTATTCAGTTTCCAGATAGTAATTGAATCATTCACGATAATTGGAGGTCAGTTAATGAACGCGTTCGGAATTGGAACTGAGATTTTTCGAAAAACGAATCAATAGAATTGATTGATTCTGAAGACACAAATAAACAGAAATCCTTTTTTTTTGTTTTCAAGACAGAATAATGATGTTTATTTTAAATGTGTGTAATGTGTTGAGTGTGAACTTTCCAAATAAGATGTGAACTTTATGAAATGAATGTCTTAATGAACTTGGTCTCATGGATTTGATGATTGATTAATGGAAAAAGAGAAAAAAAATTATAAAAAGAGAAAGTAAAGAAGAAAATTCCTATCGTATCTGTCAGCTTACTTTCCCCTCATACATTGGTAATTAGTTAAAGTTAAGCTGGTTTCTGTCCAGTTGCTCCTTTCTTGCCGATCAGAGATTTGTGAATGTGAGGAATAACACCTAGAAAAAAATAGAATTAAAAAAATAAATTAATAAGGTGTTATTAGCAAAAGACCGCCAAAGAACGGGGGCGGGAAATGTTTTGGCGCCTAAAAGTTACAATAGCCTTTGGCCTAATGATGAGGGAACTTATGGTCTTTTTCTGGAGAATGAGATATAAGTGATGAAAAAATTTGACACTTACCACCACCCGCAATGGTTGCTTTGATCAGTGAGTCCAATTCTTCGTCACCACGAATGGCAAGTTGAAGATGACGGGGAGTAATTCTTTTCACCTTCAAATCTTTACTAGCATTACCTGCCAATTCAAGTACCTAGATGGTAAAAATTAGATCCAAAATGAGTTAATAATCAGGTGAATATAAAAGCCCGCCAAATAATTGATGATATACTTACTTCAGCAGTAAGGTATTCTAAAATAGCTGCTGAGTAGACTGCAGCAGTAGCACCAACTCGTCCATGACTTGTGGTTCTGTTTTTCAAATGACGATGGATACGTCCTACTGGGAACTAAAGAGGTACACGAGTGAGAAGAAAGTAGATTAATTAGAAACACCAATGACACAAGAGTTGACTAATTCTTACTTGAAGTCCAGCTCGAGCAGATCGTGAGACTGCTTTTGCCTTTGCTTTTCCAGAATCTTTACCAGCTTTACCTCCAGCCTGAAAGTGAATTTAAGAATCATACGTGAAAGTTAAAAAGAGAAACAAAAGGCACGTAGAGGTCATTGGAAAGAAAAAAAAACAATAAACGAACAAAAATAGAGTAAAAGTAACAAGGATATTGAAAGAGAGGGAAAAGAGGAAATAAAAAGATAGGCAAAGAAAAAGAAACCAGAGTAAGAGTGGAAGAAAGAAGGGCGAGAAAGAATAGAAAAGGTAAGACAGAGAAGAGAAAAAAGAGAGAAGTAGAAACAGAGAGCAAGAGAGAAACAGAGATGTTTCTCTAAAAAGAATTTAATTACTTACCATTTTAGTGAATTGATAAAAGTGATTTGATGAGATGAAAGTTAATTAAAACAAGGTGAATGTTAATTGTATTAAAATTAGTTATAAAAATGGCAAATATCAAAAAACCAAGTCAATTATTCAACAGAACGAGTGAATCTTTTGTTACTTATGTTGAAAACCTAGTGTTGCGCTGATACTTTTTTAGCGAGTAATATTATCGATACTTTCGTTTTCGATATTACTCGATACTTTTGTGAACGGTATCGAGTACTTTTTCCAGGCACTGAAAGTGAATTTTTGACTCAGAAAAATGAAAAATTGAGAATATGTAAAAATTTCACCAAATAGAATCAGAAAAAATCAAAAAATATTAGCAATACTGTTCAATACCCACGGTATTGTTGATACTTTTCGATATTTTTCAATATTAAGTATTGAAAATATTATCGATACTTTGCTTAACAATACCGATACGTTCAATCAATACTTTCTATCGGTATCGCGCAACACTATGAAAACCTAACATATTAACGGTCTGGAATTCACTCCAACCAATCAAAGGCCTTTGTCGATTTTTCTTTCCCCCTTTTCTTTTGTTGGTTGTGCCATCTGACGAGTGAATGGCGAGTCTCTATTTTTGGAACAAAATTCAAATTGAACATTTTGGTCTTTTCTTTTATTAATTGATAATAATTCGTTAATTCGTTTATGTTTAATTAGTTGATTTCGTTTATTTACAATCAATTGTTTTTTCGTTCATCGAGTTAGTTTTTTAAACCCACACCTTAAGTTAAACTTTTTGTTTTAGTAAATTTCGATTTTGTTGTTGTTTCTTTTAATTTTTACTCCTTTCAAGTGAATAGTTTTTGTTTAGCTGAAAATCTCTAAGATGATAATTGATCTACAGAGGTTGCTACACTTAGAGCAACTACACTTAGAGCAAAAAACAGCGCCGTCTACATAACTAAAAGGGTTAATCTCTTGATGAACTAATCCTTAGGCTAATCCAAGCTTAATGGTACTAATCCACTAGGTGGAGACTGTGAAAGTCAAGTTGCTCTAAGTGTAGCAACCTCTGTAATCTGTTTTTAATCTGAATTGTATATTGAATTGATAGTGATAAATACAGATAGACAGAGAGTTAACAGTAGTCTCAACTGATAAAATGATGGATGGACTAATGAGAATCATATTCACCACCCCGGGAGGTAGAGAACTTTTACGATCGGTCAATTGGTGTCTAAAAATAGGACCATTAAATCTACAAGTGGCCGATAATAACTGGATAGAGCAATGCCCCTTTTGTTGTAAAAGTTTATTACCTGGTGACCCTCATCCCTGCTGTAATGAGGCCAAATGTACCATATGCAATAAAACAAGATGCAGTCGCCTAAACAATAACAATTACTGCAAGGACAAAATCGAGTGTGTGGACTGCAAAAGCCGAGGTAATTACGAGCTAAACCATCCAAACTATCATCAATCCAAGTGCCCTATAATACCATTCCCAACACAATTTATGCTCAAGAACACTGACAATGAGTATGAAGAAATAAGAATAGCTTCATTTGCCGCTCCACTCGAAGGATTTCACTTCTCGAGACAATAAAACTAGAGGACCGACAAAGGCCAAAGGCACAAATGCGTCCATCATGCAGAAATAACCTTAATAACCTACAATAAAATAAACTACAACCTTAGTAAACAAAACAACAAGCAAGAAAGTATTTAGGTGAAACCAAGTTCAAAATAGTCCTCACTAGAAGTTTAAACCCTCAACATGAAGTATGAAAATCAAGATGTTCTTTTTCTGTGTGTTAAAGATGATGTTCAAATTGTTCAGCTTAAGATAAAGAAAGCGGAACAACTGCCAGAGGAAGAAAACAACGTATGGATAATAGATGATAAGGACACAAGAGAATATCTGGTAGCCATCGACAAAGACAGTGACCCAGAAAGATCGCTAGATGTCATCTCAATGCTCATCGGAATGGGAGCAAAAACTACCATATGGCACTGGAAAAAACCGAACAATTTGTGTAAATTGGATGAATCCCTGGACGAGTCACTAATTATGGCGATTTGCTCCTCCTTTCTATGGATCAAAAGTGGACAGAACCAAGATACTCTAATAATAGAGGATGAAGATGAATGTTTCAACTTTGAATACTTGATTGACATGATTGTAAAAACAAAAGCTGAAAGTCCTAACTAATGACTGTACGTTCTCCGAAAAAACAAAATTAAACAACTTTGAATAATACAATGTAATTAAACTGAATCTGTGAATCTCAATTCTTACTAAGAAATGAAAATCGAAATAGATATAATAAATGCTTATAAAAAGCAAAACATACAAAAAAATATGAACATAAGTGAAAATTCCTTTATATTTATAAGTGAATACAAATCATCGGTGATCTATGAAAGAGAAATAAGAGGTTACCAAACGTTCATGAGCTGGCCTAAGGACTGGTCCTTATGCTCTAGCACGCTAGTGGAAAGTGACATTATACATGCCGTTTTCAGAAAGAACAAATATTTACTCCAAATAGTGGGTATATACTCATCACCAAGGAAAACAATGACCATAAGTGCTCTCACCAATCTGTTGACAATCCTTGAAGACTACATTCCCATCTTTATCTGTGGAGATTTGAACATCGAGCTCGATATATGGACGGACAATGTGCGTGTCAATCATGGAATTAGCAAAGAAATAACAGATAGACTAAGAACAGAACTGAGGCAAAAATCGTTGGAATCAGTACTACCAAAGTTCAAACCTCAATCACTGACCAGAACAACGGACGACGAGGGTACGATAGGCTCGGCCATTGACATCCTTCTCACCAACGCAAAGTTTACTCAAAATCACTCATGGTTGGAGTATTGGAAGTTAACATGAATAAGAACGCGGACAAAATCCACAAAATACCAAAATATAATCATAAGATGAAAACAACAGGTAATACAATTGATGAAATAGTACATTCAATTATGGTATGATGGTCAACTATGATATTATCGACAGATCCTGATGTGAATCCTGCAGAATTTCCTTGAGTCTCGATTTTATCTGTAGACCATTTTCTTTGATGTTGTTGACTGTAGCATATACAAGAAGTACTGGCTTCAGTTGCATATCCTCAGTCTTGATCCAGTGATACGGTGGTGACCATGATCCTTAATAACGCAGTTTGATGTCCAGGTTATTGGCTGTTGCGGCTGATACCGAGTCTGCTTTGCTAAATATCTTCTTGCTTAGCTTCCTCTTTAATTGAGGTGTAAGCGCCAAGATAAATTTGTTAATGTCATGTTGTTCTGTATGGTCCACTGTGTTTCTGAGAGTGTCTAGTATTGTTTCAACGTCCTGAGAGCCAACCTTTGTCTTCACATATTCATACAGGTCTTCGCCATTGTTTTTTGTAGACACCGATTTCAAAAATAGTAACACTGATTCGATATCAAGAGCTTCGGTTGATTCTTCTACCTCGGTGGTGATCTTGGACCTTTTATTTGACATTGTTATTTATACACTGTTTATCAAAATGATACAAAGAAGGGATGGGAAGATCAGATAGGTTAGTATTTTGTGTTGTTTGTTCGTTGTTTGTTTGTTCACTTGTTTGTTTTACTCAAGTATAGTTAGTTCGGATTTGAAACTACTTTTATACCTATTTCTTCCTTCTACAGGGCTATTCAGCTATTTTCGCCGATGTTTTTTGCGATTTTCTCAGCAACTAAGAGTCAAAGAGACTCAAGACTTTAGTGGTATGAGTTTGAGCGATACTCAATTGTCATATACAAAGATCAAGGTCATTCAGGTCACGTGTAAAATAACGCGTTTCAAGGTCATTTGATGGTCATTCTATGATTTGCCACACTTATTCATCTTGGGTTAAGATTTTGAAGTTAGTTGTAACTGTCAATCAGAAGATATTGCAGTTTAATCAAAAAGGTACTGAGATTCTTTAATTAACAAAACTTATCATAACAGTTGACCCTAAAGACATAAGAGCCTGAAAATTTTATATTGGTGTTTTTACACATACTTTTTTATGGTAATGTCTTCAAATGACCTTGAAACGCGTTATTTTACACGTGACCTGAATGACCTTGATCTTTGTATATGACAATTGAGTATCGCTCAAACTCATACCACTCAAGTCTTGAGTCTCTTTGACTCTTAGGTGCTGAGAAAATCGCAAAAAACATCGGCGAAAATAGCTGAATAGCCCTGTATATTCTAGTATTATATCGTCATATTTGTGGGCTGTCCTACGAAGACAATTGATTAGTTGTTTTTGATAATTTTGACATAGGTAGTAGTATGCTGAGTGTCCATACTGTCCACTTGATGCGCATTTCCATGTCTTAGGGCGATGAGTTTTATTGCATTTGTTAGAGTGATGTTTTTCACAGCAATACGCACATCTTACCCCTCTTTTACAATCTTTGCTCGTGTGACTATAATCACAACAGATTTCACAAAACTTGATTTTGAAGTAATCTGTGAAGTCATAAACCTGGCCATCCATTGTGATCGTTTTGTTCAACCTTTGTCTTGCCGATGTGTCCAGCTCAATCAGGACCGTACTGAAATTGTTGCCATAAAAGATTTTGTGGATCTTTACGGATTTATTTTCCAGCTTGTTTTGTCGGCATATTTTTTCCCCAATCATATTGTCAGGCAGATGATTGTTATTCATTATTATTTTCACTAGTGGATTGTTGATAGTGATCCGTCTTCCTGTCTTATTCTAACGACAATTACTGGGGCAGGTATTATATTCGGTGCTTGGATCATAAATGATGACGCCGATGTCGGTTCATGCAGAGACATTTGGATTGGAACGTTGATTGTTTACCACTATAGAAGAAGAGAAAAACTTGATCAATTAATTAATTAGTTAATCACAAACAGAACGAGTGAATCTTTTGTTACTTATGTTGAAAACCTAACATATTAACGGTCTGGAATTCACTCCAACCAATCAAAGGCCTTTGTCGATTTTTCTTTCCCCCTTTTCTTTTGTTGGTTGTGCCATCTGACGAGTGAATGGCGAGTCTCTATTTTTGGAACAAAATTCAAATTGAACATTTTGGTCTTTTCTTTTATTAATTGATAATAATTCGTTAATTCGTTTATGTTTAATTAGTTGATTTCGTTTATTTACAATCAATTGTTTTTTCGTTCATCGAGTTAGTTTTTTAAACCCACACCTTAAGTTAAACTTTTTGTTTTAGTAAATTTCGATTTTGTTGTTGTTTCTTTTAATTTTTACTCCTTTCAAGTGAATAGTTTTTGTTTAGCTGAAAATCTCTAAGATGATAATTGATCTAATCTGTTTTTAATCTGAATTGTATATTGAATTGATAGTGATAAATACAGATAGAGAAGCAGAAATAATGAAGAACAAGAGAGTAAAGCGACGGTGAGAAAAAAGGGTTAGAAAGAAGCGTTTAAAGGGAAGATAGAGAAAGAAAAAGAAAAAAGAGAAAGAGAGAGAGAGAAAGAGAGGTAGAAAGAGATGAGGAAGAGAAGACCAGAAAAGAGAGAAAAAAAGAAAGATAGAATGAGAAGGAGAGACAAAAAAGAGGGTAGAAAGAGAGAAAGAAAGGAGAAAATTAAGACTGATCAGTGGTGTTCGTTTATCCTAATCAACATCACATGGCATATTTTCTTGTCCATTCTCGTCCCATCTCATTATACTTCTCCCTGTCTGTCTTATAAAGCTTGGCGATCTCAGGTACAAGCGGATCATCCGGGTTAGGGTCACATAATAAGGAGCATATTGATAGCAGTACTTTAGATATAGTTAAAGCAGGAGACCATTGTGACCTCAGTATATCCAGACAAATAGACCCATTACTGTTTATATTAGGATGATATATTCGCGTTGTGAAAGCTACTTTGGGTGGTTTAAAAGGATAATCCGTAGGGAAATGAATAGTTAGGAAGAAAACACCGCCTTGATAAGGACTATCAGGAGGACCCATTATAGTTGCTTGCCAATGAAACAAATCATCACCAACAGGTCCAGCACTACATTGGGCTGGTGGATCTCTTTTCAAGTCTTCCAATTCTTTCTTTATACGTTTTAAAGCCATGTCTTAAATTGATTTTATATATATAAACACCTAAATGTAAACAATTAAATAGATTAAGTTGAAAGAATAGTGAAAAAAAAGGGAAAACACAATTAGAAATATAATAAATTGTATAGTTATTGAGAATCCAACTCTTAGCTTGGAAATGACTAACTTGGGGATGGTTATAATATTACTTCTTGGCTGGCGCTTTATTAAATTCAATGGAATCTAAATTAATTCATTTCCACCATATTCGAAGATTAATCACAAATTAATTAATTCACTAATTTCAGTTGATATTCTTTTAACCTTTAGAAGTAATTTAATTACATTTTCTTCAGATTAATAAAGAATAATTATCGATCTGAGAATTTAAATTCGCATCAAAAGGTTACTTTTATTTTCGATAGATGGAGACACTTTTTTCTCTTTAAATTTTCTCTTTCTTTCTCTTTGTTGGAAGGTAAACAAAACCTATGCAATTGGGACTGAGAAATTGGATTTTCATAATTATGTTTACTGTCTTTATTTTTGAATTGAATTTTCAATTTTAGTGATAAATACAGAAATAGAGGCAGGAAAAAGAAACAGAACAAGAAACAGAGTAAGCAAGAAGACAGTGAGAAGAGAAAGATAAAGGAAGAGAAAGAGACAGAGAAAGAGAGAGAGAGAGAGAGATAGTAAAGAGAGAGAGAAAGAGAGTGAAAGAGAGATAGAAGGAAAAGAGAGAAGGGAAATTTAAGACTGATCAGTGGCGTTCGTTTATCCTAATCAACATCACATGGCATATTTTCTTGTCCATTCTCGTCCCATCTCATTATACTTCTCCCTGTCTGTCTTATAAAGCTTGGCGATCTCTGGTACAAGCGGATCATCCGGGTTAGGGTCACATAATAAGGAGCATATTGATAGCAGTACTTTAGATATAGTTAAAGCAGGAGACCATTGTGACCTCAGTATATCCAGACAAATAGACCCATTACTGTTTATATTAGGATGATAAATTCGCGTTGTGAAAGCTACTTTGGGTGGTTTAAAAGGATAATCCGTAGGGAAATGAATAGTTAGGAAGAAAACACCGCCTTGATAAGGACTATCAGGAGGACCCATTATAGTTGCTTGCCAATGAAACAAATCATCACCAACAGGTCCAGCACTACATTGGGCTGGAGGATCTCTTTTCAAGTCTTCCAATTCTTTCTTTATACGTTTTAAAGCCATTTCTTTAAATTGATTTATATAAACACCTACAGGGTTAAACAAAAGAATTGATTGAAAGAGAAAAGTGAAAAAGAAACAAGAACACAATTTAGAAAGGTATTAAATTGTATATTAGTGATCAATCCGAATTCACCATCAGCAGCAAAAACTGACTACTAACAGACTAGGGGATGGTTATAATATTACTTCTTGAAGGCGGCTAATTAAATTTATCTTAAATGGAAACATTTCTTGCACCGTGAGTCACAAATTAAGATAATTTTGAAGCAATCATAATCACTTATACTATTTAAATAAAGAATAACCTTTGACATTGATTTGATTCTTTGAAAGCCGAACAGTTAAATGATCAGTTTTCTCATTCAAAATTTTTCTTCTCTCCCAAGTTACTTTTCATTCTCACAGATGGCGACACTTGTAGTTCTTTTCTACAAAACAGAAAATTGTAAACAAAAAATTCTTTCAGCTGAAAATTTTTTCTGTTTTTTCTTGAACATTTTGTGATTCTATTTATTAATTGTTACCGATTAATTTTATATACCTTTTATCACTTGTTAATTATTGTATTCTTTTTGTCTTTACCCTTTTCTCTTGGTTGGTATCGTTGATTCAGTTTTGAATGATGGAAGCAAATTGTGGGTTTGCTTGTAAAAATTGTTCTTCTCCTTTGGTTATCCATTCTTCTATTGCTCAGATGAATGTGTCAACTCTAAGTGAATTATCAAACAATTTGGAGCTTGGCTGTCATAATTCTTCTTCTGGTTTGGATGTAAATGTTGAATCTGAATATGATGCTACCAGTTCCTCTTTGGATGAAGTGCAAAGCGCAAGTAATAGCTTTCTAATCATTGGTGATTCGATGTTGGAAAATAATTCTCATGAAGTTGATATGCACAGCGCTGCAATTCAAGGTCTAGGTCGGGAAATGAGAATTAGTGGTAAATTGTTCGATATCCTTTCAGAAAAATCTATTGTTGATCATCCCCTATGCGAGGAATGTGCCGATTCTCTAATTGACAAAATGGATCAGAAACTAAAGAACCTTGAAGAAGAATGTAAAGATTATCGTGAATGTTTAGATAAATTGGAAAAGAAGATGAAAAATACAGACCCAGAATCAAATATTAAAAAGTTACAAGATCGTATCAAGGAGCTTGAAAAGGAAGAAAGAAGGTAATGAATCTCAATGTTATGAAACAAAACGAAACGATCTAATTATAATTTTCTTTATTCACAGATTAATCGATGAATTGACCAGAGTCGAGAAAAGGAAAAAGGAAACAGATAAAAGACTCGCTAATCAAGAATTAGAGCTCCATCGTTTACGAAGCGACAAAGATGCTTTCAGAAAAGAACACAATTATTTAAAGAAAGTTCTCTTTGAGCTCGACGACGAACGTTTGAGTGTGGAAAACTCGAAGAAATATGTGATAAGACATCTTGACATCTTAAGAAAAACAAACATCTTCAATGCCACTTTCCATATCTGGTAATTGTTAATTTCGTTATGTACATGTAATGTTAAGAATTTCAATTACTAACTCATGATAATCGTTCTTCAGGTATAATGGTCATTTTGGAACTATAAATGGATTCCGTTTGGGTCGATTGCCTAATCATCCAGTGGACTGGACAGAGATAAATGCAGCTTGGGGTCAAACGGCTTTACTTTTGTTTTCTTTGGCTCGAAAAATTAACCTTACCTTCGTAAGGTACCGAGTTGTTCCTTTTGGTAACCACTCGTTCGTCGAGACATTAGAAGACTCGAAAGTTAAGGAACTCCCACTGTAAGATGAATATCTCTTATATTCTTTCATTATTTTTCTTATCTTCTAATCATTTCATCTTATATCTTCCTAAATAGCTATGGTTCTGGTGGCTTTAAATACTTACTCAACAGTAAATTTGACTTAGCGATGGTCGCATTCCTCGACTGTATGAATCAAGTTGTCACACAGATCCAACAACTGGACAAATCTTGGTATTGTCCATACAAGTAATTACGCTTCATTACTCACCAATTACCAGATTATCTTATAATCACTTGCATATACCTACAAGTAAAGGATGAAAATTAATCTAATCTTCATATTTTATATTCACTTCTCTTCCAGAATGACCAATGAAAAGATTGAAGATACAAAACTAAGCAACTGCTATTCTATAAGGTAATAATAATCTCCTCTTCTTTTTCCTCTCTCTCTCTCTCTCTCTTTCTCTTTCTCTCTCTCATTCTGTGATATTAGGGATAGAATTGAAATTGAGAGGGAGTATCGGGGGAGTGTGAGAAGAAGATGAAGGCGAATGATGAAAGAGCAAAAGAGAGATTGAAAGAGAAAAGAAGAAAAGAAACTTATGATGAGAAAATGAAGGTAAATCTGCCATTATATTTATTACTATTCACCTTAAGTCGTGTTCACCTCAACCACAAAATTTTATATTTAACCAGAGGCTTAAGAGGTAATGAAGAAAAAAAAAGAGAAGAAAAAGAAAGTGAAGAGAAGAAAAAAAGTAAGAGAATATGCATACATTTTTTTCTTCTCTTTTTGAATGAATCCATCAGAGCGTAAAATTGGATTAAATCGAGAGTGAAAAGATCACCACCACGTTGGTGGTTCCTTGTTCTATTTTACCCACCGTCTTTCTTTCCTCCTATGGTAATAGATTAAATCTCTATTACTGATGATAATAATGTTACTTGTAGACAATTTAAATGTGAAACTTTGCTTGTTGTTTGTTAATTTTATTTACCCCCGCGTGTTGTTGTTCTCAATCATGATGAACACTTTGAAAGAGTCGATTCCTCATTCGTAAGTGAGACTCGGTTGGTCACTAATTGACAGGAAATTCACCAATTAGGAAAAGCGTTGGTTTTATTACGTTTTTCGCTGTTGTTTTTTGTTTACGATTTCGTTGCTAGTAAATCGTTGGTTATGTGTATTCATTATAACGACAGAACTACTTATATGTTATTCATAGTAGTTCATCATCATCATCAACATCAACATCATCTCATCTCAATTGGTACATTTATGATTATGTTACTCGAAAAGTGAAGATGTAAAAAGAATATCTTCCTCTCTCTCTCTCACTCAAACATTTCGTTTTAAAATTAGATTATATTGCTATTAGTTATTAGTTTTCTCGTTTTTGATTAACGCCTAATTTTTGTTTCCTATTTTCTTATATTGATTTTCACTCGTATTGCTTATTGCACTTAACTTGCTATTCAGACAATATGTCAATAAATAGCTTTGACTTTGCTGCATCTTTTCATTACCTAAATTGTTTACATTTCAAATAACGATCTTAGTTTTACTTTAATTGCCTTCTCATTAGTTGATATTATTGACTCTTTTACACCAATGTGACAAGTATCCAGGAGAGAGAGAAGACAAAACAAAAGTATATCCATTTGGTTTACCTTTTTTTATTTGTTTCCATTGAGAATTGACCATTGAAAATGTTATTATTGTTTCTTAATGTTTAACAATTGTTTCAAACTATTGTTCAAATCATCACATTTTCACTTACCTTTTTTTTATCACATTTCATTTGTTTATTTCCAGAATCCAATATAACTCAGAGGAAGAATGGACAAAAGCATTGAAATACATGTTGACCAACCTCAAATGGATACTAACCTGGGTCGCTAAATGAAGTTGACCATCACCAACAAACTTTTTTTTTCATAAACAATATAAATCTATGTTTATTTTCAATTGATTGAAAAAGAAATGAATTCATGGATTTGCAAAAAATTTTCACTAAATGCAGGATGATGATGATATTGATACAGATGAATAGGATGACAAATATTAATATATATGGAGAAAAAGAAAGAGGAAAAGATTGACAGAAAGTGACAGAGAGCATTTTGTTGGTGATGTAAAAAAAAATGCAAATTGATAACATTAAATATCATCAAATACATTATAATATATACATTAAACATATTTACAATTACAATATAGAATTGATTTGTCTGTTTGTCAAGAGACATTGAAACAGCAAAGAAAATGAGAGGAACCGGAAGGAGTTTTTCGGTGGTATTAATTGATCACAACACTAGAAATTTCATTTGCATGTACTGATTGTCTTCTTGCTCGTACACACCTCGCAAACCACTTCACAGCACCAGTTGAATCGACATCTACAGGCCTCTTTGACCGTCTTCTTATTGGTCAGTGTCCCTCGACCACAACAAAGTAATTCACAACCATCGACACCCTTGGAGGTTATGTTACATTCCCGACCCTGAGTTCCCAATGAACCCGTTGATTTATCCGCTATACAGAAATCAGGCGATTCCTCTGAATAAACTAGATCTTCTGAACTTGGTAATTTAATTGTGGCCACTTCAGGTGTGAAACTACGGCCATCGTTGGTTGCGATCACTTTGGACGCTCCGTCAAATTTATCCTTTAAAACGACACCAACGTCACGAAATGATGGTAACTTGTGCCAACACGTTTGTAATGTACAAGAACCGGACATCCCGTGGCATTTACACGCTTTTTTCATATTCCTTTTCACCGACTAATTAGAGAGAGAGAGAGAGAGAGAGAAAACAAAAGAAACATGATTAACTTGATCAGGTTACAAATATCAAGATTAGAATGCGATTAATGATTAGTAACATTAAACCAAAATTTCGTCACTTTAGATAATCATGAAGATCGATTGTCAAATTTAATCGAAAGTTGTATGATCTTCACTGGCCCAATGTGACCAATAACGATGTTTATCATTGATTAACGTTCTACTTTGATTCAATGGAACCTTAATTGTCTTACCAATCGTCCGGCTTCATAATTGTGCATTAGTACCAATGATTGTACTTGATCTTTTTTTAATCTACTTTCCAAAATCTCTTTGGACTTTTGGTAACCGAAATCAACGTTGTTTCCACATCCACGAAAGTCAAATTCGTGGTTACTCATGATGTACGAAGTGGTGTTGGGTGGCAGTGGAACTAGTTGATTGTGGTAAGAAGGTGCGGTGACCATTTGGTGACACGAACAACCGAGCAAATTTCCCTGGCTACAAGCGCGAGCCAAGGAGTAGGTTATTCCCGCTGCGGTTATCGCATGAACGAAACCAGTTTCCCGAGTATCTGGACAATTAAAATCATATCATATTTAAGGAACATATAGAGAGATGATTAAAACGATTATCGTGATTAAAAAACAATTTGAAATCTTTAATCAATCAGTTTAATCATCGTCATCTCAAATTCACTTTTCAATCCAACAAACAAACTTAATTGTAAACAAATCATTAAAATAAAATTGTAAATTCAAGGACATATCGTAATTGTAAATAACTGTTTTAATTGTGAATTAATTGTTTAGTTGTTGATTGAAAAATTGACTCGCATGTCTAATCATTATTGTACTAAACAATTAAATTAATTATTAAATACTTGGATTGGTAAATGTTTACTTTTTTGTCAGACCTTCAACGCTTCAGATCAAATCTCATGTTCCCATTTGAATAAACTGCCAACAAGTAAACAAACAATTAACTTGATTGATTACATATATCAAGTAATAAGATAAATTGTTAATTGTGTTACTAATTATGCTCATCTAGTGGTTGAGATGATGATGATGGTGGTGATTGAATTTGAGAACATTTTGTTTACCTCTTTCAAGAACTTTTCTCATTGATCGACGGACTGTAGTACAGTTCCACTGGCGATTACGAAACTGAAATTCACACTCTTTAATGGCCATTTTAGCGCCTTTGCTCATTTCCCGTAACATTTCCGGCTCTTTTTCACAGATACCTGTTTGTTTACCTTTCAGTCGACCCGTTTTACGGCAAATCCCGTTTGGGTCTAAAACTAGTTTCATTCCCGAACTGATAAGTAAAAGTACAATCGAGACAAAGACAAACAGAGTAAATCAATTGACGATTAAAACAAAGATGATAATTGATGACGAGATGATAAGTATCTCTCTCTCTCTCTCTTTCTTTAAGTATTAGAAAGTGAATGTGTGATTTTTACAGGTAAGTTTTTTTTCTTCACCTTTTTTATCTTCTCTCTTCGTAATCATTTAATACCTGGATGATTATTTACTCGTATGAAATTGAATCAGATCAATGATCAATCAATTTGCTTCTAAATAAAACAATTTAAGTGCAATTTGTTTTTCTTTGGGTCAAAATTGAAAGGTGAATTCAATTGAATCCCTACAATTACCCTGGAAAAACTGATAACAATGTAATGGTTTCCAATTACACCGAGTGTTTAATATTTGAATCGGATGACAGGTTAAGTTAATTGGCCAATCAGAAAGTTAAAACATCTTAATTTTAGTTTGAAATTGAAGGTAAATCAATTTGTGTTACAAATCAACAATATAACAAAGGTAATCCTTTTGTTTGTACTCCAATCAACTTAATGTTATTATTATCATTTACCATTAAAGTAACAACAACAACGATTCATTATCATCATCAACTCTCATCCACTCCATCCAAGCCCCTTAGCCACCACCCCCACCCTCTCTCTCTCTCTCTCTCTCTTCTGTCAAAGGTTATCGCCACTTAGGTGCTTATATGTTATCCGTTGTTAAACAACAATAAGATATCAAAAAGCATCTCAAAAGTGCCAAACTTTTTTACGAAATAAAGATAACATCTTAAAGAGAAAAAAAGTTTTGTTTTTTACCTGAAAAAAAGGTAAGAAAGAAAGAGAAAAAAATTTGGTCTACAAATATAAGCAAAAGCATTCAAGGTAATGTCCTCAAGTGGGTTGGTAAGTGGTTCCTATAAGAAGACCACCACCACCTCCACCACCACCTCATCTTCCTCCTCCTCCTCCTCCTCCAGGCAACACAACAACAACAACACACACACAATAAGTTAACATGTAAGGTGTTCGTGTTCAAAACTACAGGTAAATGGGAGGAGAGGTTATAACCTGTTTCCAAAATAAGATTGACAGTTGTAAGTATTACCTGTTTTCTACCTTTACCAATGTGCCTTATGATTGTTTCATTCATCTAATTAATAGTTTCCTTGCAAAACTGTATCTTCCTTATTGGTTTTAAATAGACAATCAAGTGTACATGATGATCATGATTGTTGATTTAGTTTGTTGTTGTTTAATTTGATCATTTGAGTTGATCATCATCATAAAAAAAACAATAAAAAAACAAATCATGACAAAAATTGATAATAGAAAATAATAAATTGTTCCTAATCTAATTAACACTCAGAGTAAAACTTGAATCTTGATTGTTACTAATTTTCAATCGTAATGATTACTTGTTCACAGTTAATTTTAAATGATTAACTATTATGGTTAAGTGATTAAAGGGTTTTCGTGTTAATTAACATGATCAACTCATCACTTTTATCAGGAAAGATGATCAATGATCAATAATCAATAATCAATAATAATAATATGAGAAATGAATTAAGCTTTTGATTGATTTAATTTTTGTTTCTTGATTAGCGACAAGATTTTAATCACTAATCAGGATTAATAAAGATTTGTAACAATTAGAAATGAACATGAAACAAAACAATATATTGTAAATGATTAATGATAAGGAAAACAACAGTTTATGGAAACAGTTTATTACAATAGTTGATTACTATTATTGTTACGATGATAATTAATTAATCAATCAAGAAACAACAATCAGTTATCATAAATGTTATCAATCTATTGTCCTCGGAATTCATCAATTACAAGCACCACTTAAAGTCACACAATTAAAACAACAGAAAGTGATGAAAACTAAATTAATAGAAAAGGTAAAAGATGAACAAAATGATGACATCGACAATTAAGTTAATTGTTATAATGGAGAGTCAATGATAATCATGATCAAAAGTCTCCAAGTATTGAGAATCACAATTGGCCACTAAAAGACAATTGTGACAAACACAGTAACAAAATAATCTAAATTTAAAACAATTAACTAAACAATAATCACAATCAATTTGATATAAAGATGAAACTATTTGACAATTTACCTTCATTAGCAAGTTGATGATTAACTTGATTAATCAATAAGATGGTTGATTGATTGATTGATTAACAGATAGAGAAAAGAGTTGGCGCCATTAATAGTTAATTGTTCCCATTGTTTCAATAGCAATTAATAGATTTAGTTAATTATTATTTAAGAAATGATCATTAGCATTTCCATTGAAATTTATAATCTAACAAAACAAACAAACGGAAACCGGAAACAAATAGTGAAATATTAGATTGTAAAAGTATCTTGTAACTTTTTGTTCATTGGTTGTTGTTGATTGTTGCTAATTGCAATTCGTTAATTGAATGAAATCAAGAGTTGCAATAGTTAATTTGACCGAAAATTTTTCTCTCTCTTAAAAACAAATTCTAATACGAAAGTTGATTAATTTTAATTTTAAATGAATTGCAATTAATTTACAATCAGATAGTCAACTTAAATTGCGAATGGAATAACAAAAGTTTCCTCTCTCTCTCTCGCGTGATATCAACTCGAATCACGCAATTCGTTGATTGACCATAGTAACATTATCATTAGACTGACCATCTCTCATTCAATGTATCAATAGATTTACAATGATTTATGATTGATTGGTCAGTTTTTTTGTTTCTCGTTCGTTTTTACCTTTACCTTGATGGACAAGCATATCAATATGAACATCAAAATATCATCAACAGTAATCGTTCATTACGATTCTCTGACAAGATTTATCATCATTATATTCAAATCGTTACTTGGAGTATAATTTGATTGTTAACTATGTCATTACGAATCATTGACATTCAATTTCTCACTCAACAGTGGACATGAAACTGGAAAAAGTTATAAAACTTTGCTCGTTTTTTACACCGGCGGGTAAAAAGTATTTCAATTATTTCCTCTTCTTTCAGGTGAAAATATTTCTAATCAAACATGAATACCTGGTTAGTATTATTATAACAATTAATTTGGACAAACAGACAATTATGATTAGTCTAAATGATGCACATACACATACACACACACCTTAGGCTAACGTTGACCAACAGACTCTCATTATGATGTTATGTCCAGTAAGTGAAACGAATCAGTGAATCAATAACTTTAATGATAATGATATTTACTTATTGAAACAATTTAATGTTGAAAATTTTAGTTTCCTCCAACCGTTGATTAAACAATGGGAAGAAGAAATTTTCTAAATTGTTACAACAATAATGATCATTTGGTTAATGTAAATTGAATACAATGACTGACCAACAAGTGAGAAACTGGACTAAAGTTACTGATGATTTATATTGATTCGCTTTGTTTGTGTTAAACCATTGAATCTAATTGTAAACTCAGGTAAAAAAAGCCACTCAGGTAATTGAGCTATCACAATCCTTTATGATTATTTTGTTTCTCATCTTCATCTTCTTATGATGATGATGATGATGACGATGAAAATGTTTCCAAAAATATCGACAACAATATAATAGGAAAAGAAAGGAGAAAACAAAAAGGTAACAAGAAGAAGATGATAAAGGGCATCTTCATCTTAATCTTCCTTTTCTCTCTCTCTCTCTTTACCTGTGTATCTTCATTCAAGTGTAACTAATCATCTTCCTTTGTAGTTTTCTTATGTTAATAATACATGATAATAATGATGATGATAATAGAGGAATCGGCGATCTCACTGGACATCAGAAAACCCCCTTTTGTGTCTGTTTGTGGGTTAAACATGTTACAAAAATGTGATATGCAAACTGTTATATTCACAAATGATAATCAAATGAGTGATAATCTCAGGTTGATGCGTAACACAGGATTAACTTGAAGGAGGAGGAGGAAGATGAGGATGATAAAAATGCTCGTTGGACAATCATCATTTCAGTTGAGAGAGAAAGAGGAGGAGAAGGTGGAAGATGAAGATGAGAAAGAAGAAAGGAAAAGGTGGGTGGTAAGGGGTTAGTTCTGGTGGGGAGATGATGGTGTTGATGTGTTGGTGGTAAAAGGGAGGATTAAGGATCTTAAATGAGAGAGAGAGAGAGATCGATACCAATACTCGTCAATTAGGTTTCACTTTTGTCTAAATTGTTGGTGATTTAACTTACCCCCAAATAGAATCACTATAACGACAATCGATGATCGATATTAATATAAATATTATCACGAGTAACTTAATCAGTTCCATTGATCACAACGGATCACGATCACAATTAAAATCAAAATAAGGCATAAATATGATTGACTGTTGATGATGATGAGGATGATTTGTTTATGTGTTGATTATCCTGTCAATTTGATGTTGATAAAAGGTAACGGTGAAAATATTGTTGATGATTGTTGATGGTAACGAAATGAGATCAATAATTGACAGAGAAAGTGATCAAGTCAAAATGTTGAGAAAACATTCACAATCAAATGATTTACTAGAAAGTCAATAAGATGATTAATTATTCAGCTAATTAATTGTTAATTGTTGATTGGAAAGTAAAAGGCAAATGAGTGAGAATTAGAGAGAGGGAGATGTAGAGGAGAAATGGGAGAAAGATGATCAATAGATGATAAAGAGATGATGATGAGAGTGAGTGAACTTTCTCCTTAGATTATGATAGAAGATGATAATTACAATTGTTACCATCACAATTAACTTTAATTCGAGCGCCACCTAACTACCATTGATAAGTTAATTGTTGATAAGTGATTAATTGTTTGCGATGGAGAGATGATGAAAACAACATTAATCCACAAGTCAAGTTAAGTGAAGGCAAAAAAAAAACAAAACAAAGAAACAAAATCTATTAATCAGATCAACGATTCAGTGGTAATCAATTGATCATCTAATTGTTATTATTGAATAACTAGACAAGTTTTAAATTACAATTACAGTGATTATCACCCAGGAAAGTGAAATATTGAAACAATTGTGTTGCTAATTAATGTTAATTAAGTACAAAACTGAGATGAAAACACAATGATAATTAATGAATAATCAACATAGATTAAAATCTTGGCAAGTTAATTAAATAGTCCAGATGAAAAGATAATCAAGTTAATAATAATATTTCTCATCTTCCATCATGATTATATAAATAAGATAATCAAAAAGATGATTACAATTTAAATAGTTTCACAATTAACCAGCACAAACCAACAATTAAAATGAAATCATAAGGAAAAAAAAAGTTATTAAGACTTTTCAACTTTTCGGTTAACATTATCATCGGATTTTTTTACCTTAAAAATTGCGAAAAGAAAAAAAGTTTTTACAACTTAGAACTTTTTTCTTCCCCCTAATCTCCATTTCTTTGGGCCATATTCAGAATCTACAGTCAGCACGCCTTTTCAGCTAACGTTTTTCACGTTGAAACGTGCAACTTATTTACCTGGGCAATGAGATGAACACACAATTTAATTAACAGCTAACAAACCATCATTAAGAATTGTTTCCTTTTAGAAATCATATTCATTCAACAAAAAACTATTCATTCCCTTTCATCTTCATCATACCCTCTTTCTCATCATCATCATCATCTTCATCTTCATCTTCATCATCATCTCTCACCTAATACAATTACAATTACTTTCTAACTGAATGACGCCCACTATCAAATAGCTACAATTGACCAACAATCAAAGACACTAAATATTACCTTTACCTCCCCATTATCACATCCAAACCTCATCTTTTATCATTAGATTGTTAAATTGTTGTTGAAGTAAGTTAATTTTGTTTTGCCATCATAATTACGATGATGATAATATGATTGAATAATATAATTCACACAAAATTAAAGTTAATTTAGTTTAAATTTAATTTTTTACCTTCTCCAAAGAAACTCAATTTTTCACACTTTACCTGTAATGATAAAGGTAATACAACAACAACAACAATAGGATGTAAACATACAATCAACAATTGTATTAGTATTGTTGCCATTATATTGTGATTAATACAAAATTAACATTTAACTTACAAACAATTGGAGATGATTTTTCATTCAAATTTAATTGTTGAGTCTTAATTATCCAGAAAAAAAGTTCCCATTCATGTTTACTTGGTTGAAATATTGATTCAATTAACTTATTACTTTTGGTACTGATTAACACATCAACCATTTAGATTGATATTAATGTCTAATTATCAATCGTTAATTGTATTAATATCTTAATGGTAATGGCGATGAAACAATTAAAAGATTGTATTAGTTTAATCTAATCTGTTAATATTAACTTCCTTCATTGCCACTGTTACTTTTCAACCTAATTAGAGGTTTTTATTAATGTGATTGAGTTGGAAGCTTTTAATTATGATCAACTAATTATGATGAACTTTAGCAAGTTAAATATTAATTTAAGTGAATGTTTAATTCCCGGTAGCAAGGGCAGTTAATTACCAAGGTAAATAACAATGTCAATGATCCTTATCACCAGTAATCATAATCATAATCAACAATTAAACCATAATCAATAGCAATTAGTAACATAAATTGTCAATTATCTTTCAACCAGTATGATAATTATGCCTACAGTTTTAGTTAAATTAAATTGTGAATTGGGTGATAAATCAACCAATTAATAACAATTAAATCAATCGTAAGCCAATATTATGAAAGCAATTAAATTTATTTGCAACAATCATGATTAATAAACATTTAAAACTTTTTTTGGCAATGTTATTTTTTGATTGTTGCGCTTGATTATTATCATTACCATCATCATTTAGTAATGATTAGTTAATTATGCAAAGTAAAATAACAAAACAATGTTAATTAGTTAACTAATGGATTAGTTTCACCAACTTTTTTCCAACCAATTGTGTAAATGATTAACAATTAATGTTAAAAACTCATAACAACAACCAAAGTGAATTTAATAATAACGTTAATCATAATTAAATTGTAATGATCCGAGAAAATTATTCAATGTGAATATCAATAAATGTTTGAGAGAAGAGCAGAAAAAAAACAAAATTGACCAAACTAATACTGGACACTGGTCATTGGTACAACGAAAGCACAATTATCATGACGATTGGTAAGCCTAATGGTTAATAAACTTGAACCAAAATATGATTAGTTAATTATTCTAATTATCTACTCACCAATCGTCCAGCTTCATTGTTGTGTAAATTGATTAGATACTTTAAATCTCGACCTCGTTCAGCGATATCGACAAACTTTTTTGCAAATCGATAACCGAAATCAATGTTATCGGAACAGCCTTCCCATTGCATATCCACCGAGTTTGAATAACGGGCTCGTCGATAGTTACACGAGCATTTACGTATCGTGCCCTCGCCACAGGCCGAGGCCACAGCGTGAGCGACACCCGCTGCAGTGATGGCATAAACAAAGGCCGATTCACGACAACCTTTGAAAACAACAAGAAACAACAAAAATCAATAACATATACCAAATATACTATTAATATGATGATAATAATAATTAAAGGATAATAATAATAATATAGTGATGATGAAAGAAATGAGAGAGAGAGAGAGAGAGAGAGAAAGGGAAATGATGATCATCATCATCCTCTACCTTGCGGGAATAAACTTATAGGGTCATACATCAGAGGCTTAAGATGATAATGATGATAAAAGATGATGAAGATAAGTTAAGGTGTGGATCGTCAGAGACATGGTGTTGTTATCATGTGTGTGGTATTATGGTCTTAGGAGGAGTTAAGGAAAGCCACCCAGAGAGAAGAAAAGACGAGAGATGATGAAGATAAGGATGATAATGATGATGATGATATTGACTCTTAATGAAGACATTAGTTTGAAGACGGCGGACGAAAATTATAGGCTTACGAACTTACGTTTTCTTACCTTTCTCCTGAAAGATAACACTTAAGGAGTTAATAGACACACAAAAGGATAACATGTTAATATAATAACAAAAAACCATAATAATAACAATTATGATCAACGATTATAATCATTAACTTGTTGATAGAACTTTTTTCTTTCTTCTCTCTCTTTTTCCATATTTTCTAGCCTCTTGGTTCCCTCTCTTACCTTTACGACTTATTTTGCCAAATATCCAATTGCCTTCTGAATCAATTAGTGGACAATTCCAGTGTCTTTCCTTGAATTGGTGTTGACACTCTTTGATTGCCATTCGCAATCCTCGTTTGATTGCATTCAACAATTTACGATCTCCTTTGATTAGTGAAAGTTGCTTCTTGTGAAATGAACGGATCGGTGAACCGGAATTGTGATTAAATGGTGATGACGATGAGGAAAATAGTCCAATTAATTCACGATTAGATATTGACTGGGTTGATGTTGCCTTTGGAAGGTAAAAGATGAAAGATGACGAGAGACAATTAGATGATAATAATTAAGATGATGATGAAATTTGATTGAAAAAGATCAATTTTGTTTCATCCCTTTCAAAATATCATCATGAACATTTTAATCTTCATGGGTTAATCTTGATTAGTAATTACAATTAAATTGGTGAACATTTCTGACTGAATGAAATGTTGCAATCAAAGTGATCGTATTCATATTGATTGTTGTCTTTTGTTTGTTGATTGTCAATTGATTGTTGGATTATTGTAACTTACCAAGAGTAATAATGTGAATATAACAAGTAAATTAATCCGAATCATTTTTGGTTTTGATTTGTTATCGTAATAATTAATCACACAAAATATATTTAATCTATTAAATAATCACAATTGATGATAAAACAATTAATGACACCAATCAGTTAATTATCCGGAAAACTAAACTATCCGGACAATTGTTGATTCTCCTGTGAATTTAAATATTAATCAATTGATTATTTTAAATCAATAATTGAGAGACACACAAAGTTACAAGAGTTGACAATTTGTTTGTTATTGTTTAGCAATAGTGTTGACACTTGTGACAAAGATGAGGACGACAATGACAATTGTTGATGGTGATGCTATTGATGATAATGATGTTGATGTTGATGATTATACGGATGTTGGTTAGTTAGTTAATCAGTTACACAATTGAATATAAAATAACATTGATGATTAAGAAAATTGATTTAATTGGGAATTGAACCAACACCGAGAGACGACGATTCTTAACTGGAGATGAGTTTGAATGAATGTTTAACTGGAAGAAGATGCTGAAGATGATGGAGATGATGAAGATCAGCAAACGAAAGAAAGAAAGAGAGAGAGAGAGAGAGAGAGAGAGAGAGAGAAGAGGAAGAAAGAGAAAGGTAGAAAGGTAGAAAGGGGCGGGAGAAAAGCGGACTGGCCGGATAACCGAAACTTGGACCGTGATTTGTTGTTAATGTTTTTCTGCTTAATTGCTTGGAGTTAATTCCTCGCAGGGTCAGTGTTTTAATCCGCTTTGTATCTAATTAGTGATTTAATTGCATAAACAATAAAATTTCCATTGATTCTTTTCAATATTTACTATTTTCAATTAGTCGAATTGATCTTTTTATTTGAAATACAATTTTGTTTGTCCTAATTCACAAATTACTCAATAATTGTTATAACTCTTTGAGATATCAAGTTAAAACGGAAACGGAAATGATAACTTATATGTTCTTATGTTTATTGATTTTGGTTTAACAATTGCTTGTGATTACATGAGTCATAATAGTTAATAATAGTTTTGTTTAATCAAATCATTCAATCAAAGTTTCTAATTGTAATTTGAGTAATTAAATGGAAAAGTTTAATTTAGTTTCTATTGAAAAAAGCCAATTGTTGCCATCATGAAGTTGATACTTGAGTAGTTTCAAGTGATTAAGTTAATAATTAAATCAGTTATTACATAAGTATTATCATTTTGTTAAATTGTATTAATCCGATTAACCTTTAAACTTGTTGATATTTAGACATTGACCATGACTAAGGGCAAAGATTGACCAATATTTTGACTTTATCATGTCAAATGGTGAATCGATTGGCTCAATTTGTGTCATTCGCACCACATTAATATTAATAGTTGCGTTTTCTAATAAGCATGTCGACCTTTTGTTGGTTCGACCTTGAATGTCCATCATTGCTTGACCAATCTCAAGATTATTGATTTCTCATGTTCATCCAGATCTTTTATAATCATAATTATATCACTTCGGTTGGAGGCTAAACTATCAGAAATGTCACTTTCTCCCAACGATAATAAATAAACTCCACGTTGATTCGGAGGCCACAAGGACGACACTAAACGACTCGATCAGTTGATAGAATTCAAACTAGTATTTTTTCTCTCGATTTTCGCCCATTTAGCAGCAGATATTCCATTTTAAGGTCACATTAGTTGATCGATCGGTCAATTTTCCTTTGCTAAGATTGATTCGTTCGTTACTAATATAATTCAATTTGATCGTTTGTTGCTATCGTTGATCCTCGTAGATTGACCAAATCGATGAGGTCAAACGACGACACCTCAGACATTTTCAAAGTTAATCAAAGCGTTTCATCGAGAGGAACAAGAATTAAATATAAAATTAACCATCTAATTGCTGATTAACTATTCATTTAATCACAGAAAATAAAAGTCATATCATTTTCTATCCACTAGATGGAAGCAAAGTTGCTTACATGTTTACCATTAAAGCGTCAGAGAGCAGCACAAACATTGATTGTTGAATTAATCGCAATTAACTTTGATTAAACTAATTACATAACATTTTATTCATATCACGACTAAGACTAGTGACAATTATAGTATTGAGGGTGATAATTAAAGATATGGCTAATTAGCGACTTGAAGATAACTTTCCAAGAATAAAGTTAGGAAAGAAAAAGTTTAATTCTTAATTTCTCCATAATATTTGATTAATTAATCGTAATTAATTAATCTCTCTGATTTCGTCAATTTTAATCAGATTGCTTGGTTCATCAATTAATCCATTTTCTGTTTTATTTCTCACTCGAGCTTAATTGTAATCACTTTCTACTGATTATCCACGAATTAAGTACCTTTGGTTACTTTTTTTGCGCGATTTTGATTATTACAATTGATTTAATTGTGATTTTAAAATTTCTTGATTACGGTTATCATTTTAATCACAGTTTTCTGCTGATTTGTTTCATTTGGTGCATTGGAGGTCAAGGTCTGGTCTCCGCTCCTTAAAATACTTGAACCCTCAAAGGTAATTAATCATTTAATGTTTATTATTGTGATTGAAATTATTAAATATTTAATCAAAAAGCTTCCGTGTTTATAATCAAGATTATAGACCAATCGGTTTTAAATTCACAATCAATTTAATCATCCAAACTGTTATTTCACCATTAGACCTAAAATATACAACATGTATTCATGATTAGCTATCAGCAGTTGAATCAAAAAATTGAAATAAACTAATTGGTAGTTGATCAGATCCATTGAAAATTGTTAATTATCTCAGATTAATTGTTAAATTGATTCTCAAGCTAATCTTTTGAGATACAAATTGTCAAAATATCAGTTAATTATATCATTTCAAATTCACTGTTGACAGAATATAAAAAGTTAATCTTGATTCTCAAACCTAAATACAAGTAAATAATTAACTTTAAAATGAAAATCCATTGATTAAACCAGTTGATCAATTAATTATTTAACTTATTTAGGTCACACTAATTCACTTTGTAATTTGATTACAATTACAATTTAATTTTGCGTCAACATTTTCATCTTAAATTGTATTACCTTCAAGCTCTTCTCATCATCATTACATTACATTTGATAACAATTATCATCATCGTGATGAGAGAGTGATAAAAGTGATGAAGATGAAGATGAAGATGAAGATGAAGATGATCATCTCTCACTTTAAATCCTTTCGATAATATCTAATGTCTTCCGTTGTGAACGGGTTCAGTATATCGGCCTTTTCTGGGTCTAAAATGACCTAAATCCGGTTTATCATCATCTCAATCATTTGCTATAATATGATTATCATTTAATTCAGTAGTCAATTAAGTTACCTGATTCCATATTGATTGTAACTGTAAATAAACTTGTTAAATCAACAGGTTACTTCAACCTATTCCCAATTATTGTCTAATCATGATTATAAACATTGTGATTACAATTAACTTAATCTAAAAATAAAGTGTTAACCTTAATTTTGTTGTTTTTGTTAAATTATGATTTAGATTTAATCAAATACAAAACCATTTTGATTGTTGTTAATAAACTTGAAACTTTTGTTATAATAACAACAATTAAACCGGAAACTTTTACATTCAATTTAATTTCAATTGAGACAAATTAAACTTTTCTTTCAGTGTATCTTAATTGTTGGTCATTTAAGTTTAATTGTTAAGGTCAATTTACTGAGCCATTGTTATTTAGGAAGCGTTAATTTGCTAATTAATTAATTAGCAACAGAAAACAATGTTATTATTATCTTAGATTGTTTCATAATTGATTAATTGTTTGGTGTGAAAATAAATTGAAACTTTGGTTAATTTAAATTGTTTAATTTTAAATTGTGTCTTTAATTTATATAAATTTCATTTAATCCACAAATTGTTATTTAATTGTTTTTATTGCAAATGTTGCATACTGTTAATTAAGAATACAAAAAAGTTGATTACTTTTGATTGTGTATGTTTAGGTTTAATTGTTGTTGAATTTAGATTAAGTAAAAGATGTTGAAAACTAAATTGTTGATGATTGAATTTTTCATTTGATTGATTTGATTGATTCTAATCATCAGAGTTGATTGACAGTGTTTAATTCCTTATATTATTAACTGATGATCGTTCAAATTGATTAACTCGCTGTTGATTCTTTATCCTTAATCTTAATTCATTTTCGCAATAAAATTTATATTGATGATATTTCCCAACCGAAAACATTGTCTATTTAATTCAATTGATTGATGAAGATGATTTAATATTTGATGATGATGATGATGATAGTAAATGACTAAAGGATGACGATGAGAATTTATGAGAAAATATGATCAAGATGAGATGAAAGAGAGTAATTGATTTATCTCTCTTTCTTTCTCTTTCTTATCATAAAAGAAAAGAAATAAGAATGGAAAACGGAAACGGAAATGATGCGTTTTCTGTTTTTCTTCTTATTGGTTTACTTTTCTTTTGATATCGATATTGGCACCAATGAATCTGGCCTTCAAATACCTCGGCGCAATTATATTTCATGAGTAATTTAGGTGGGTGGGTGGGTCGTTGTGTCCAAGACAATTGTAAAAAGTTTATCTAAAGATGAGATGATCATGGTGAAGATGAAGATGAAGAAGATGATGGTGATGATGTAGGTGTTGTTTTAATAATATTTATAACAATTAATTTTGATTTTAATTATCGACCAGTTAATGTTGAACATTTTGAACTGGGATAGGTTCGGATCTCATAGGGCATTGAAAGTTCAGCTAATTTAGATGATGAGGATGATTTTTCAGCTGACCGTTGATAGAGACAAAGGAAAACACTGATTAAACATGAGATGATTAGGATGGCAATTAAGACGATTACAGAGGTGGCAAAGGATATTGTTGACATGCAAATTTGATCGATTGGTTGAAGATCGGAAATATCGAGAACTGGAACTGATTCATTTGATGCTAAACTGAAGGCAAGATCACCGGAAGAAACAACTTGAATGATTTTATTCAAACCGATTTCAGTCGCTGAATCCATGGTGTATTCCGCTTTGATCATGTCCTCGAGTCGCCTTGAGACATCACGCTCTTCACGAGGTTTACCAATAGCATGATATGAACTGGCAGAGGCATAGTTTTCTTGTTGTTGACCACCGCGTCCTTCAGCTGGACCGCCAAGTGAGGAGCTGACAACTGAACCAGGAAGTTGATCTGGTGGTCCGCTTGAGGCTGAACATTGTTCTGGACATTGGTGCCTACAGATTTGAATGGTACATTGGAAGTGAACTTCCATTGAATCAGGGAATTTAAAGGCTTGGAAGTGAGCGTAGCTAAGGACAGTCGCTGACGAGCCAAAGTTCTTGATCTTGGTGAATCGGGACATGAGTTTTGGTCGGACGATACAACCTTGAGAATCGACGAGTTCAATTGGTGCACGTTTACCATCGTGAGCAATACAGTTACGAACAAGCATATCGAATTTGTTTTCTTCGTCCTTAATGGCCAACACCATGGTCATTGTTTGACCAATTTTAACGATACCTGCAACCTCAGAGGCCCAAGGTCCTTTTCCGACTTGAATTTGCATCCAACAACCAACATTGTCTCCAGCGAAATCAGCACGAACTACATCCAACATGTCAACTGGGAATGGACGGAATGTGACGGACTTTTCATATTGATCGTGCCAAGTACAACGTAACTTTCTGGCCTGATCCCAGACCTCTTGAACTTGAGGATCGTATTGAATGACGATTGTATTTTCAAAAAAGGTACCACTTCCGGAAGAAGCACCATTACCATAAAGACCATTTTGTGTATTACCTGTTGTACCACAAGTGGTTATACCGATGTCAAAGTAAACAGAGTTTCGACCTGAAGCAGCGGGAAGATGGACACAATTACCATGTGAATAGTGACCCTTTGAGAAGATGATTCCGTTGAAAGGTTTGTCAAATTCAATTGCAACTTTCATTAAATTTTTCTCGCACTTTACATCGAGATGAGATATTTTTGGCATTTCGGGTGCGGGTAAAGGCCAGTTTTCATTGTGTTGCGATTGTTGTTGACCAGAACCTGAACCATGGTGAGGAGCAGGGGCAACAGCAACTTGACCAACAGGTCCATTTGAAGGACCATTACCTTCATAACCTACAATTTAAATGCAACATCAAAAAGAGATTAGTTTTATCCGTGTTATTTATCATGATAATAATAACGAAACAAGAGCAAAATGATTAAGGTTAATAGCATTAACAATAAAAACAAACCTTGATAAGCATGATTGGCTTCGGGACCATATTCAATTTGATTTTCCACTGGATGACCTGGAGGTGGAGGTGGTGGAGGTGGAAGACCATGGCCGGAGTAGACTGGTGAACCAGAGCCAACTTGAGGTGGTACTGGACCCATGGGACCAGGACCATAGGATCCAACTGGACCATGGCCATGATGACCTTTTGGTGGAGGTAAATTGGACAACATGTAACCGGGTCGGTTAATCATTGGATGGTGTGGTGGTGGAGGTGGTGGTGGTGGTCCTGGTGGTCCTAATTCACTGTGATTAGGGGGACCTGGAGGTGGTGGTGGGCCCATTGAGTGATGATAATTGTGATTAGGGGCTGAACCTGTTTCAAATTGACCCTGAAATTAAGGCAAATAAATCACAAAAATTGAAATTTACATTAAATTAACATGTTATTATTATCCCAGTAAATGATATTATAATTATATCATAGATATTAGATCAATCTGATTAAATGGTTTAATCTAATTGAACAGGATCACAATTGTTTAATTTAAATCATGATCAGAGTTTCATTTCACAATTTATCATAATTGTTCATCTTTCTAATCATATTTTCCCAAGTAATTCATCAGATTAAATTAATAACAATTCAGCTAAGAAGCTAAATCAACTTGAGAATCGTGATCACGATTTTCATGACTAAATATTGAAATTTAAAACTCTGACAATCAAATTGTTACTGTTTGAAATCATTTTAATTTACACACTAACCCCTAAAGTTAATCACAATTAACTAAATCACAGACACATAATTGATTGCGAAAAAAAGTTTAACCAAAATTTACAATTTTACAATTACTATGAAAATGGTTAATCAATTCAAACTAATTTAAATAATAAACTGAAAACTTGTCCAAAATCAGCTATTGAATAAAATTGAACATTCAGATTAGGTCATTGATATTAAGTTAATTACAATTAATATTCACTAATATTGATTCTGCCAATTTATTAGCTTTTAAATTGTTATCACTGAAAATCTGAAACTAATCCAGTAGTAATAGTAGGAAATTAACTACCTTACAATTAGTTGAAATGCTACAAAAATTTACTAATAATATGATATATTAATAAACAATAAGAATTGAAAGAAATACTAAAAAAAGAAAACAAATTAACTATTCTAAGGTCAGTTAAGTGCCTAAGGGAGGTTAACAGATTCCGGTAACAGATTCAATTGCGTGAGCTCAAACCAGGCCACTTTAGCAACGGCAACGGTAATACTGGTCTTTCATCTTTATCATCATCTCTCTCTTTCTTTCGTCTCTTTCTTTTCTCTTTCTCATCTTCCTTCCATCTCTTAACATTGTTGCTTTTTTTAGGCCAAACTTGAAATCCAAATGAGGCCAACAATTTGGTTAAATTGGTTTTGTTTTGTATTTATCTCAATATTTTATGGTTTTTAATTCACTTGCTTAATGACTGTGTTAATTTCTGGGTTAATTAAACAATCGATTGAAAGTTTAATTTATATATATATATTAATATAATCATTTCTCTAAATCAAAAGTTAATTGTCATTGAATGAAGATTTAATTTCTTACCTGGTGGATTGGTGGATAAGCCTTATGGTCAAGAATATCCTGACTTTCGGCCTTAATCATTTCGTCGTCGTCGGTAATTTCAGCTGAACTTGGATTCTTATCTGCACCATTGGATTGATCACCTTTCTCATGAATTTCATCAGCTAAGCTTGATGACTATTCATTAGTTAATCAGTTAGTTAATTAGTTTAATGATAGATGATAATTGGGAAAAAGAGGGATAGATGATTAGAAGAAGAGAAAAAATCATCATTAGTGAAATAGTTTGTTAATTGTTACAAGTTTATTATCTTTAGATTGGAAAATTGCTCAAGTTAATGAATTGCAATTAGATTGTTGAAATTGTTTAATCAAAATTTTCACAATTGATGAACAATTAACAATTGTCACAACGTTTGCAAAAGAAATTATATTGAATTGTATTCACATGAGAAAAAGTTTTACCTTTTTTTTTCATTAGAATTTAATGTTTCAGAGAAGGTGAAAAATTCTGAACATTTTTCAGGATAGAAAAAAAAAGAAAAAGTTGATTCTAAATTGTGACCAACAAGATGATTAACTAATTGCAAGAGCTTTGGGAATCAAATCAAGAGGGAATCGCAATTCAAATGAACCAGAAAAAGAATCACAATTATAAAAACAAAAAGAAATTGAATAAAATTTGAAGCTAATTTAGATATTGGAAAATGTTACAACTGTTAATTGGAGTTAATTAACTCAATGAAAGTTGTAAGAAGCAGATGAGTTAATACATTAATTGCTAATTAGCTTTATTGTTGAAAATAAAGGTCAAGATAAAGGTTAGTTACTATTTTAATCATTTGCAGATGATGAGGATGCTTTTGATCTGGATGATGCCTTAAAGGTAAGCGGGAAAGATGAGACAATGATGATGAGGATGATGAGGATGATGAGGATGCTGAGGATGCTGAGAGTTACTCAGAAAAGCAAAGATTAATGAGTTTCCCTTTATATAAATCGTGATGAAACATAAAATGTTATTATGATCAAAATGGGTGCTCATCATGTTATTAATGCTCTTGCTTGATTGTTGTTGTTGTTTTTTACTCCTTGTTCACATAATCATATCAACAATAATCTAGATTTAATGTTAATTACAATTAACGGTTAACAATTTTACCTTAACATGTGACTGGATTTGGAAAGGGTCAAAGGGGAAACAATATGATTCTAATCAAAAAATTAAATCTAATTATGAGCTAAATTGTTGTTCTATTGTTATTTAAAGTTAAAGAGACTCTCACAATTAAATGGACTAATATTTTAACGATGATAGATTATCTTTCATTGTAATCTGAATATCAAAACTATTCAAACTTTTATCGATTGCAATTCATTAACTATACAATTAGTTAATTGGATAAATGATACATATTTTCAATTGATTAGATTGGTTATTAATTGTTTGGTTATTGTAACTTACCAAGAGTAATAATGTGAATATAACAAGTAAATTAATCCGAATCATTTTTGGTTTTGATTTGTTATCGTAATAATTAATCACACAAAATATATTTAATCTATTAAATAATCACAATTGATGATAAAACAATTAATGACACCAATCAGTTAATTATCCGGAAAACTAAACTATCCGGACAATTGTTGATTCTCCTGTGAATTTAAATATTAATCAATTGATTATTTTAAATCAATAATTGAGAGACACACAAAGTTACAAGAGTTGACAATTTGTTTGTTATTGTTTAGCAATAGTGTTGACACTTGTGACAAAGATGAGGACGACAATGACAATTGTTGATGATAATGATGCTGATGGTGATATTGATGTTGATGATTATACGGATGTTGGTTAGTTAGTTAATCAGTTACACAATTGAATATAAAATAACATTGATGATTAAGAAAATTGATTTAATTGGGAATTGAACCAACACCGAGAGACGACGATTCTTAACTGGAGATGAGTTTGAATGAATGTTTAACTGGAAGAAGATGCTGAAGATGATGGAGATGATGAAGATCAGCAAACGAAAGAAAGAAAGAGAGAGAGAGAGAGAGAGAGAGAGAGAGAGAGAGAGAGAGAGAGAGGAAGGTCTGAATATGAGAAAGAGAGAGAAGGAGCAAAGGGGCGGGAGAATAGCGGACGGGCCGGGTAACCGGGGCTTGGACCGTGATTTGTTGTTGGTAAATGAAACTGGATTGAAAGTTGATTATTTAACTTACTAATAATAATACATAACATTTGAGGTGTACCTGGTACTTGACATCGTCTCTTGAGGCGATCATCATGAAGAAGATGATCATCGCCAGATAATAAACCTGATTTGTTCGAGTTCTAAGATAGATGTTTATTTGTGACCGGTTCTCGCCCTTTTTTCAGTTAATTTGATTCCCCCAACAAAAGACCGTTACTTGTACTTGATTCATTCTTAATTGTAAACTAGGTTTCCGGGCATTTAGCTTGATTCTCGTAGAATTCAAATTTGGTTAAGTGAAAGAGAGAGAGAGAGAGAAAGAGAAGATGATCATGTGGGTTGGAATATAAGATGAAGCGATTTATCGATTCTCAATTTTTCTTTTATTTTCTTTTTTTCCAACGAAATCGCCGTTGAAAAATTCTCATCCTTTTGCTATTACATTTGATTCTAAGGAAAAGTTATAATATCATAGAATTCCGATAATCATTGATGGAGATGATTCTGTTACCCTTCAGGCCACCCTTGACCTTTCAGTGACTTCCGTAAGATTTTATCATGATGATAATCATCTTTAGCTAAATAATATCCCCGATTAGTTATCAAATTGTCATAAATTGTGTTATTAAATTAGTATCATTATCATGACATTGTTATGTGTTTTTAATTCAGTTTATCACAATCGATTATCAAATTAGTATGATATACCTTTCAATTGATTACTGATTGTTACCACAATTATCAGATCCAATTACATACATTAAATTGTTACGTTTAATTTTCGTAAACTTTTCTTACCATTAAATTAAAAATTGATCAACATGATAATTGTGACTCTCTATTAGATTTGTTTACCTTTCCTTTTATTTGATTGTAAATTGATTCTTTCATCATGATATTGACCATGAATTTGATTCTCTTTCATCGTAATTAATTTCAATTGTTAAATGGGAAGAAAAAGTTTCATCTTAATCATCATTATCCATCCAGACATCAACTTATAATCGTAATGATGACAAGAATTGAAAAGATAACTTAATTATCTATGGTTGTTGTTAAGAATCAATTGTAACAATTTGAACGGCCATTGATTGTAATCAAATTGTTTATTGTTTACCTAATAAATTATTTTCTCAGTCTACCTTGTCTTTTAAATTGTGGGTCTCAATCAAAGGTAACAATCAATTGAATAGAAATGGATTTGCAATGGATTAATGATGGATCACAATTGACCTGATTATTATGAGAAGATGAAGAGAAAGTCATCTTATCATCTCTATTATATTAATCAGAAAAAGAAATGATAATCTTTAAATTGTTCAGGTTGAGTGATAGAGTTAATCATGTTTACAATCAAAGTTAATCAATAGATTCCAATGAATATTTTTTTCCTTCCTATTTTGTTCATATTGGGATAACAATCAGGTAACAATAAAAAAAATCATGGATCATATTTAACCCTGAAAGTTGAGTTAATTTCTCAAATATTTTGATTGTTGTAGCAAATTGATTGAATTAGTTAACTGATTACGATTAAAAGTTTGTTCATTAAATGTCAACTTTTTCTCAGTTATTAATCAACATGTACACTAATCCCAAAGCTCTTAAATCATAATCCATTGAAAGATGTATCATGTTACTCAAATTACCCACCTTCAAGTTTCAATGTTAATTCATGATTATTCATGAATTTGTAATCAAATTGTTGCTTATTAATTGTGTTGATACATTAAAATTTGAGGTGTGATCAGTTACGGAAACAATCAGTGATCGTAATCAAGTTAATTCACTTGTGTTGTTTTCTTGTATTCACCAAACAATTGAATGAAAATTTTTCATGAATCTTTAATTTGAACCATTGAAACGATCAGATTTTCATGATAACATAATATTAGATTTGTAAATGATTAAGATATCAAATTTATCTTTCGATTATTTTTTTCTTAATCATTATAATTAAAACTACAATTGGAATACAATTTGAATTCTATATGATAGTTTTACTTGCTTGAGGTTTCATTTGTTTTTTAATCATCGCAATCAGTTGTGATCAAAGTAAATTAAATTAATGGATACAATTTGATCATATTAATTTCCTTAAGGTCAAACACAATGATTTTTATCATCAACTTAATCATGATGATTAAAACAGGAATTAGTAATACGGAAATGTAACTGACCTTGGGTTTAAATTTAGTGAAAAAAAGTTGACAGTTTTAAATTTAATTACCAATCAATATATCACTTGGAAATTTAGTAAATTAGTTTATGTAAATCATTTGATAATCAGCTAATCTGATTACTATTATAAAGATGTACCAGTTTCTAATTTAGTTATTAATAGTCAATTGGGTCTAATATGTTTACAATTAACAGTAAACTTTTACTCTCATGGTGATGATTTAATAAACAAGACAATGATTTAAGGTTGATTGTGATTACGATTGGCTAACTAACTTAATCATCATCCTAAATCTCACCATGATTAACATTATTATCACAATATAATATTTTACTTTCAATCTCACGTAATTAAATGTCAATCTTAATATTATCGTGACAATTAAGGTAACGATAATAATAAACTCGTTATGGGAATCGTGTCTATTTGTTGATATAATATAACAATTAGTTAATTGTTTATGTTTCCATTGTCTCAATGTGACTGTTGTTGTTTTATATCAACAATTAAGGATATGATAAAAAGGTTGACAACAATTTACATGGATTAAAATAACTGTTACGTTGATTAAATTAACTCACTAACATAATTTGCCGATTGATTAACTTTTTCAACTAATACTATTAATAGACAAGAATCAGTGTAAGTTATGACAATTAACTAATTGTTAACAATAATGAAGAGATTAAATTTTTGAGCTACTTTTTTCTTCATACAATTTTGATGTGTCTTAATTCAATTGCTTTGATTAGATTGAACAATCAAAATTGATTGTTAGTCAATAATAAGGGAATAAGTGGAAAAGTGATTCTCACTTTTTACATGATCACAATTAAGAAAAAGAAAAATTTTTTCAAACAAAAAGTTAGTTAATCATTTATTCAGGTCAATCAAAGGATTTTGTTGTTAAATTGGGAACTAGATTAGTTTCAACAATTAAGTTAATTGAAAAGGAGGAATATGATTTAATTAGGTTCTCTCTTTTTCCTCTCTTTTGATTGTGATTTACAAATGAATGATGATTAACTATCCACGCGCAATTTATTAAAATGGATTCAATTTTTTTTTCACTCTTCTTTATATTCATCGTTACAATTTACAATCACAATTGTTAAATTTAATTGTGATTAAAGCAAACGGGATGATGACAATTTGATTAGTCTCTCTGACTTTCTCCATCATCTCCATCATCTTTTCAATGATCAATCACATTGAAATAATGCCTTTAGAATCGTAATTGTTTTTAGTGACCAAAGAATCTGTTGGCCCATTTTTAGTGGTCAGTTTCAGGTCACTTTCCCGTTACAACTTGGGATTCACTTTTTGTGTTCCCACAATAACATTGGTCATTAAGTATAATAAAGGATGAAGATGATGAGGATAATAATGATAATAATGAGTGTCACTGTATCTTTCAACTGAACAATTAAGGTGATAATGTAGTTGGAACTTTTTTTTCTTGCTAACAATTTAGATCTCATTCTGTTAATTTGTTTTCCTTTAAGATAATATTACTAATCATTTGGTATCTTTAATTGTCTTGAAATTTAAATTGTTATTCAAATTAGAGGGAAAAACAAACGCTGTAAGTTAATCACTTGTTGAATTATTCAGTTAATACTAATACAATTGAAGATCAACTCAAATATTGGATTAATTTGATTACGTCTTATAAATTGTAACAATTTAAATCCAATAAGCATCAACATTAATCAATCATCACTAAACTAATCATTTACAGTTATGTTTACTTTTCAATTAACTGGTTACTATGTTTAAGTTAATTGATTCAGTTTCAATTTTAATTGTCCACCATTGTTACGCTAATCATTTTCTGATTCGTATTTGTAATTAGATTTAATTTTAAACCTAATTAGACTAAAATTAAATGATAATTTACAAAACTTACAATCGGATTTATTTTTAACTAACAAAAGTAACAGATTATGATTAACTGATTGTTTCAATTTACCTGTTGAATTGAAATCTCAGCGTGAATGACACTCACCATTTGATGATTAACTTATTGGTAATCATTTAATTAAATGATATAACGTAATGATCAGATTTAATTATTCTGAGTGGGCTACAATTAAAGTAACATATGGAAAAGTAAAGGAAAAAATTAAAAGCAAAAAATGTTAATTAACTACAATCAAGATATTATAACAATACAGACGTTGAAGGGAGGATGTTAATGATTGAAACTCAGCTTGAGAGTTAATAACAATTTAGTAATCACAATTAACTCTGAATGTCCAAGGGTTATCATTAATTTCAATATATAATATTGATTAAGAGTGTAACTTTGATTAATGAATCAAATCGCAATGTTAACTTTTTCAAGATTAATCAGCAAAAGTTTCAATTAATCAACCAACAATCAACAAAAAAATTCAGCAAAATAATCAATACATTTAATGAGAAACTTTATCAAATTAAAGTTTAATTGTTGCTTTTCCGTTTCCTAGAAAAACAAAATCAACTAAATTAACATAACAACAAGTTTATTAATAAATTAAAATACTTTTCAACCAGCAATTAAAAGCCTTAAATCATTATCAAAAACGTTAATTATGTTAATCATATTGAAACGAGTAACTAATCATTATTATT